TCTTTATCCATCAGCTGGAATCAATGTTGGTAGCGTGGGAAGCGTCGGAAAAGCTTTGTGGATCGGTGGTGAGGCCAGAGTATGCCTTGCAGGCGTTGACGGCGCCGGCGGGGATGAATGTGAATAGTTGGACGTACGAGCGGCTCGAGATTTTGGGGGATACGCTCTTAAAGTTCTTTGCTACGCTCCACTTTTACCTCGCCGGCGGTGGTGCAGACTGTCAAGACGACCCTCTCAAGACATGGCAAGACCGCCACAAGGTCGTCTCCAACAAGACCCTGGCACATAACTGTATCAAGCTCGGCTTGGTGAATTATGTGAGGGACAGGCGGGTGAAGGTGAAGGAGTGGGCGCCGAGGGACTGGGACTTTGATACGTGGATAGGGGGGACGGCTATGAAGAAGCATCTCAAGACGAGCGAGGATAAATCAGAGTTTAGGAATCTGGGTGACAAGGTGAGTCCCGTCTTGGTTCTAAAGAGCCGGGCTGACAATGTACAAGCTGCTAGCGGACGTGGTAGAAGCCATGATCGGCGCCTCCTATCTCCCCAACAAAGACATGGACAACGTCATCACCACCCTGCACAACCTCACCGTCCCTCTTACTCTGTTCAAAAGCTGGGGGGATATCAAGCATGTCCTCCAGCGGGAGAATGAAGACGAAGAAGAAGAGGCCAAGGATCCGGATCTGCCGGCGTATATGAACTTCTTCGCAAAGTCGAAAATGCAGTATGAGGTGTTTGGGTATACGTTCAAGAGGAGAAAGACGTTTGAGGATGTGTTTGTGAGTGACTTTGAATACGTGGAGGCTTCGGCTGACTTTTCTCTACAGAGCTTGAGTTCAAAGCGAGAGACAAGGATGAAACGAGAGAGGTACAAGATGCTGGGTAACGCCGTCTTGGATGTCTGTGAGTGTGGTCATGGTTCGTCGGAAACAAATGCTGACGCCGGGATAGATATCATCGACTATCTCTATGAAAATCACCCGACCGAAGGCCCTGGTTCTCTTTCCAACATGAAGGCAAGTCCCTCCACACACCCCCGACCTGATCTAACAGCCCTCTAGACATTCCGAACCACCGAAGGTCTCCGTTGCGCCCTTGCCGTCGAGCTGGGTTTACAAGACCTCGTCATTGACGGTGATGACAAGACCCGACGCGAACTCGGACGCGCGACGTACTTTATAAATGAGGCTAGGAAGAAGGCCGATGCGGGGCTGAGCGAGGAGGAGCAAGGGGAGGTGCATTACTGGGAGGAAGTGGCTGTCAACCATGTACGTGTCTATGCTTCTTCCTTCGATATCAAGGCTGACAAGGGGCAGATTACGGGGAGTATCATGGAGATCCTCTTGGGCGCCATCTTGGACGACTCTGACTTTGACCTCGAACCAACCAGAAAGATCTTTTTCGAAAAGATTTTGCCTTTTACCGAAAAGTACTGTAAAGGCCCGGCGAACACAGATATGCACCCCAAAGGGCAGATCACGAGGTGGATGCAGGCAAAGGGGTGTATGATGTATAGTCTGGATGTGGAGGGGCCGAAACTGAACATTGGGACCTGTACGTGACTCCTTTGCCAGCAACACAAGATACTAACGCAAAGAACAGTCAAAGTGCACGACAAGGAAATCGCACGCGAAAGCGCTTTCACCACCCATCTCGCCGTCCGTAATGTCTGCAATGCGGCGATCCGAAAGCTCAAGGATGAGGGCGGGCTCGAGGAGCTTTGCGATTGCGCGTCGTTCAAGAAAGTGGTGCCGGATGACAAAATTGTGGAGATCTTTGGGAAAAGCAGGAGAGAGCGGATGCTGGAGGCACAGGAGAAGGATGCGGCGTCTAGGAAAGCGTAGGGGTGTTGTACCTTTTGGGATATGACATGATCTTCATGTGAATGACGATGGTTATGAGCAGTAGATTCCATGTATATAATGGTCATGGACGTGTTGTATAGCCTGAGCAAGTCGGTCTCTATTACTTCACGCCGCTGTATACAGCCGGTGTCCGATGTCATGGCCACTAATGGCAATAGCTCAAGAAGTCATGTCCATGTGTATGATGCATAAAAATGAAAAGCTCCGCAAAAGACCCGAGCCATTAACCCCTACAGTAGCAGATTATAAGTGTATGTACAGATTGTTCTACATTACAACACATCCACAGCCCTTCCCGTGCTTCCCATCATCCTTGCTGGGGACTGATGGGGCTCCTGAAACATCACCACCAATTTTGTTGTTCCTCTCAACTTGCGCATTGTTGAACCTTTCCTTACTCCCCAGATGCTTCTCATATATAGCATCGGTAATACGATTTGTTGTACCAGGCGTGGGCGGCGGAGCCTGAGGCGCACCCCACTGACTAGGACCGCCAAGCGTATCGTTTCGGCCAGCTTGGTTCTGCGTGCGCAGCGATCTCTGAGATGCTGAATGCGACATGTGCTGGCTACTGACTTTTCGAAGCAGCGATTGTTTACGAGTGGGTCCTGGCTGAGACTGGAACCCGGCCTTGGAAGGGGATGGCTGTTCGACATGCCGCTGAGAGCCACGGAGCGCGCCGAGCTCGATACTGTCAGAGTGCTGGGCAAAGTTGGTCGAAGGGGGCATGAATGGATTGTCTGGCGAGGCTTCGAAAGTGGGCACAAACATTGGCTTGGTGGAGGTACTCATCTGCAAAGGGTCAGTTGAAGCCACAGAATATTGTGTTCAACTCACATTCTCGGCCTGTTCAGTCAAAGCCTGTTTCCTGGCTATCTTCCTCTTGGCCCATCTGATCGGATTTCCATCCCTATCCCACTCCACAGCGTAATCTTCTTCGCCCAGTTCATCCGGGTTCGGACTTGCCTTCTCATCGCCCATCCCCATCTTCTTTGCGACAGTCGGCAAGACTACTTCATCCCAGTTGGCATTCTTGGGCGGAGTATAGCTGCTCTCGGGTGGTATCATATGAGCAGCGAGGCCGAGTCTAGACTTGGACGATGGGAGTGTCTGTGCCGAGTTTGGTGTATGGGAAGAAGATCCAGAGTGAATGTTCATGGAAGCAGAACGAGGACCGGCGAATTGGTTGTTGGGGGTAGAGATGTTGGCAGGTCGCGAGCTTCCAACACGGTACTTTGGGGTACCAGCCTGCCCTCTATTGGATGGCTGCCCTATGCCAAGCCCATTCAAATTGCCATAACCTCCTTGACCCTTCATGGTAACTGCGCGTTTCCTCGGCTCGGCATATCCACCATGTCCATCTTCCGAGAACCCATGACACGGCTCTTCCACATCCTCTGCTTCTCTACTATGCCAGCTCTCCTTCCACTGCTCCATCTCTGGTATATCATGCCCCCTCTGTGCGATACGCAGAGCGTCTTCAGCCTGCACCTTGAAAGGTGGCAGTTCATTCTTGATGAACCCCTCTGTCACTCGACCGCCATCAAAGTTTGGAGAACCCCGGCCAGACGGCCTTCTCTCTCTGCCGATATCAGGCAGTCTCGACGAGTGGCCCCGTGAAAGACCACCCCCATCGCGCGGATCTCGCGGCTGTGGCGACCGGCTCCGGCTTTTGGCAGCGACAGGTATGCCAGACGGCGAAGGCATTCGTGGTACTGGCGATGTATCCCCTCGATTCAGAGATGGCCTAGAGGAGAGTTGTGATTTGGAGCGAGGTCGAGTAGGTATACGAGATGCAGAAGTCGTGGCGGGCGATCCAGCTCGTTGGGACGGTACGAGGGGCGAACCTTGCGGCGAACCGCGCTGATGGGCTTGAGAGCCAAAAGGTGCAGGCGCGTAGGTCTCTGCAGATGCTGGTGGGTGCCTGCTACTGCGTGGAATGGCACCAGAGGCTGATGGGTATTGTTTCGGTCGCGACTGGGGGTGAGGCTGTGGCTGGTAGTGACGATTCGAGCTGGACTCGTAATTTACGTTACCCATCCCGAGACCAGCAGCAGCAGCGTCGTCAAAGTGCGTGGAAGACAGCCTCTTGGTGAGGTATGCCGACTCTGATTCAAGCCCTAACAATGGGGTCAGCTCTGCGTCTTGAATTTCTACTACGTCGACCAATGTCGCGAAGAGGACGCCGGCCATCACTCGCTATCTCGATACTAGTGAACTCACGATTTCTAAGTGTAGGTACTATCTGCTCGTCCCAGTTGCTCCCATGTGCCCCTGATGCTCCTCTAGAGGACGAAGACGAGCCATCAGCGGGCCGGTACGCTGGACGCACGGACTCGGTAGCCAACATGACGGAGAGCGTGATCGGCGTGGGTATATCTCCCGCAGGCTTGTGGACGCTCCCTAGGTGGATGTGGTGGGCGAGAGGGGGAGGAACCCCTGCTGAGGGGATGGGGATAGAGCTGAAGAAAGAAAGAGATGCAAGATGTGCTAGTTAACGCTCGACCTTACAGGCGAGGCAACAAGCTTCGGCCCCCAGCGGGCGTCACCGACAAACACCAGATCTTGTTTGTACTCGTACCGTATCGCTCGACTTGATGCATGACGCATTGCCCAACAATCTCCAGAGGAGCGCAGAAGTGCAAGGTTCCCGGCCTAGAGAATTTCAGTGACCTCGTTCTAGTGGGTACGAACTTATCGCGTTAGTCGGCCAGGACAAAGGAGATATTATTACCTTGGCATGTCACTGATCCTCTGTCAAGTGGCGATTGCTCGCCATGAAAGGACGGCACTGCTCTGAAGTAGAGGATCAAAGGTTGTAGTTTCATAGTACCAGCGCCACTTCCTGACTCTTCGCTCTCGGCGAACTGCTTTGTGTTTGAAGAAGAGGGGGCCAGGCTTAGAGGTAAGGGGCGGGGAGACATAGGAAGAGATGTTCCCATGCATCATCATGGATTCCAGGTGAAAAGAGGCTCGAGAACATATAACACCTCTCCATATGTTGACATTGCCCAACTCTATTCTCAAATTCTCATCTTTTGTTCATCCTCTTTCGTCTATATTGATTCGAGTTGACCTCGAATATCTCTGCCACTAGACCTTCAACTCCCAAAAAGTAAAAGCCATTCGATATGGGCGTTTTCATCAAGGCTGTGTACCACCCCCTCCTCTCGCAACCCTTCATCTCCCTCGCCCTGACATCTCTCACCCTCCTCCTTCTCGTACTCGTTCTGTTGAGCGTACCCGGCCCGATCAAGGGCATGTACTGGTTCAGCGTTCAGGGTGAGGGAGACGGCCCTATGAGCGCTGGCGTTCTGGGTTGGTGTAGTAAGTCGTCAAAGCCGTCGAGCTGTGCCGAGCTGACAGACACCAGTGACGGATACTTCAAACTGCACCTACGCACCCCTAAGCGAAAACGCCTACCTCTCAACAATGATCGACACTGGAGAAGCGCTCACCGTCCGCATCATGCTCCCCCTGGCTTGTTACTGGATGATTGTCGTCCTTGTCACCTGGGTATGTCTCACCATCGCCGCCCCGATTGGCTACCGTATTCGTGATCTTGATAGTATCACCCGTCACCTGAGGTTTGCCGTGGCGGAAGCTTGTGTCCTCTGTGTGAGCTTGTTTGGTAACGTGCTTTGTTGGTTGGCATTCGGCTTGGGGAGGGCGGCGTATCTGAGTATTGAGAGAGGCGGGGGTAAGCCCAAGAGCGGGCATGCTATGGAGACGTAAGCGTCTCGGGCGCCTCGCTGCCTATCAGCTGACAGCAACTTTGTAGCACCGCTGTGGCGGCAGTCATGTCCCTCCTCTCCCTGGGCACAGCCGTCTGGGGTCTCCATCTCCGTCTGAAACAAGCTCAATCTCACTGGCGGGACGAAGCCGTCATGGTCCGTCGTCGCTCAATGGCCCTCTTTGCATCCGGCGCCGTCCGTCCGGAAGATGCCAATGCGCTCGCAAGCTTGGGCATGACTGAAGGTGCAGTGGACAAGAGGGGCAGTAAGCGATGGTCTTCCAGCTCTGAAGTTCCTGGATATCCTCAAAGCAGCAATGGATTACAGCACAGGGGTAGTATGGTCAAGGCCACTTATTCACCCGAGACGGATTCAGAGGCGCTTCCTGCTGGTGAAGAGGAAGAACAGATTGACGCCAAGTTGGCCGAAGCCAGGAGGAACTCGATGGACCAAAAAATGATCTTGCGTAGGCAATCGTGAGTCGTGTCTGCAAGTTGGGTGAGTCTGCTGAGCATTTGCAGGGTCAACGATTCCCCTTATGCCGTCGCCAACGGTACGCCCCGGCCCCCGCATTAAGCCCCTGGATCCGCCCTGCTTCAATCCCTCAACCTCAATTCCACGCCACCTCATGCAGACATGGCACCGAGTGCTACCTCTGCGCTCTCAAAAGGATCACCAATGATGCGACCCATTCTTTCCTGTAGATGTTAGCTTTGGCAATAATACTTGTATTTAGTCGTTAGAGTTGGCAGATGCAGCCCTTGTGTTCCCGGTCGAAAATTGATCATATGGATCGCATGAAACAACCGACTTCTCCCGACTCGATATCGTACCTCTGCCTAACCATTGTCTTTCCAGAGAATCACCGCTGGTGGGGCGTTTGTTGTCCTTGAGCTGAAGGAACGCCAACAGCCCCACCATTGGGATTGGGACTTTGGCCCTTCTGCTCCTTCCTGACAGCTTCTTCCCGGATGATATCATCTGCCCGCCTCGTGACTTCGAGCACGTTGGCATCAATCATAAAGTCCTCTGCTGTTCTCTGCTTGACCCATGTGCGAGTGTCGAGGTATTGGAAGGGGCCACGGATCCAATTGGGTTGTCCGCTGGAACGATCGGTCTTGGCGAGATCGATGGAGGGGAGGGAAGGCGATGTAAGCCATGTAGCGAGTTCAGTGTGGTAGCGCCATCCTCGAGCATACCTACAGGATGTCAGTTACCTCATACAGCGAGCGAATTCACGTACAATTCCTCAGCTACACGAAGCTGCAATACATCCTGAGGCGACATGTAGAATGCCAAAAACAGGGTATCTTCGGTAAAGTTCTGCAACTTGCTTTCCACTGGAGGGGCGTGGACGTAATAGCATTGGGGAATGTGGTACGCTTCTTCGATTTGAGGGGGCGGTAAAGAATTGGGGTCGGCCCATGGAGTCACGAATGAGGGATAGAGCGCTCTGCAACATTGTCAGTCGTCTCCCAGACTAGATATATCATTACTCACTCGTCAGTGTTGACGTCAACACCCAATTCTTCCAGATCCTCGCCAAACACCATCATCCCTCTATCTGTTTTGTTCATATGTATCTGGATCTCATACAACAGCGCTTTCAGCCCCCATCTGTCGACAGGAGAGCTCAGCAGCTGCTGCACTGGTCGCACAACAGGTTCTGAAGGTCTCGGCGACTGTCTTTGCCAAGACTCTGTCGTTGATGGGGGACCGCCCGCGCCCGAGTGAGGATGAGGGGGGTTGGTTGACGGAGTCACGGCCACAGAGTGTGATACGCTCGCGTTATTCGTGCCGTTCGGTAATGGGGCGGGCGAAGAAGGGATTTGGTGGGATGGATTTCGAAGAAAGTTGGTGAGCTGTTGATGTACTTGGTATCAGCAAATCCATCTAGCCCTGTTATCCAACACTGACCCGACCATCTTTTCCATCCCCGTTCCCCAGCGCCGGAAAGTCATCTGCCATCCCTCCGTTTGTCTGGGCGCCGGCTCCGACAGCAGGTCCTGATATCCCCGGTGGAGGTGGGGGAGTCACGCCCGGCTGCTGTTGTTGGGGCTGCTGGAGATACAGTTGTTGCTGTTGCAGATGCGAGTTTTGTTGCGATGAAGCAGCATTCGACCCTTGGGTAGCATAGTTGGTTGTATGTTGAGGGTGCGATCCGAGAGCTGGAAAGTCGCTCGTATCTGCGAGTTGCGCGTTATCAGCCCTATCCCTCCAGCCCTGCTCGCCCAGCTCAAGGATGCATCCTTCTCGTCTCTTCCGCACCATGGCACTCCAGACATACCGGAGTTCCTGACACCAAAGCCTGGGGGTCCTGCTCTTGGGTAGCCTGGCATGGCGGCTCTTGATGCGGGCGGTTGCTGGGTAGCTTGCTGTCCTGCTGTGGCGTAGAACATGGTGAAGATGAGTAGGGGGTGTATGGGCCGGGGGATGGGATGTACTGTGGCTCTCCCTGATGCACTATGCAGCTGAGGTATACCATTAACAGCAGTAAGAACACCTAACGGCATTTCCGGCGTTATCCCCCCGTGGCACCTTATCTCTCGCATCTTCATCATTCAAGGTGTCTGTATCACCATCCCTGACTCAAGCATACAGTATGGTGAGTGCATAGCGAGGATTGTAGGGGGTAGGCGCTTACAGTCGGCAGTCCTCTGAACTTCGATACACTGCCAACACCCAGCTCGAACAGCGTGCGTGTATCGATACTTTTCAGAGCTCTTGCTGATCTGCTGTAGTCCACGCCAGGTATACCGGTACTGGACATGCCGATACCACCAAGTAGTGAGCAAACAATCATCCGTCTCGAGGATCGTATTGACTCTTGCAGCGAATGGCTCACTCACCAACACCGTGACACCCTCGCCTCCATCGTCGGCCATCCCGCGCTCTTGGGATACTTGTCTGTAGCGGATGGCGAGTCTCAGGCTAGGGAAAGGTTTGAGTTGACAGAAGTGAGTCACTTGGGTATACTGCGTCCTGTATATGCTGATCATTGTATAGAAAATGCTGCAGCCATGCGGCAAACCGCCCGCAAAGTCTGAGGAATAGAAGCATGGGCATTGTTGTACGATACGTGTACCGGTACCTTGCAGGAAGCGACCTTTGTCCATGCGCTTACATATTGTCAGAGTATGATATGTATAACTTTACATCCTTGATTTCATATTACATCAACCCGACTTCTTGGCCAAATCAATCTCCAGAATATTCTTGCCGTTCCTAATATCATCAATAGAAGGCATAATGTCGAGGCGCATGAGCTCGGAAGCTTTGGACACGATCGGATCGCGCTGCATCGTAGCGACAGCGGTGATCTTGCCCTCCTTGGCTTGATACACTGCAAACTACAACCGATATTAGCTTGTTCCCAAAGACGGGTCTGACCGCACCTTTAGATCCTTGAAGCTGCCATCAACATACTGATCGTCGAAACCCGCACCGGTGCCCAGGTAACGAAGCCCCTTGCCGACGGAAGACCAGAAGATGGGGACTTTGGTGTATGCCACCGGGCTTTCGGGGTGGGTGATGGTATGTGCGACTTCGCGGCCCTACACGATATGAGCGCCATCCTCGAAAACAAACGTCGACTTACGTGGTTACCAGCAACATTCCAGTGCTCAACCCTCCTCGGAAACTTGGCAGGGTACTGCACGTAATGCGCAATATCGCCAATAGCATACACATTCTCATGCCCCGGCACTCTCAGATACTCGTCGACCTTGACCCCACCGTCTTCTTCCAGCTTGAGCGTGTCCTTGAGGAAGGAGGTGGCAGGTGCGACCCCGGTGCCCATGATGACGAGGTTGGCAGGGATCGGGTCCAACCCCTCCACGTGCACTGCGCCGACATGCGAGGGATCAGATTCAGAAGGGGTGATCTTTTCAATCTTGGCCTTCATGTGGAATTTGATCCCCTGACTCTTCATGCTCTCCATAATCGCCTCGCCAAACTCTTTTCCCAGCAGCTTTTCAAAAGGCACCTCATCCATGCCCACCAGCGTAACGCTCTTTGGCTTCTTGCCCACAATCGCCACGGCGGCTTCCATAGAGATAAAGCTCGTCCCGATCAAGACGACCTCAGAGTCCTCAGTGAGGGAAGAAGTGATGGCTTTGGTGTCGGGTACATGGCGGAGGGTGAGCACGCCAGAGAGGTCGGCGCCGGGGATGGGGATCTTGCGGGGTGCGCCTCCGGGGGAGAGGATGAGGTGGTCGTATTTGACGTTCGATCCGGAAGAGGTGGACACGGTCTGGGAGTCCAGGTTGACTTTGGTCACAGACTACAGACAGGTTAGCGAGGCCAAGTTTGCAGTGAGGGACTTGCCGTGCCGGGGTAGAAATCGACGCCAAAGGCATCCTTCAGCTCATCTGGCTTGCGCCATTGAAGCTTGTCGGCGTCGTCAACAAGACCCTTGGACATCTTTGTCCTATCGATAGGAGCATGGTTCTCTTCCGAAATGACGACGATCTTGCCGACGAATCCGTTCTGATCCACTGTCAGCTGTATCCAGACAGCACTCTCACTCACAATCCTGAGACTCTCAATAGCATGAATAGCACCAGATCCACCTCCAACAATGACCACAGTTTCTCCCGACTTGCTGCCTTTTGGACTGGCCTGCTTTGTCCCCTTCTTGGTGATGACCCTGCCGACCTTGGAGGCAACCTCCTTCTTTGACGCACTGACGACGATCTGGCCGTCTTTGGTAGTTGCCGTGAACGACCAGAGAGAGTCAAGGCCGGGGGCATCTTCGACGTCGCCGGTGCATACGTTGAAGCAGGCTATAGGGTGTTAGATGAGTAGATCGGATGGGACAGACGTACCGCCGTGCCATGGGCAAACGACGCGGCCGTCGTGCGAGAGTACACCCTCTACAAGTTGTCAGCTTGACAACGGGGAATCGTAATCGCATACTTTCAAGGGGAGCGCCATACTACAGTCATCAGCGATCGGTCATCTGACGGTGCGCATCACTCACATGGGTACAAAAGGCGGATGTGGCATACTGGTCCGGGGTTGAGCGATGATCGATCGTGGTTTTGTTACTTACCAGCTGGCCCTTGATCTTTGACACGAGTACTTTGCCGTCTCCAAACTCGACCGTCTTCCTGCGTCTCATCAGTAAAGAACTGTAGGCCCGACTCCACGCACATGTCGCCGTCCTTCAGATCATTCTCGAGCAAGACCGGCTTGGTCAACACGTCATCGTTGCTGGACATTGTGATGGCGCGGGTATTGATTCTGGTTGAAAGTAATGTTCTACGCAAAGGTGGGCAAGCAGGGGGACGGAGTATATTTCTGAGTAACATGTGAGGGACTGAGAATGGAAATGCGGGTCATACGATTCTTATAGCGGTCATGGAGCCGGTACGTATGGCGGCATGCGGACCTGGCCGGGAGCCAATGACGTTTGAGACAATTGATCATGCCTCATGCGGGGTGCCTCTGTGTGACGCCTTTCCATGCTTTCTCTTGCCTGGGACACGGTATTCGCATAGCAGTCATTGGCAGAATATCCCCCCTTTCGCCATCAGTGATGCATGATGCGCGAGCATGAGAACACGAATGATGCTAATCACCAGGTACACGAGATAAGATAAGCATTTCGACGGGACCTTTTTGAGGGGGTCGTTTGCGGCGTTTGCTGGAATGATATTCTGAGTGTCGCAATCCCTTCTGCACCACCCGTTCCATATTCAGGGCAAAGACAGACAAGACGCCAGGGCTAGATCTTGCCATTCCGCATAATCACAGTACCACACAGACAGTCCCCCACGGCGGCGAATGGAGGCGACTGCATGTACACAGAGTACCTCGGATGGCATCATGGGCATTTATCAGCCGGTACATGGTAGCAATTCACAAAACACCCAGCTGCTTTTACGAATCACAAAAATCATCTTCACGCTCACAGCCACCCCCGCCCATAGCTCACGACTCACCATGAGACCCACCCCAGCGATGCTTGTTTGTGTCAGAACTGCCACACGGACGGCGTTACCCTATCTCCGAATCGAGCGCACCGCAATGGGCTCGGTGATGCGTGTTACGACGCGACTGTCTGTACGGCTCTCTCAACCTCAAACATCCCTGGCTTATCCAACATGGTGCGTGAGCCCTCCCATGCACCGCTACACCACGCTGACCCCCGCCAGGCCTCCAGCGACCCCAGGGCGAGGAACCTCCTCGCGACCATCGCGTCCGAGAAACGTAATCTCGAAGGTGCCAAGGCCGTCATCCGCGCCCTTGAAGCATCTTCCAAGAATGAGAATGTCATCCGGCAAGCGCAGAACGAGGTCCGCTCTGCGCAGGCTTCTATACAGTACCTCGAAGCCGAGCTCGAGAAGCTGTCGGTATCTGGGCCCAACACGCCGAATAGGGGAGAAGGCAGCAGGCCGGGGCATTTGGCGCCTGGCGGGAGGAGCGAGAGTCATCTACCTGCTAGCCCTAGCCCCAGTGCAAAGGGCTTTGGCAATAATGAAAGACCGCTACCTCCCCCGCCTCCTGGTGTTGAAGCCGACGCGGCCCGGAAACCAGAACAAAAGAACTACACGCAACTTGGTACGTGACGACCCCGTGTCCACACCACGCGCGCTCATCGTGCTACAGATCTTCTCCGATACGACGCCCCTCTATCCGGCGCCAAAATCACGCGCATGCTCAACCAATTACAATTCAAGCTACAAGTTGAAGAGCAGTACAAGACGGGTATCGAAAAGATGGCTCAGGCGTACAAGATGGAAGGCGACAAGAGACTCAAAAGCGAGACGGATGCGAAGAAGGTGGAGAGTGAAGGCAAGATCCAGTTGTTGAGAAAGGCAAAGAAGAGATACGAGACGCTCGCCAAGTTTGGTGGAGGTGTAGAGGACGATGAAGGTGAGTTTCTGGATTGTTGAGCGACTGCTTACGCGTTTGCAGACCTGGTGCCCGACTCGCAACGTAAGGAGGCGCTCCGGAAACCCATCTCTGGTAACCTCGTCATCTCTCTCCGCGCCGCGCAGGATCTCAACCATCGCCCCCTCCCTCGTCGGTCCTCCAAGGCGTATACCGAGACCACCGTGGTCGTCAAGATTGAAGGCAACGAACGCGCCATCTCTGCGCCATCGCGAAACGACAAGTGGCTCGAAGAGTTCAATATTCCTGTTGAAAAGGCCAACGAGGTGGAGATTACCATTTACGACAGTGTCGCACCTGGTGATTCGGCGCCGATAGGTATGCTCTGGCTTCGGGTCAGTGACCTTGTAGAAGCTATCCGTCGCCAGAAGGTCGGGATTGAGGGACAGGGTGCTGGATGGGTGACGGCTGCGACTGCGGCGACAATGAGCGGGCCTCGAAGCAGCGGGACAGCGCCAGACTCGGTCACATTGCACAGCGCGGGGACGATGCGTGGCAAGCCGGATGGAAAGGCGTCCGAGGGGATCAGTGGATGGTGGTCTGTCGAGCCTGCTGGTGGATTGCAGCTGCGACTCGATTTCGGTGAGTCGAGAGTACTATGTCAAGGTCGCGCTGACATTGTATAGTCAAGGATACGGTTGCTGGCGCGCGTCGGCCATACGAGGCCCTTGGACGTCAAGGTGCCGTGCGTATGCGCAAGGGCGAGGTGCACGAGATGAACGGCCATCAATTCGTTCAACGGCAATTCTATCAGCCCATCATGTGTGCGCTGTGTCAAGAATTCTTGCTTACGGGCGAAGGATACCAATGTGAAGACTGTCGATACGCGTGTCACAAAAAGTGTTACCCGAAAGTCGTCACCAAGTGTGTCAGCAAGTCGGTTGCGGATGGAGAGGGCGACGAGGAAAAGATCAACCACCGCATCCCTCACAGATTTACTCCGTACACCAACATGTCTGCCAACTGGTGTTGCCATTGTGGTTACATGCTGCCATTTGGTCGTAAAAACTCTGTCAAGTGTTCCGGTATGTCTTTGGTTCATTTCGTGAGCTGTACTGATTCGGAACAGAATGTGCTCTTACATGCCACCAAACATGTTCTCATCTTGTCCCCGATTTCTGCGGCATGACCATGGAAATGGCCAACCTGCTACTCAAAAACCTCCGCGACATCAAAACCACCCAAACCCGCCGACCGCACGCCCACAGTCCTTCGACCACATCCGTCTCTACCCTTCCTTCCTACCACTCGCAAGACAAGGTTCAAACGGCCCAACCTGCGCAGCCACCAGCACAGCAGCCGAGCGGGTACGACAATATTCGCCCGGCGGGTCCTTCTGGTGGCAGGCCGATGCCGCAGTTGCCGCCTGTGCCCGTTTCGGACAGCAGGATCAGTCTGGAGCATCCTTCGCAAGATGGATATGCGCGTATGCCTCCTGTAGCTCAGCAGCCCCAAAAGCAGCAGCAGCAGCAAGCTCCTCCCCGTCCCTTACCTCCTACTACCCAATCCCCGCAAGCCCAGCCTGCTCCTCAGCAACAAGTGGCCACCCGTCTACCCCCCGCGCAGCCTACTCAACCCCTCGCGACGAGGAAGCGCAAGGTCGGGCTGGATGATTTCAATTTCCTGGCTGTGCTGGGTAAAGGAAATTTCGGTAAAGTCATGTTGGCAGAGGAAAAGGCGTCTAGCAGTCTGTATGCTATCAAGGTGTTGAAGAAGGAGTTTATCATTGAAAACGATGAAGTTGAGAGGTACGTATCATTATTCTCGGATTGAGTTTTGGTTAACGAGAGCAGTACGCAATCTGAAAAGCGAGTCTTCCTCGCCGCTGCGCAGGAACGACACCCCTTCCTGCTCGGTCTCCACTCGTGTTTCCAAACCGAGACCCGAGTCTACTTTGTGATGGAGTACATCTCTGGTGGTGACTTGATGTTGCACATCCAGAAGAAGCAATTCACCCTGCGCCAAGCCAAGTACTATGCGTGCGAAGTTTTGCTGGCATTGCAGTACTTCCATACCAAGGGCATCATTTATCGAGACTTGAAGCTAGACAATATCTTGTTGACCCTGGATGGGCATGTCAAGGTTGCGGACTACGGATTGTGTAAGGAGGAGATGTGGTATGGCAAGACGACGAGCACGTTCTGTGGTACCCCTGAGTTTATGGCGCCCGAAGTGAGTCTTTCGATCTATAAAAGTGCTGGGTTGACAAGTCGCAGATCCTTTTGGAGCAGCGATATGGCCGTGCGGTCGATTGGTGGGCGTTTGGTGTGCTGACTTATGAAATGTTGCTTGGGCAGTCGCCGTTCCGAGGTGAAGACGAAGATGAGATCTTCGATGCCATCTTGGAGGACGAGCCATTGTATCCCATCACCATGCCGCGCGACGCCGTGTCGCTCCTCCAACGGGTACGTCTCTTCACATACATTGGGACTATGCTAATACTCTACAGTTGCTGACGCGAGACCCCGAACGCCGTCTGGGCGCCGGACCCGGCGACGCCGAGGATATCAAAAAGCACACATTCTTCCGCGACGTCAACTTTGACGACGTCTACCACAAACGCACACCGCCGCCATACTTCCCGACAATTGGGAATGCGACGGATACGAGCAATTTCGATAGCGAGTTTACGAGGGAGCAGCCGACGTTGACGCCGGTGCATACGCAGTTGAGCGAGGCGGATCAGAAGGAGTTTGCTGGGTTCTCTTGGGTAAGTGCGCCATACAATTAGAGAGGGTGGTTGCTGATCAGCTATAGATTGCCCCGTGGGCTGCGGCTCAGGCGTAAGAGTAGGGCTTTGATACATTTTAATTTGATTCTTTTGTTGGTCGTTTAAGGCGGGTAGAAATAGAAGGTAATAAGAAGTGAGGGGCAAATTGTGTATATTTTCATGACTCTATGAACGGATGGCATCATTTTGTGCGGTGCCTACGGAAGACGACGGGAGATTACAAGAGTATCTTGGGATGAGGCGTGTGCCTCTCGGCCCCAAATTGAGCCTGCACCTCATGTCAATCTATCCGGCTGGAGCGGATACATAGGCTTGTTGGGTGAAACATGAAACTTGGCGGGGAGGAGGCAGCAGATGGACGACTACGGGACTGAGATATGATTCCGTCCTGTGGAGGCGAACGAGCTGAGCAAGAGGGCGGTGCTGAGTAGTAGCAGCCACTGACGCCATCGCCGACGCAATCCACTACTAATGAGATCTCCATCTTGGGTTTGTTGGGTCTCCGCAAAAGACGAATTGATACGGGACGCGCTTGTTCTACGCCGGTTTGTAACTGTACGATATTCCGAGGTGTTCTAGCGCGGAGACTGAGGAGCGCTATTTGGTTCCGCCAATCCTGCGTGGTGTCTGCTGGGGTTGCGTGATGCGGTGGATACGATTCATAGAGAGCAAAAGTACATTCACTTGACGTATTCTGCACAAAGGCATGCATAGATAGCAGCGATGATGATCTATGTGGAGTAAAAAGATATGCAGAGTCGTCATCATGGGCCGGATACCCTGAGAATGACTTAATAGGTAGCAAGCCGAAGAGGAGCCAGGCACCGCAATCGGCAAGTGACAGTACGTTGCGTCATGCTGCTTCTTTTTGGGCATCTGTGTATATAACTGTGTGCATGTCTCTCTGCTTCCGTTCCCCCTCTACCCTGCCCCCACCCCTGTCTGACGATCTCCGATCTCTGCTACCTTTCCCCCACCTGCGCCCTCTACCGCCCAGCACTACACCGTGTACGCCGCACAACAGCCAGAGCCGGGGCCCAGCCATGTGCACGTTGGCCCTCCCCCGCCCGGGCACCTCGTAGCCTCCCCAGAACGTATGTCGCCCACAAACAAACACAGCTGACCCCCATAGTGTACATACATAATCCCCCGAACAACTGGCGCCAGCTGCCCCTCATGCCCCCCGACGCTTACTACCCCGTCCACCAGCTCCCGTACCACGTCAGCCCACGGCCCAGCCTCGACATGGCCTATGCCAATGCCCTCCCCTACACCCCCGTCCGCTACGACCACCGCGGATTCGTTACCCCAGACAGCTACGGCTCGGGCGACGACGGCTGGGGCGACAAGCGTAGAGACACCGAGGATTTCGAGCGCGTCGACAGTCCGAGGAAGAAGCCACGGATAACGTTACCACGAGGACATGCATGTGTTGCTTGCAGGTGCGTACTTGAGCTGTTGTGGATGACGCTAACGTTGAGCAGGACACGGAAACTGTCCGTTATGTTTTATATCAAAGAGGCCAGCTGACACTTTTATAGTAAATGCCAGGAAGGCATCAGGCCGTGTGCCACTTGTATCAAGGCGAACATAGAATGCAAAGACGAAGACATTCCGAGAAAGAAACCGAGAAATGTGTTGTTGGAAGAGCGTATCCGTGAGTCCATTTTCCTTCCGCAGCGACATGGCTGACGTTTGCAGTCGAACTCGAGAGCATGCTTGGTATTCGCAAAGGCTCGTCCGCGCGACCTAGCATATCTGCGTCCAGCTATTCCACCGACTCGGGCCCCTCTTCCGACGTTATGGCGGGTGAGCCGTTATACAGCGGTCCCAGCCGCATCAGCACCCCCTACGTCGGCTCTCAGCCACGCATCATGCCCCCGCCCCTCTCGTCAGCCAGCCAGCATATGGAGCTCGACGTTATCCCGGGATCATCCATTGAGCTCGCTTTGATTCAGTACATTCTACCATACACCCCACACCTCCTCATTCCCGTTCACCCTGAACGACTTCTCGCAGAGCTGTCTCTGTCTAGCCACGACCCGTCACGACCCCATCCCGCGCTTCTGTATGTGCTCTTTTCTGAGGCCGTTCGCCACTTGGAAGCCGGAATCCCCCCCACTAGCCTTCCCAAACCACCCTACCTCTTCCATCCATCCCTCACCCCGCCCATACCTTCATCAGGCATCCACCGTGACTCGCTCCTTGCGCATTTAGGCGGTACAGCTCCGCTTTTGCTCGAACGCGCGAGACACGAGTTGGATGTGGGTATACGCCAGTTTGATAGGGTCTTTGACCTTTCGAGGGCGGCTGTAGGTATCGCGAGGTCGTTGTATACCCAAGGAAGGTTTGTGGAAGGATGGTCGATACCGGTAGCCAACCTCGCCATCGCATGTGGGCTCCACCGTATATCGGGCGGTTACATCCCCCCGCCTCCTTCCATCTCCCCCGCCACCAAAATCGCAAGTCTTCCCGACCCTTATGCGAGGGAACACGAGTACAGCCATGCTCATACATACGGCCGACCTCAAGTGGGGCAGCCGCAGTTGAGGATGAAGGTGGTGTTGGTCCCACCCGCGAGGGATGAGATTGAAGTTGCGGAGAGGGTGATGACGTTTTGGGCGGTCAAGAGACAGTGTTGGACAATGTCGATCGGTTGGGGTTGGCCGGATCCGTTGCCAGATGAAGAATGCACGACCGAGTGGCCTTGGGGCTGGGGTCATGTTGAAGTACGTCCTCCTGTTTCCCTGTGACCTTTTGCTGACGTCAGAACAGGCTGGTGTAGCCAATGAGAGATATTCCCTGATGGACCTATACGACCCATCTTCGGCTATGCACACCAGCATCCAGGCGGACACGACTTATACACTAGCGACAAAAAGCACGGCACTGTTGGCTCGCGCCAGCTCGTAAGCCTCAACACCTCAACCCCTACTGGATATATTCGTCTAACGCCTTACAGCTTGTCCGACTTGCCGCATTCGCAGCGAACTGTAGCGTTGCCCGATGGGACGGTGGTTGCGACCTACATGGCTCCGATGCCCGAGATCAAAGATCTCCAAACCGCCATTGCGCTCTTCAGACAACATATCCCCGTCCCATTCACTTTCCCTCCTCCCCCTGCTTCTTCCGCCCCTCTCTCCGGCCCTTCTACGACCCCACCTTCCCCCACCGCTTCCCCCGACATATACGACGGCCCCTCCGACCCGTTCTGGATACTCTTGCACACAAACTTGTATACAGCTGAAATGTTGATGTGGTGGGAGATGGCGAATCATCAAACCGAAGCGCACCATTCGGCTGTACAATGTGCACGGGCGATCATAGGGCTGGTCGTCCTGGTGCCGGATGAAAAATGGGCCAATGTCGGTGAGTATACCTTTTTTCATCACACCTGCGGAAAGGCAAAGCTGACGAGAAGGGGTAGATATGCTCTCGGCTCTGGGCTTGTCGTATGCCGCGAGGGTGTTGAATAAAGAAGCTTACCTTCTCCAAGCTGCTGGCGCGGTCGAAAGAGCCGAACGCGCGATATCAGACTCTGAAGTGCTCAGACACTGTCTCGAAGGACCGATCAACAAGTATCTCAAGGTTGCGGGCGCTTTCTCGCAGATTGTGAATCGTACCAAGGCAGGGCAGTCAGAAAAGATTGGAGAGTATGAGAGAGTGTAGTCTAAAAAAGATACTTGCAATGTATGCATTTCTATGAATCTATGATCTATAACAAACCAATAATATTTATTCTAGGTCATCTCCCCTGTGATGGAACGATGCCGTTTCGCGATCAAGAGCCATCAGCCTCGCAATCTCGAGGAAAAGTCGGAACTGATAAGCAATCATATCCTCTTTCCTCCAATACGCGAGACTCCATTCCCTACCCGCCTGTCCAATACCCTTCGCCAGATCGTCGTGCGAGGGGGATGATCGGAAGAAGGCGAGAACGTCGTACAGATCGGTGAGCGACGCTTTCAGCGGGACGTAGTGAACCCATGGTTGGATCCTATCTGTGTACCTGTATCCTTGTCAGATTAATGTCTCGGAGCAGTAGGGAGGACCAACCATTCGGGAAAGATGGTTGATTTAAGGACAACGGATTTAGTAGTCATCAATCGCTTGAACCTTGCGCTCCAGCCGTTCCCATCTGCGCTCATCAGCAATGACCACTATCCCTACGGTTGACTTACCAAGATCTAAAAGATACTTGTACCCATTTCCCTCCGCCCACGTTTTGCGGTCACCAAAGTGATAATTCTCCTGTATCTCTTTGCACACTGCATCGTCACACTGTATAGCGTGGTCCACAAACGCCACATCCACCAGATCGTCGTTGAGGTCCCCGAGGGGCGTTTCGACGGGGTAGCCCACAGGCGAGGAAGGATCCAAAGCGGGGGGCAGGACGGGTAAAGACCCTTTCTTCTGACCGGTCTGTTCCACAAGATTGATCCTTTGCGATATATCTGCATATGCATCAGCTTTGACCACCGTTACAATTTGTGAGACATACTCCACGGTACGCCCTCTCGAAAGAAGATGCCTGTCGTCTTGCCGCGCCAGATCATCCTATCATCCTTGTGCTCCCACGCAGGATCAGGCCCCACATCTTCTGTCCACGCTTCCATTGACACCTTCTGAAAATCAGTTTGGAATACGCGTGGGGTGAATGGAAAGACTGACGGCGAGGACATCAGCGTGGAGTGTGGTCTTGCACATGGCGAGCACCGGGTAGATATCTTTCCGGGGTCCGGGACCTTTGCCGTGACCAGACAAGAAGCCGACCAGGTGGGTAAGCTCGGGATGTATACAGGGATCCATGGTTCTGTCATTGATCAGTATCTCGATCGGATCGAAAAAAAGCGGGCTTACGCCTTGTGGTCCCAGATGAAAGATTTGTCGTTTTGCCAGAGATCGGCAAGGTCGGGAAGGACGTCGGGGTCGTAAGTCTCGCGAAGAGGTTTGTGGGGCGCACAGGCAGATGCCCAGCCAAGATGGGCAGTGTCAAGCTGTTTCTTGTCAGGATGGCGCGCGTTTGTGGCAGAACCTCATACCTCGTGCTCCTCAGTATTCAAGAATTCGCCAACGGCGGCGGCATCCTCCAAGGCTCCTTTCTGACATACATTAGCAACGCTCAAACACCAAGCCACTCACATATTCATGCCCCACAAACTGCCAAGGGACATCGTGGCTGAAGAATGTGACCTGCACCTCTTCCAGCAACTCCTCGACATCCTCCAAAAGCTCGACCTGCGCCCTAGCCCGCTGGTTTGCTACTCTTTTGCCCTCATCATTGAACCCTCCCTCCACAATCTCAAAAGTACACCGCGCCGATGATTTTGAGTTGGAGGATCCGGGGCAGGAGATGGTGTACATGCCAGAGTGGCGGGAGACGGTACCCATGTGCGCCCGGAGCTGGGATGGCGTCAAGGCGTGGAATGGTTCCAGGTCGAGATTCTACAAGCCACTGTAAGCGCTAGATCTATTGGTATAGCTTACAACTTGCGATCTGATCATATTCATCTGGAAGCTGCACATTATTCTCCTGCACATACTTCCACCATCTGTCAAAGCCTCTCGGCGGGTTCCTCTCGTATCGCCTGCGGTACTCGTCCACAGCTTCCGACAATGACCGGCTCGCCTTGTTGAGCTTTTGTTCCCAGTTCTTGTTGGCTTCTTCTATCAGGGTGTAGATGGGATGAGGTGATGACGGGTCTGCTATTAGCAAGCCATTTGGCAGCAGGCGATGCGCATGGGAGGGTTCCTCTGGTTGCTGCGCATGCCCCTTGTGGTTCGGCTTTCCATGTTTCACCACAGACCCTCTCCCCTCCCTCTCCTCATCTTCAAATTCAAGCTCATCATACCAATAGTCGTTGCTTTCCTCCAACGACAGTCCCTCCACATCCTTCCACCCTGCTTCCGAGTGGTCCTCCTTGAAGACGGCGTGCCAGCGCTCGTGTTCGTCTGTGTGGTTGGATAGAGAGGCGAGGTGGCCGAGGATGATGATGGGACCGAGGAGGAAGAGGACGATGGTGATCCCCGAGCGGAGAGCTCTTTTGGGGATGTGGATAGGCATGGCGAAGGATGAGGAGTCGTCCAGTGGACAGTGGGGCCAAAAGCCCTTTTTGAGCACTGCTCTTCGAGGGGATTGTCCAGGTAGGGTCGGTTGCTGTTGAGAAGAGTCAAAGTCTAGGTATTGTTTCTTGTGAATACTATGTATAGAAAGGCGAGGTCGATACTTTATGTACCGGTGAATGCTTTAACCCCGCCATCCGAGAATAAGAAAAAGATTGAACGCGCGACGCGCGGAGGTGCCTGGCAGTCAATGACTACCTCGGAGCTTTACAGGTAACGAAGCTTCAGAGTGAGTAGTATGTATTGCGAGTACATACGTACATCACCAGCACGAGAATGGTGGGAGTAGCAGAGAGGCTTGTCGGGAAGGAAGTGATGAATAGGATGCGCTACATGGATATATGATACATGCCAACCAATGAATGTCTAGGAGACGCCGACTAGACTTGCTCCTCCTCTTCTTCTTCGGCTTCTTCCACAAAGACCTTCTCCTTCTGTCTTTCCTGCCAGCTGAACACAGCAAACTGCCCGAGGACGAACAAGTCGAGGAAAATTGTGAGACCGGACCCAGCGAGCCAAGGCAAGTTGGCGAGAATCCATCGAGGGTTGAGTGACTTGAGAAGGATGGAGAGGACGTAGGTGATATCTGTTTCAAGTCAGTGCTTCACTTGAGTAGATAGTTGGACAGTGCTTACTGCCAGAAATGGTAAAGAAGAACATGGCGAGGGACAGGCCGGCACATCTCGTCTTGCTTCAACCAAAGTCAGCGCCGCCATATACTCTTCGACATGACTCACTAATTGTGCACAATCTGAGGAATACGGCTACCCAAGTACAGGACAGCACTCAACCACCCCAAAGTCTGACTCTTCCACTCCAACGTCACATCAGGCTCAACTGGCACGTGGACTTCATCCTTGTCGGTCAGATACCACGCTCCCGCGCCGGACAAGAGCACGAACGCAAGGAGAGCAGGGTACTCGAGGGAAGGGGGGAGGAGGGGCTTTGGTTGGCGGGGTTCGGGCAAAAGCGGGGTAGACTCGTCGGAGGGGGAGATGTGCGCATGGGCTTGGGCTGAGGGGTAGCGACGGTAATAGTACACCTGGAGCAGCAAAATGACGTCGCTGATGGTATACTATATTTCATTAGTATCCGACCATGCTCAATACAAGACGACTCACGTAGACCGCGAGAATGATCACTGTCGGCAACAGTCCAGCCAGGCATGCTCCCCAGAGGTTTGTCAAATCACCCAAGAGCCAAAGGACGATAAAGGGCACTGATAAGCCTTCTCCACTGGATAGGCAGTAGTTTTCCCATATTTGAGGGCTGTAGACCACGACCCAGAGGGCAATGCTCATATAACCCGAGACATTGGAAAGGATTGCCGGACTGATAGGCGGCATTGCAGCTGGGGAAGAAGAGTTAGCTGGGTAGATGTTATCAATTTCTGAGGCTCACGTGTATGACGGACACTGGTGAAGGATAGAATGGAAGTAGGACTTGTGGGGAGCGTGAGGGTGTAAAGCAAGGGCGAAGATTAGTCGGAGATCCTGCAGAGATCGTCCAAGATTTTGACCCCGCGTCGGGGTCCTCCGCCGACGTGGCCGTGGCGGTGCTCGCCTCGCGTTGTTTTAGCTCTGCACCCTGAAGCGAGAATAGAATAGCGCGTTCTCTTTTAACTCTTTTCTGCTTCTACCTCCCCCTCCCTCTCCCCCTCCGCCATGGCCCACTACCAGCAGGCCCCCTACTCCGACTCTCCTGGCTACGGCCAGAACGCCTACCAGCAGCAGGGCAACTACGGTGGCTACAGCGACTCTCCCCAGCAGGGCGGCTACAACCAGTACTCTGGTGGCCACGAAGGTGAGCAAAAGTGCATCCAGACGATATCCCATGCTCAAATACATATCTCTTTCATCCTCCTTCTTCTATCATGTCCACCCTCCTTTGTCCAATCCTCGTTGCCCTTTTCCGGCCTCGTCTCTGCTCGGTCCTCGACGCGTCGACGACCAATATATTCGACCGTTCCATCCTGACTATTCCCCTCTCCCCCTTTTGAAGCCTATCCCATGGCCTCTACCAATCCCAACGCAACATCAGGCCCCGGTGGCTATGGTGGCGCTAGCGGCTACGAGCCCGCCAAAAAGAAGCGCAACAAGTGGCTCTGGATCGGTCTCCCTATTCTCATCATCGCCATCATCATCGCTGCTGTCCTTGGTGGTGTCCTCGGGTCAAGATCAAGCTCAAGCGACGACTCTTCCTCCTCTGGTTCTGCTTCGACTGGCTCCTCCAACGCAAACACTGGTCTGCCAAGTGGCGTGACGAGCGCAAACACTGCTACCAATACTGGTGCCAACGGCGAGGCCTACCTTGCCGTTGCTACCAACAGCGAATACATGCTGCCCGTTTATGCCACCGGCGTGAGTAATTTTCATTCCCGTAAAACTATCGTCTGACAATGATTAGACCAACACTGCTGGCTACTCTGCCCCTACTACCGTCTCTGATGCCGCGTCCACCGACTCTTGGCCCGATGACCCCGACACTGTCTCCAACTCTAGTATCCGAGCCAACCCCCGTCTCGCACCTGCTTACAAGTGGGAGGCCCTCACCAGCGGCGGTCTCATCGAGAACAACCCTTACTTCAAGTACTGGAACGCTACCATCGTTCAGAACGCCAGTGACACTCTCGGCGACGACCCTACCCCCTATGACACTGATGGTGGTCTTGCTGGCTCTGGTGTCCTTGATGTCGCCCGAGCAATCAAGCTCAAGGTCAAGAACTGGGCCTACGCCTACAAGGTCACCAACGAAACCAAGTATGCCGACCGAGTCTGGCTCGAGTTGCAGACCGCTGCTGGTAACGGCTCTGTCTCTTTCGGTAACGAGACCACTCGATGGAACATGCAGAACCACGCTCTCGACGCTGGCGAGTTCTGTAACGCGTTCGCTATTGGATATGACTGGCTGTACGACTTCTGGACCGATGACCAGAAGGATAAGATCATGTGGTCCATCATTAACCTTGGTCTCTACTATGGCCAACTCGCCTTGAACGGCTCCTCCGAGGCTTCTTCCTACAACTGGTGGGCTGGTACCGGCGTTGGCAGCTCTGCTGTCAACGGTAACTGGAACTGTGTTATTAACGCCGGTCTTACGTCTGCCGCCATCGCCATCATCGACAGAGATCCAACGGGCATTGCCCAGTCTGTTCTCGACCTTTCAACGGCCGATGCCCACAACAACTGTTTCGCTGCTCCCTACTCTGATGGTACCTGGTCCGAGACTGCCAACTACTGGTACTTTGGTACAACCGGTGCGGCCGAGATTCTCAACGCCGTCGAGACTGCTTACGGCGATGACCGTGGTCTCCTCGCTGCCAACTCTGATGGTTGGAACCACACTTCCCTCTTCCACATCTACGCCCAGGGCATGACCTCCTTGTTCAACTATGGTGACCACGGACCCAACAAGTACTCTTCCACTGCCAACTCTCTTCTTTACTGGGCCAACAAGTTTGACCAGCCACGATACGCGCTCTACCAGCGAGACCACTATGACGCCCCCGAGCCTTGGTCCATGTTCTGGTACAACCCTGCGTTTGACGGCACTTGGTGGGACGGCCTGCCTCTCGACCGCCACTTTGACCAGTCTCAGGGTCAGTGGGCTACTGCCCGTTCCAACTGGGCCGACAATGACGGTACCTACTGGGCCATGAAAGCTTCCGAGCTCACCGGTCACCAGACCCACGGTGATCTCGATATCGGAGACTTTGTCATTGATGCCATGGGCCAGCGATGGGCGGGTGAGCTTGGTTCTGGACAGTACCTTTCCGACGGTTACTTTAGCAGCGAGGAGCAAAACTCTGAGCGATGGGACTACTACCGAAAGGCGACTGAGGGCCAGAACACGCTTCTCATTAGCGAGCAGAACCAGCAAGTCAGTGCTACCCCCACCGGTAACTGGGGTTCTTCCGGAACCGCCCAGGGCCCTGCTCCCTCTTTCGAGATCGATAGCGATGACACTGCCTACTTCTGGACCGACATGTCCTCTGCTTACAACTAGTAAGTACTCCACTCGCTTCCCAAACCCCTACTGACGTCCTGATAGCACCGTCAAGCGAGGTATCCGATTCGTCAACGCCCGAAAGCAGATCCTCCTCCAGGACGACGTCGAGTCTGTGCCCAACCTCCAGTGGAGGATGCACACTAACGCCACCGTCTCTGTCTCCGACGCTACTGCCACTCTTGTCCTCGACTCTGAGACTCTTGTTGCCTCTATCGTCCAGGGCCCTTCTGGCGCTGCTTTCAGCACTGCCGAGCCCACTCGAGCCAGCAGCGACCCTGCTCTGCCTACTGGCACCATGAACGCAGACCAAGAAAACACCGGAGTCACAGTGTTGACCATTGATGTCGATGATGGAGGATCATTCTCCTTGCAGGTCTTGTTCACTCCTCAATGGGGAAGCAACTTTACCGCCGTCGACAGCGTTAACAATGTGTCGCTCGATGACTGGAGTTTGACAAGTCACTGAGCGTGATCTGGTCGTTGGGTGTGTGAACCGAGGCGTAGAGTGGTGTAGAGTTGTGCATGAGGATGATTGGCGGCGGATGATGAACTTGACGAACGATTTTGCCCATTGTGGCCCCTCTGTATCTTACTGCACTTTTGTGCCGTCCCCCTTGTCATGTTTGTGACGATTGATCTCGTAATAACTCTCTTTTATATATTTCCTTCCTTCCTCTCTCTTTCTCATCGCAAAAGTCTCTAGTTTCTACATGACCATCCTACCGATTGACGACCGTATGATGCGGTGCTATCTTCACTTTCCTTTTATACGATAAGGTTTTGATGCATATGGACTCTTGTGTTTAGCTTGAGGGCTGAGGTTACTACAGCAACTACACTATGTACAAGGGATCATGCACGTAACACCACTACATAGCTCAACGGGACCAACCAGAAGCGGTCCTCTCCGCCCATGATGTGACACCGCCGCCCGGGAGACCGCGCCGTCCGAGATGGTATCAGGCAGTGTTCCAGCGAATCTCTTCTTCTACATCCCAGCACAGCGTAAAGCCCCCGCCATGGAGGAAGCAAAGATCCTCGCAGACGCTCTCACCAACGTCAAGGTACAGACCGTCCAGCTCAAACGATGTCTCGACCAGGACGAGATCATGGAGGCCCTCAAGGCCGCCTCGTCCATGCTCTCCGAATTGCGCACATCGTCGCTCTCGCCCAAGCAGTACTATGAGCTGTACATGTCGGTATTCGACAGCCTGAGATATCTGAGCAACTATTTGTATGATGCGCATACAGAGGGGAAGCAGCATCTGGCGGACTTGTATGAGCTCGTACAGTGAGTCAAGCCTATTGTGCTATGCGATTGGATGCTGACAGAGGATCATAGGTATGCGGGCAATATTGTGCCAAGATTGTATCTGATGATCACCGTTGGATCGGTGTACATGTCCATCCCAGATGCCCCTGTCAAGGAAATCATGAAGGATATGCTGGAGATGTCGAGAGGCGTGCAGCACCCCACTCGAGGCTTGTTCCTCCGACATTACCTTTCGGGCCAGACCCGAGACTTCTTGCCAGTGGGCACCAGCGACGGGTACGTCCGATGCCACCACTCACGGCTTGACTAACCCTGCTTTAGACCCGGAGGCAACCTCCAAGATTCCATCGGCTTTGTCCTCACCAACTTTATCGAAATGAACAAGCTCTGGGTGCGCCTTCAGCACCAAGGCCATACGCGTGAGCGTGAAAAACGCGAATTGGAGCGCAAAGATCTTCGGATTCTCGTCGGCACCAACCTTGTCCGTCTCTCCCAGCTGGAAGGCGTTGACCTCGACATGTACAGCAAGATGATCCTCCCGGCGGTGCTGGAACAGGTGGTCAACTGTCGAGACGTCATTGCCCAAGAGTATCTGATGGAAGTCGTCATCCAGGTGTTTACGGATGATTTCCACCTCCACACTTTGACGCCTTTCCTCGGTGCTTGTGCTCAACTCCATTTCCGTGTCAACATCAAGCAAATCGTCATTGCGTTGATCGACAGGCTCGCTGCTTATGCGGCTAGAGAAGCTGAAGATGAAGATCCCGAGGAGAAACGGAAGGGCGAAGAAGAAGCGGCCAAGAGGCTAGCAGAAAAGGTCAAGGGGGCGCGAGGAAAGGGGAAGAAGGTTGAAGATGGCGAAAGGGGTGTTGCACCGGTGGCCAAGCCCGTCGAGGCGGATGAGTGGGCTGGAGAGGCCGATGGCAAAACTTCCACACCACCTAAAGAAGAAGCCAACGGGGAGTTGTCAAAGCCCGTGGAAGAAAAGAAGGAGGGCGAGGAGGAGGCAGTGACAGAGAAGATGACCGAGGAGCACACAAAGAAGTTTAGGGGTATCCCGGAGGATGTCAAGCTGTTTGAGGTGTTCTGGACTCAGGTCGTTGAACTTATCAAAGTGGGTCTTGCCTCGAATGTCGTTTACAGGTGTCTAACCTGCTTCAGGCTCGACCAGACCTGTCCATCATGGACATTACGGCGCTTTGCGTGTCTTTGACAAACTTGTCTTTGAGCTGCTATCCCGACCGCCTTGAATATGTTGACCAGATTCTTGCCTTTGCCCATGGCAAGGTCCTCGAGTACGCCCAGAAGTGAGTCAGATATTGATGTTGAGACACTATGACTGACTTTTTGCAGCCCCGACCTTCTCCACCCCCAGACAGTCGCAAACCTTCTTGCGCTTCTCCTCGCCCCAATCTCATCGTACCTCTCCATCCTCACTCTTCTTGCTATACCAGCATACACGCCCCTACTCTCAGCCCAACCTTATCCCACCCGTCTCGCCATATCGCAAGCGGTTGTCTCTTCCATCTTGAAGAACAACACCCTTGTCGAGACATCTGAGGATGTCAGCGGAGTCCTCGGGCTTTGTGCAGTCTCGGTCAAAGACCAAAAAGACAACACAATTGGCGGTGGCGCTCCTCAAAGACGCGGACAACAGGTCGATTGGAGAGAAATGGCCGAAGAGCAAGGCTGGGTCGCTCGCATGATTCATCTCTTCAAAGCCGACAACCTGGCTACCCAATTCGAGCTCCTACAGACTGCCCGGAAGCACTTTAGCGAGGGCGGCGAGAGGATCCGCTTCACGTTCCCTCCGTTGATTGCTTCAGGTATCCAACTCGCGCGACGTTTCAAGGCTCGAGAGCAGGAAGAGGAAGATTGGGAAACACGGGTGTCGTCATTGTTCAAATTTATCCACCAGCTCATCTCCATCTTGTATCACAAGGTAGAAGCTCCCGAAACATGTCTTCGGCTGTTCTTGCTCGCTGCTCAGGTCGCCGACGATTGTCGCCTGGAAGAGCTTACATACGAATTCTTTGTGCAAGCTTTCGTCATCTACGAAGAGTCGATATCCGAATCTCGGGCTCAGCTCCAAGCTATTACAGGTATCATCTCGGCACTCCAAACGAGCAGGGTGTTTGGTACGGACAACTACGATACGTTGATCACCAAGGCTGCTTTGCATGGGAGCAAACTCTTGAAAAAGAGTCACCAGGCTACCACTGTCTTGTATGCTAGTCATATGTGGTGGCAAGGAGATGTGCCGGGACGAGAGAAGGATGACAAGGTAAATTCTTAACATTACTTTTGACAGCATGAGCTGATCAAAATGTAGACACCATTCCGGGACGGCAAACGCGTTCTTGAGTGTCTACAAAAATCTCTCCGTATCGCCTCATCGTGTATCGACGAGATCACGTCTGTCCAGCTCTACGTCGACGCTCTTGACCGATACATCTACTACTTCGAGCAAGGCGTTGAAGCTGTGACTCCCAAGTATATCAATTCCCTGGTGGAATTGATCACTTCCAACATAGATTCGGTGCATGCTGGGGATGTACACCCGAGCTCAGCGGGCGGGGGTTTGGTGGAAGGTGTCAGCGGAGGGGATATGATTGTTAGGGTGAGTCATATAACATGTCTCTTGGACATCACTCACCTTGTTGCAGCACTTCCGCAATACACTCATCCACATCCAAGGCCGTCAACGTCAAGCTCAGAAGCAGGCTGAATCCGACACTGATGAGGCGGAAGGTGACAATGAGAAGAAGAAGGTCGACTGGGAGAGCGTGGATATCGTCGGCGGTTCCTTGAAGATGGGTCTTGAGCATTGAGGCTGAAATTGGGTGAATGAATTTTTGTATATAGATACCCGTGCTGGTGCCACCCTACGATAGTGTTAAAGTAATGCATCTGTTTTCTGGATGTCGATCTGTCATGGAAGGCATGACGATGTGTACAAGAATGATACTTCTTATGCAAACATTCTATGAGATGGCTTTGCACATGGATTGTACAGATTCCTCAACCTCCAAGACCCCTCTTGGTATTCTTGACGACAGCCACGATTCTGATCCCTTTTGTCAGCTAGAGTCCCCTGAAATCTGAATGTTGACTCACGGCATATCGATACCACTGCCTCCTGCCTTTCCGATCTTTTCGCCTTCGGCCCAACCCATCATACTGAGCAACTTGTGGCCGACGTTATCATTGCCAATCTTGTCTGCACCAAATCCGACCTCCTCTCCCTCTATAGCCTTGGCAGATTGTCCAGCGCCCCAGTCTTTACCCTTGACTTTCGGTTTTCCAGCACTAGACTTGGAGTGCAGTGCCTTGTAGAACATGCCTCCAGAGTAAGGAGCAGCCCCGAGAAGGCGGTCGCGGACTTGCGTCTTGACATTGACTCCTGATCGTTTGGTCTTGTTCAGAGCACTGGATGTGTCGTCAGTATCCGATCAAGACATGGCAGGGAGCATACTCACATCGACTTCTTCTTTCCAGATCCACGAGAATTGGACTTTACACCGTAACATTCCGCTAACATGTGCACTTTCTTTCTGGTGACCTTGTCCAACAGAGGCAAGGTGATTTGCTCCTGTTTCTTATCATCCAAGAAGTTTTGGATAAGGTCATCCACCCAGTCAAGAGAAGTCCAATCGGTGGCCACGGGGATCTTCTTCCGTCCAGGCTGCTGAGGCAGGAACTGAGGCGACTCGGGTCTGGATTGACGCTTGCCACCCATTGAGAAGCGCGCATTCTGAGCTTTGCGGCCTGAACCGTACTTGCCCAGTCCTTCCATGTCGAACTCGACGTCGTCGTCTTCATCCGACATATTCTCGTCAGAGAACATGTCTGCAATCTCAGCTGCAGAGCCGGATACAAGATGAGCCACAGATGCTTGAGCAATCTTCTTGGAGGTCTTCTTGTCCATCTTCTTTCCCTTCTTTCCCTTTGCCTTCCTCGAGCTAGAGGCGCCCAAGAGCGCAGATAGATCGAGTACTTCAGCTTGGCGCTCCAATTCTCTCTGCCTCTTCTTCTCGGCTTTCGTGGCTCTGTCCTTCTCCCACTGGACTTGAAGCTCCATGGAGATACCCTTGAGCTTCTTTCCCTTCTTGCTTTTCTTTGTGGGTGCTGGATGACTGTCAGCGATCGAATGGCTTGCTCATGATGAGTCTACGCACCAAGACCGAAGTCGTCAGGGAAAGTATCCTCCCCCATAGGATTGAAGATGCTCTTTCCTCTATAATCATCGAGATCGACATCACGTCCAATCAAGGCATCCTGTTGTCATATCAGTATACGAGGATTTTATGACATGACCTAGACTGACCTCCATTGCTTGAACAAACCAATCTGTCTGATCAAGATCATCGCCTTGGTCCTCACTATCCCCACTATCCTCACTATCCTCACTACCGTCTTCTCCCACTTCGTCCTCTTCATCGTCGTCATTCTCTTGCTCTTCTCCTTTATCCCCATCTTCGTCATCCCATTTGTTGGAACCGTCAAAGAGTTGTTTGCGATGATGTTCCTCGAGCTCCGTCACGTCAAAGACCGAGGTCCCAGACGACGACGAGTCGTCTTCATCCTTTGCCTCGGACACCCGTTTGTCCTCTTCAGCCGTGTGACCAAGCCATCCCTCTTGCGGTTCTTCCTTCTCTTGAGCCGGGGCATGAGACATGCCCATGTCGTCGTCGTCATCGTCAAGCTCTTCACCGGCGTTGACACGATTGACCCAATTCGAGAGAGCATCATATTCTTCCGCGCCGCCGTCGTCATCAGTGTGGGTGGCTGGCTGACTAAAGCGAACGATGGGTCTTTCTGACTGGCTCTTGGCCAATGCTGGAGCATCCTCATCCGATTCGTCATCGTCGTCGATGTCGCCGCCTTTGTTGACTCTGTTGGCCCATTGCGCGAGCGAATCGGCATCGTCCCCGAGCGACTCGGCATCGTCTCCGTCGTCCTTGACGATGTTCTGGAAATCAGCCTGTCTTCTCTCCCAAGGCGACTGGCGCTCTGACGGCATATCGGACAGAGCGGAGGGACGGGTACGGGAGGCTGTCTCTGATCTGACGACGTGAGGCTCGTGGCTGACCTTCCCTTCTTCGAGATCCATCCCATCATCGCTCTCTTGCGTCTGCCCGTTCACCTTTTGAACCCAAGAGTCAAAAGCGGCAAGCTCTTCAACCTCATCCTCCGAACTGGCTTCGAGAGCATGCGCCTTGGCTTGAGGGGCAGCTGCAACGGGGCGGGGCTGAGACTTGGGCTTTTTCGCGGCAGGCTTGACTTCCTCGTCCTCACTGTCGTCGTCAAAGCCTTGGCCGCCCGCATAAGCGTTCGCCTTGTTTGCCCAATTGGCAAGAGCTTCAGCATCAATCCCATCATCTTCCTGTTCATCCTCTTGATCATTACGCAGCCCAAGCTTGACACCTTCCATATAGTCTCTCAAGATATCCTCATTCTCCCTTCGTCGGGCGCGGTCATCTTCGGAATCGACCCTCATCATCTCATCCCCTGATGGAGGTCCTGGCGTCCCCCACTCGACATCCGAGTCTTGTCTGGCTACCCTGGACGCGGGGTCCAGCGCGGAACGACGGGCACCGCGCTTCTCCTTCTTGCGTTCTTTACGAGCAGCGCGTTTGGCGGTCTTGCCCAGCTTTTTGGCAGCATGGGAGGACTGGGGAAGAGCCGAGGACTCGTCGTCCCAACCGAGAGATGCCCGTTCGTCAGGCGGAGAGTAGGTCGGCGGTACGATGCGGGACTTTGGACCCCAGTGCGTGGGAGGTTGGGAAGGAACAGGTGCGGGCTGCCATTCTGGCTGGGGTTGTGTTTGACTTTGCCTAGATTGGCCGTACGAGGGAAGAGCGATAGGTTTCGGCTGGTTGAAGGTCCGGGGCACAAACACAATGTCCTCTTCGTCCGAATCACTATTGGCGGTCGTGCCGAGAGCAGGGGCAGATATAGTGTTGTACTGTGGCGTGAACGAGGGACCAGCATTGTCATCGGTCGGGCTGGTATCCACGAAAAACGCATTGTCGTCTGTGGGTTCGGTGTCCACGAAGAACAGAGGCTCCTCTGGTTCTACCGGGGCTGCCTCCGTAGCTTTCTGATTCCAGGTATACTCCTCGTCCACCTGATCAATGCTAAGATCACCCACTTGGGCGTGGATAGAGAGCGACTCGGTGAATTTGGTCACGTTCGCGACGTCTTCTCCCTCAAGCTCGGCATCTGCGGCCACGTTGGGCGCAATGTTGTCGGGCACGATGGACGGCTGACGATAGACGTCGATCTCCACTTCATCCTGCAGATCGGACATCTGTGGAGCTGATGGATCGGACAGGGGGAGCTTGTCGACATGAATCTCCTTGTCTGCAATTATACAGCGTCAGCCACAGTATATCAGCCGTGATCATGACACTCACCTTCGTCCTGAGTGATGACATCGACTTCTCCATCTTTGAAAAGCTCTCCAGCCTTTACAAACAGTGGCGCTCCACCCCCTCCCCATATCGACTTCCCAGGCTTGAACTTGTTCTTGTTTTTGTTCTTCATAGCAGTAGGCCGAGCAGTGTCCAAGTCAGACTGGACGGGGGTGTGGAATCCGAGCCCGCGGATCTTGTTGGGTGTTGCTACGCCAGGAGCATGAGGGAGTCGTGGTATATGTCGCGGACCATGAGGGTTGTCTTGTTGGCTGGTAGCATCTTTGGGGCCGAATGGCGCAACAGAAGCTACATCGTGCGTCAGTGCCGGCAAAGGTCCAGACATCGATAAGACTCACGCTCCATCTTGGAGTACTTTCGTTCGTTGTTCAGCTTTTCGTAGCTGAAAGCCACGTCCGAATAGTCTGCGTTGAAACTCTTCTTGGCATTCTTGGAAGCCATGCCGCCTCTGCCACCACCACGGCTCCCTCGAAATCCGCCTCCTCGACCTTGCCACCCCCCTCTACCTCCGCCGATGGGCGACCCGCTGCCGGAAGCGAGAAAGTCGCTGAATGATTCCTTCTTGCTCATGAGCCAATTGTAACTGGCTGTGGTTGTGAAGGGGAGTTGTTGGATGAGAGGCGAGAGGAAAAAGAAAGTGATGATGGACAGAAGCATTCGACGATCATCATCGAAGAAGCGGCCATGAGCGCGCACGTGGCAGATGTGGAGGCAGGCGCAGAAAATTACGCGTCGCTGATTGGGTCTTTGCGACGCGTCGGATCCGAGAGTAACTAGGCATGCATCTTGATTCTGGATACATGTGTCTTGCTCTTTATGAATATCAGCAGGGTAATGTAGAATGAGTTGTAGAACAGAGTCTCGCAATGCATTGCTCATTGAAGCCAGTTCATGATCCCAAGCAATGCTGTGGCTTGTGTCACCCAACTCTTCTCTCGGACCTCGCCACACACCACAATTCCAGGTATATCAGTACTCGGTCTACGCGGTAATAACTCCAGAAACAGAACAGAAGCCACTCTGCCCTTTCCAGAAACAGACGTCGTATGCGATCCTCGCTCCCCATATCGCTTGGTCCTTGAATCTTGAGGCTTGAGGCCCGGCTATGGTTGAGGCCCTCGGTGAAATGCGCCACCGTGGCCCCTGACGATACTATACTACTATAGCAGCGGACTATAGCATTAGCTACCTGCAGAGTTGCCATATGTACAGTACAAGTACAGCTGGCATTATTATGAGTTCTTGATCAAGTTATGGCTCACTCTGCTGACCATACACGCCAAGTAGCTCAGCTCCTCGACCACACAAAAAGCGCCGAGACGCTCCCAGATGCTCCAAAATTGCGGCAGATGAGAGCCAGGACTGATACTCTTTCGTTTTGAATGTATGCGCCGATCGACCGGTGAACACTTTCAAGCTGCACTTATGCTTGACGGATCATGTGATTGGAACGATAACGAGAGAGGTGTGGCGTGGTACCGTAATGCTGAAATGGTGGCGTTACATAAGCAACTATTGAATCTTGCGCGTGGTGCGTTCAGGGACGAGCCGAGCGTTGGCCGGGTGAACAAAGGGGAAATGCCAGGGGTCAGGGACGCCAGCTCGGCGCCATACATGCCTTCTTCCTCGCCAACAACTCCATCCCAAGCCCCCCCTCTTGCCCAGGACCCACATCGACCCCTGCGAGCGAGCGTCCCACCCACACCCCCCACCCCGTGCGGCCGTCCGTCAGTACCTCGTGGTTCCTTAGCCGGCGCGCAGCTCCACCGCCCTTCGCAAACTTGTCAACCAACTGCACCATCAGCACAGAGCGCCCTCTTTCCTTCCCAACCTTCCCAGTGTATATCACCCAACACCGCCCTCCGCGCTAATCGTCGTCTGCTGCATCTGCTAGCCGCTCTCGCCAGTAGTGCGTCGCTGAAACGCCTTTCCGGTGTGCGCCCTCGAGCTTACCGTTCTCTTGCAGGCACCCAGCTGGATAATAGTTTCAGATCACCTCGACCTCTCTCCCGTTCATCCATCCTCTGCTTCGACGATACGCTGGGCTATCATCACGGGTCGCTCCAATTGATAGCCGTAAATCAGCTCCAAGTGACCTGTGAGTAAACTCCTCCCAGTAATCTTCGTCTTCTTCGTCTTGGCAAGTAAAAATGGGTGTCCTGTTCAAGCCAAGTTGCAAGGATGTACTAGGCAGAGCTTGATTGTGGTGACTTTGCAGAAGCATTTCCAAGCTGTAGCCCTGATCGTCATGTCTGGCCCTCTGGGATGTGCCACATGGCTTTGACGTGTACTCATGTCTACCCGCCATTGAGTTTCTATCTTTCCCACTTTCCCCTCCCACAGACCCCACAGTGCATTTTTGTTTCCCGAACATCTTCACTGATACTCTGCTTAGTTTGGTCCCGATAACGGAACGGCCAAGTACCATCATTCTACCCAAACCTATACCTGCCAGTCAACCCCTATCCAACCCACCCACCATCTCCGACCACTCTCCTCCCCATAAGCGGGCCAGGTTGACAGCCATGTCTCTCACCGACCCATACCCTCCGGTGATCGCCACCGAGGGGTCTACCGCCTTCCAATCCCATATACTCTCCTTATTATCCGTCATCTCGCAGCACCCTTCCCCCGACTACCCTTTCCCAAGCAAAGCCGACCCCCTCTCCGAAAGCAGTCGGCAAGAAGGTGGGTCGGGTAGCAAGCAAGACACTCTCTCAACCTTCCCTGGCAAGAAGACACCAGCGGAGGATGCGATTGAGCGGGCGATCATTGCCCTCGGAGACCGAGTATGGACAGCAGAGCGGACGCAGGGTCAGTTGATGAGGGAGATCAGGCGTGAGGCACCCGTCCAACAGACCAACGACCTGCCAACACCCGACTGGACACCTCCTGTGCCCGCCGAGTCATCAGAGCCACCTGTTCCCGGTCCAATCTGCCCCACCTGTGCCCGTTCTATCTCTGCCAACCACGACATCACCAGCTTCACCCCGCAGCAGATCGCTTCGTTTTACCACCCGTTCACTGCCGCCTTGTCCACGCCCCCGCCACCTCTTCCTGAACAAATGTTCTTCCCGCCCAACGTCCTCGCTGCTTATGTCAATGCTACTTCCGACAACGAACCCTCTGATGACTCTGGCTTGTCGGCCGAGAAGGAGCTTGCTCTCCTCAAGGCGCAAGTCCAGGATATTGCCCGTGTCTGTAAGGCCGTCGCCACAGGTGACCTTACCCAGAAAATCATCGTCCCCGTCAAAGGCCAAGCTATGACCGAACTCAAAAACATTATCAACGCCATGGTAGACCGTCTGCAGACCTTTGCTGTCGAAGTCGAACGTGTCTCGCTCGAAGTCGGCACCGAAGGAAAACTCGGTGGTCAGGCTGTTGTGCCCAATGTGGAAGGTTCATGGAAGGTCCTCACTGCTGTCGTCAATAAACTCGCTGCCAACCTCACCAACCAAGTGCGAAGCATTGCCAAGGTCACAAAAGCTGTCGCGAAGGGCGACTTGTCCGAGACCATCGACGTCGAGGCCAGGGGTGAAATTGCCGAACTGAAGACTACTGTCAACGGAATGGTGATGTCTCTCCGAACGCTGGCCGATGAAGTCAGTCGAGTATCCCTGGAAGTCGGTAGTCAAGGTAAACTGGGTGGACAAGCCAATGTCCCTGATGTCGAAGGTGTCTGGAAAGATCTTACGGTCAATGTAAGTTGTCTGCGCTGCTATTTCAATCCTGGGCTGACCATCATTCAGGTCAATCGAATGTGTGAAAGTTTAACAACCCAAGTGCGAAGTATCGGAAGCGTCACGACTGCAGTTGCCAGAGTGAGCATTGCTGGTCTTGCGCCAGTGGCAATAGCTGATGATCTTGCAGGGTGATCTAAGTAAAATGATTGAGATAGAGGCAGAAGGTGAAATGGCTGTATTGAAAAACGTCCGTCTCATCCCAATTTTGCTGCGCCCTGCTAATCCACATATCAGACTGTAAACTCTATGATTCGGCAACTCACTATATTCGCAAAGGAAGTCACGCGTGTCGCGTTGGAAGTCGGAACACAAGGTCAATTGGGTGGTCAAGCTGTCGTGCCAGGCGTGGAAGGTGTCTGGGATGATCTCACCACCAATGTGAACAAGATGGCTAGGAATCTGACAGACCAAGTGCGAGAAATTGCCATGGTTGTAAGTTGTAACATGTGGTGCTTTACTCTGCTGATAAATCCCTCAGACCAAAGCTGTTGCCCGAGGAGACCTGTCCAAGACCGTCACCGCCGATGTCCAAGGAGAAATTCTCGATCTGAAGGCTACTGTCAACGAAATGGTTGCCCAACTTACCATCTTTGCCTCTGAAGTCACTCGTGTGTCTCTCGAAGTAGGAACAGAAGGCAAGCTGGGTGGTCAAGCCGTGGTGCCAAACGTTGAAGGAACATGGATGGTTTTGACGGATAATGTCAACTTGATGGCTTTGAACTTGACGACGCAGGTGCGATCAGTCGCTGAAGTGTAAGTGTATACAATTCTCCTGACGAGGTTGTTGCGAATACTGACATCGTGCAGTACGACGGCTGTCGCTGCTGGTAACCTGAGTAAAAAAATCAATGTCGCTGCCTTTGGTGAAATCCTCGAGTTGAAGGTTAGTCATCTTTGCATACGACGATGAGGTGGATGCTGACAATGTGATGCAGAACACTGTAAACAATATGGTGGACTCTCTGCGATCATTCTCGTCTGAAGTCACGCGTGTAGCCCGAGAAGTCGGTACCGACGGTCGTCTGGGTGGTCAAGCCAAGGTCCCTGGTGTTGCCGGTACTTGGAAGGATCTTACAGACTGTGTCAACATCATGGCAGCCAATTTGACCGAGCAAGTGCGAACCATTGCACACGCTACTGTGAGTGGTATTGTCAACACTACATGGATCTGCCTAATGCAATCTTCTAGACTGCTGTCGCCCGTGGTGACCTCACGCAAAAGGTGGTTGGGGTCAAGGTGTCTGGTGAAATTCTTGATCTGGTCAACACCATCAATAATATGATTGACCAACTGGCGATCTTTGCTGCTGAAGTCACTCGAGTTGCTCGAGAAGTCGGAACGGAAGGAAAGCTTGGTGTGCAGGCCGAGGTTGAAAACATTGAAGGGACATGGCAAGAAATCACGTGAGTACAGTCGAATCCATGAGTGGACGGCATTGACAATTATACAGGTCAAACGTAAACACCATGGCTTCTAATTTGACATCCCAAGTGCGAGCCTTTGCTCAAATTTCTGCTGCCGCTACCGATGGTGACTTTACCAGGTTCATCACTGTCGAGGCCTCTGGTGAAATGGACTCTTTGAAGACCAAGATCAACCAAATGGTCTACAATCTGCGAGAATCCATCGAGAAGAACACCAAGGCTAGGCAAGAAGCTGAAATGGCGAACCGAAGTAAATCCGAGTTCTTGGCCAACATGTCTCACGAAATCAGGTAAGACTCAACCGCTTTGCATTCCGTGCTGTGCTGATGTTTCTGCAGGACGCCGATGAATGGTATCATCGGCATGACTGTCTTGACACTCGAAAGTGAATTGACAAGGCAGCAACGAGAAAACTTGATGATCGTATCCAGCTTGGCTGGTTCATTGTTGACCATCATTGACGATATCCTGGATATCTCCAAGAGTACGCCGCTCACACATCACGTCCGCTATTGCGCTGACGCCCAGAATAGTCGAAGCTGGTCGCATGACCATGGAGAAGATCCCATTCTCCCTTCGTGTCGCTGTCTTCTCTGTCCTCAAGACCCTCTGTGTCAAGGCTGCCCAAAACAAACTTGATCTGATCTTCGATCTCGATCCTTCCATGCCTGATCAACTCATTGGAGACCCTCTCCGACTTCGCCAAGTCATCACGAACCTCATTGGTAACGCTGTCAAATTCACCACCAAGGGTCAAGTCGCTTTAACCTGTCGTGTCAAGGGCTACGTGACCGCAGCTGTCGAACTCGAGTTCTGTGTTGCCGACACCGGTATTGGAATCAAGCAGGACAAGCTCGATGTCATCTTTGATACTTTTGCCCAGGCCGATGGCTCCACCACTAGAAAGTACGGTGGTACTGGTCTAGGATTGACGATCTCAAAGAGGCTCGTCAACTTGATGAACGGTGACCTGTGGGTCGAGTCTGAGTATGGGAAAGGCAGTCGCTTCTTCTTCACTACGGTGGCTGAGATGACAAGCGTCCCGAGGGACCAAATCATCGAGCGTCTGTCACCTTGGGCTGGAAGGAGTGTCTTGTTCATCGACACTCTCGGAGACGAGACTGGCGTCGTGGATATGCTTCAAGAACTCGGTCTCAAACCAATTGTGATCCACTCCGTCAACGACGTGTACCTGCTCCAGGATCAGGGATTGACTGTCTTTGATACCATGATTGTTGATTCTCTGAAGGCCGTAAGTGAAGTCCTTGACACCCGTGAACCCTTCGTGACAATCTATAGGCTGGGGAACTGCGGGGCATTGAATACCTTCGATATATCCCCATCGTCCTTCTGGCACCCTCTCACAAGCCTATTGGCCCCGACAATCCATCTTTCATCTCTCTTCCTGAACCTCGGCGCCGCCTCCTTGCCCTCCCTTCTTCTTCGGAGCAACTGTTGTCTCCCATTCCTGTCAAAGATTGTCTCGAGATGGGTATCAACACCTATTACACCACTCCTTTGTCACTGCAAGAGCTCTCCAACGCTATCGTTCCTGCCCTCGAGACTCATCAAATTCAACCGGGAGACACGGTCAAGGATACGGTTTTGAGCGTACTCTTGGCAGAAGACAATCTGGTGAACCAGAAGCTCGCTGTGAAATTGATGGAGGTCGCCGGACACAAGATAGAAGTCGCCGATAACGGAGAGATTGCTCTGGAGAAGTATAAGAGAAGACAAGTGGCCAGGACCGCCTTTGATGTCATCCTGGTAGGTGTTGATTGTCTCGACTGATTTGGACAATAGTACTGACAACCTTTCTAGATGGACGTCTCGATGCCCGTCATGGGTGGTATGGAGGCCACTGGTCTCATCCGAGAATTCGAGGCCAACGAAGGTGTTCCTCGTACACCGATCATTGCGCTCACAGCGCACGCCATGATTGGCGACAAAGAGCGGTGTCTTGCGGCAGGCATGGACGAGTATGTCACGAAGCCTCTGAGAAGGGGTGACTTGCTTGCATCTATCGCCAAGGTGCTGGCTCCCAAGCAACCCTCTTCTAGTCTCGAAATCCCAATGATCTCAGCAACCTCTGCCTTGTACGGCAGATAATAACGCCCGCATCAATTGAAAATCTATCATTCATCAGCATTCATACCCTCTCTATACCCGACGTTGCTGTGGATCGCCATCAAGATCCGGATCGCCATATACCTTGCTTCGTTTTGCATAGCCTCAGTTTGGTCGTCCTTTTGTGCTTCTGGACCATTTTATCTCTGGCTTGCTCTTTCTCTGACTATATCTCGATATCTCAATCGTACTGTAGCTCAAGCCGAAGGCCTCGATGGCGATATAATCACGTGTTGCTGCAAGACCACGGGGCTTGAGCGTCATGTGTTTCTCGTGTGAAAAATCTTGGGTCTCTTGTTTAATATATTTACATCTCAATCTGGTCTCAAAAGGACTCGCTGTTCATATGTCGTGGCCAAACACGTCCCACTTCATACAGACCGAATGCAATTCTATCTCATGCGCCTGTGACTTGATACGACATCCAGATAGAGACACGAATGTTGTGCTGTGGCGAAGTCGTAAAACATTGACAACTATCCTCTGACGGCGGTATGTAGATAGAGACACGACTGGTAAGTATGTAAAGAGTTCATAAACGACTAGTATGCCCAAAAAATGTACAGAATTTTAATGCAATCGTAAGGTCCATCATGAGATTAACAGATCACCATCCCTGCACCACAGGCTTCGCCTTCGCCTTCTTTGCCTTGGTCCCCGCAAAACGTCCTCGAAGCTTTTCCGGCTGCTGCTCCTCCTCACTCGAGTCACCACTAGTCTCGCTCTCACTATCATCGCCACCTACCCCCTGCATCTGCTCGGCCACATCCCTCATCGTGCTCTGTCCTTTGTTACTTGACTCGGGCTGCGGCTTCGATGGAGAAGCAAACATAGAGGTGAAGCCCCTGAGAACATCACGAGGCAGGCTGGACAGCGTTGGGAAGCTACTTCCCTGAGAAGCCGGATGGGGAAGTGGTTTCAATGTTGGATACAGTGACTGAGAGGGTTGAGACGCAGGACGGGGGATGGGTATGGAGTTGATAGGTACTTCGTCGTCTGACGCATCGCTCTCTTGTTCCATTGACTGGTCCTCTCCGGTAGGCGTTCGCCCATCGTCATCCTTGTGACTAGCACCTTCTTCTTCTTCTTCTTCCTCTTCCTCCTCGATAATGGGACTACCCATTCTCAGCGTACCGTTCCTCCTTGCATCTCCAATGTGATCCGTCGGAGATGATTCGGGCACCGCATTCTTGGCTTTGGGAGTAGAATCGGTATCCGATGATTCCAGGGTGGGGTAGATATTGTATGCCTGCGTTTGGGGATACTGAGATCCTTGTGACATGAAGAGGGGACTTTCTTGGCTACCCCCATACTTCCAGAACCTCCCAATATCCTTTTGGGTCTGGCTCTCCTGCGACTCTCCTTGAGATCCATTAGGTTGCGTCTCGGCGATGAACAACGGAGACTCCTCAACGACCTCTGCCTGATTGGCTGGCGGAGATGAAGGATCAAGCTGATCCACTTGCGAAGAAGCTAAAGGTGTCGTCTGGCGTCTCGAAGATCGTCTGGTAGGTACAGGCGCAGGTTCGGGCTGCGAAGCCTGAACATCATTGGATTGCGAAGCGGTCCTTCTGGTCGAGCGCCTCACTGGAGGTTGTGGGGTAGAGGGAACCTCGAGTTGCCGTGATGATGATCTCGTGCTCCTGGACCTCGGCGCAGGAGCAGCCTCGGGAGGTGGAGGGTCTCGAGAGGCAGAACGAAGGCGGCGCCTAGATGGTGTAGGAGGAGCGATATCAGGCTGACTGTTCAAAGGGTAGGAGGAAGGAGGAAGATCCAGCGGGGGCGAGGAGGCACCCCCATTGCGAACATGAGAGACCTGAAATGTGACAGCAGGTCGAAGATCAGGCGACCGCTCCAATTCCATCGAAGGCTGCCTGGACGACTGACGAGTACTTCTCCTAGTAGTTAAAGATCTCGCTGTGGGCGTGACGGCTTCGAGCTGGGTTTCTGGGATCATCTGAGTGGCCGGGAGCGAATCCTCCTCCAGAGGCAAAGGAGCCGATGCAGGAGGAGACATGGGGCCATTGTTGGAGCTTGAAATATGTATCTCAATGGACGGTTCATCCCGTGCCACCCTTTGAGAAGGATCTTCCTCATCGATAGTGTCTCTAATGGCGATATCGCCAGGGAGTTCGTTAGGAGGTGCACCGGGACTGGCAAGGGCAGCGAGATCACTAAAGGACTGTCTGGAGGATTCAAAGGTTTGGAGCAGCTGAGAGGAATCGGGGGGAGTCTGAATGTTGCCGTCAATGGCCACTTCTTGAGAGGGGAACTGCGTGACGGTATCAATGTCCATTGGTTCGGACTCCTGCTCGATGTCCTCGACTTGAGTGGCAACAGCCACGGGGGTCTCGAATGATTCGGACTCCTCGATGTCTTCAACTGACTTTGCCCTCTCATCCCCCTGTCCTGGCTCCTCATTCGGAGTGACCACAGGAACAGAGTTTCGATGCTCTTCCTCGTCGACCACGCTCTCATCCTCCTTTTCGTCCTCATCCAAGCCGTAGCCGTCAACCAGGCTTTCCTCATCATCATCCTTTCCCCTATGGAATGACCCATTTGCGCGCCTTTCCTCTTCAGAGTCTACATCGGAAGCAACTTGGGGCTCATCCTCGTCATCTATTCCAGGGGCCTGCATATGAGCTGCAGAGTCTCTAGCAGCACGCCTTTGCTTCTGCGAAAGAGGAGCAGTGAGGAAATGCCGTAAAGCAGCTCCCGGGTCAAGGGATGACAGGTCTGGAGGGGGAGGGGAAGGCGAGTCGCGGCTTGAACCAGATGAAGAGCTCGATGAGGCGGACGATGAGCGAGCACGGGTGCTCCTTGTACTCCCATCGCTTCTGCTACCCTCATCCCCAAAACTGCTGCCCGAGTCAGATTCGCTCTCAGACTCGGTATCAGAGGCAGAGCTTCCGGTCTCGATGACTGCATCCGAGACGCTGATTGCTGAACCAGGACCGGCCTTTCGCGAAAGGGCTTTATGGTATATAGGTGGCAATTCGGGGAGTGGTGTTGGCGGTACAGGAGGAGGCGTGGGGGATTTGGACACATCTGAAGCGGATGACTCGGACACGGCTTTCCTGTTCGAAGTCGGGGCATCGTGGGAGGTGACGGTAGAGTTCTTTGCGGGCGCTGTTGTGCTCCGACTGTCCACTCGCTTGGGTGTAGAGGGTTTGGGACTGGCACCTGTCACAGCATTGGCAACTCTCCCAAGCCTCTGAATCCACATCTCGATAGCCTTCACAGCCGCCTCGGAATTCTCCTCGGTGCATCTCACAGCCAATACCTGTCGCAGACGAGGAATGCCCGCTTTGACGACCTCACATTCAACTTGAGGGTGGGAGAGACCTTGGCAGATGATGCACTCTGGTTGCTTTGGAGGGGGCAGTGAAACCTGAGTGGGCTCCGCGACTGGGTTCATGATTAGCACTGACCCTTGCCCTTCCAATCGTGGTACTCACCAGGCTCCTGAATTATCTCCTCTTCTCGCGTTTCGAAGTCTCCATTCGCTTGCACCTCATTTGACACATCTGGCGCACGCTCGACCTCAACATCCGGCTGTCTCTCAGCCGTCGCAACAGCTCCCTGGGGCTCCTCGTGCTCACTGGCATCACCTGCCTCCTTTTCCACATCCTCGTGATTCGGCGTATTGTTGGTCGATGTACTGGCTCGGGAAGCCACCTTCTTGGACTTTGTCTTCTTGCCTGATCCGGAAGCGGGAGTGGAAGGTTCAGGCAGTGAAGATGTATTGGATGATGATGAAGCGGCATTTGGAGAAGAGACCGCAGCGGGAGCGTCGACAGCCATCGCATCGCCCTCCGCCTCCTCCTCCAGCTCTTTCTCCTTGGCTGCTTTAGCAGCGGCTTCTTTCGCCTGTGTCTCTCTGAGGATCTGGGCCGCAATCTCTGCGGCCAGACTGGCGCGAGGACCAGGCTTCGGTTTCGCAGGAGCTTTGCCTTTCGAGGCTTTGGAAGCAGATTTGGGCGTGGGCGTCGAGGGCTGGGAAGGGGCAGGTGCAGAGGCAGAAGTTGAAGAAGCTAAGCCTAGAAGTCAGCAAGAGTTGCCTGCCGAAACGATAACTGGACTTGCCTGCGAGGTCACTTGTGCCAGTTGGACGATCCTTGGTCGCAGTCTTTCCCTTTGGAGTGACTTGAGCCTGAATTTCAGCAGGAGCTTCGTCACGAGAGGGGGTGGACACTGCGAGCAGCCGGATGTCAGCTCACGAATGGCCATCTGATTGCCTCCTTACCTTCAGGGGCGCTGATTCCTGTGGCGGCAGCCTCAGCAGCCAGCATCTCACGATGTTTCCTCATGATCTCACTAGACACACCCGGAGTGGTCGGCTTCGGAGTTGCCTTTGCCCTCGGCTTCCTAGTTTTACTCGGAGTCGTGTTATCGGAAGTAGCAGGAGTGGAGGGTGCAGGCGCAGATACAGAGCTTTCTTTGGCAGGGGTAGAGATGGGGGCAGGAATTGGGACCTCTGGGGCCTTGGCAACGCTAGAAGCCTCGGAAGCAGCAGCAGCCTTCTCCTTCCTCTTTCTCGGTTTGCGCGCCTTCTGCTTGCCATCTTTCTCCGTCTCCTTTTCACCCTCAGATTCCATAGGATTGTCCATTCTCCCAAGGGGACTAGGTTTGGCGGGTTTGTATTTGTTGTAGTTGGCAGGGGAGAATGAGAATTGGAAGGGATTGCCCGTGGCAGTAGCAGGCGAGGGGGCGTTCAAAGAGAAGGTGGGAGCCTTCTGAGCCGGGGAGGCTGGAGGTGAAGATACCTGAGAAGCTCTCTTTCTCTGCTTCTTCTTGGGCTGAGTGGGAGACGGGCTCTTCTTGGATCCTTGAGCATGTTGAGAGGGTCCTGGGGTAGAACTTGCAGGGGCCTCCTCGACATTCAGAGATGTGGAGTCACGCTTCCTCTTCTTTGTCTTGGTCGCAGGCGCAATTGGGGGAGCAGGAGAGGGCTGAGAAGGTCTATCTGTCTGGATGACGGGCGGCAGGTCGGGCTGAGGAATAGCCTTCGCTTTCTCCCTGTTCTTCTTGGACGTTGCCGGTGTAGAAGGGGGAGCAGGGGCTGTTGAAACCTCGCCCTTTCCTTTCTTCTTGGATTTCTGAACAGTAGCTGGTGTGTTGTTGGGGGTTTTGGAAGCAGCAGCGGGGGTAGGGGTTTGAGGAAGGGCTGCTTTCTTGTTGCTGGTAGATGGGGTGTAGATCTTGACCGTCAGGGGCGTAGTAGCTGACGCAGCTCTAGACTTGAGAGCCGAGAAATCAAAGTCTGGGATAAAACGTCAGCCAAAGTCATGATTGCAAGAGCCAAACGCCTTCTCACCGTCAAGGATCTCAACTTCCTTTCCACCATCTCGAACGTGAAGGACTCTCAACTCTGGACTAGCGCTGACTCCGAGTCGCTCAACGATCTTTGGGACCCATTGATCAAAGGTTCGCTTGGGCTCTATCACCCAGTCAGTCAAGACCATGTGCACAGAGTGCCACTCACTGAGCTTCCCTCTCCAGGCCTTGGAACCGTCGGCCAGCTGGACGACGACATGGGCCTTGCCCTCGTCCTCGTCTGGGGCAGCCGAGGGGGAGGCTGTGGGAGCTGGGGAGGCGGTGGGAGGGAGAGAGTCCCTCTTGCGCTTTGCCATGCTCGTTCTCCTAAAAGTCGGTGGTCAGTAGTGCGCGATCTAACTTTGAGATTTTGTTGTTTTTGGAACTGGCGTGAAATTTAAGTGGAGGTGTGTTTAAGCCGGCCCTATCACCCTATGTATTCAACATACTCTGAGCTTGTCTTCATGGTGCGCATGCATGCATGGGGATGGATATACAGGGGTGCCCAGAGCTGGGTGTAGCACTACACATATGCATGCCGTACGCTGTAGCGATTGAGCCAATCAGATCTGCCGTTCGCACAAGGACAAGTCGGCCAGTTTCGACTTTTGCTCTTCTTCCCTATCTTCTTCATTCAGCGCTTTCACACCTATATAAGATGTTGGGCCTTCTCCCAAAATCTTCTCTCAGGACGGCCATCTCCAGGTCGCTCCACACTAGCCCTGCTCGCCTTGCAGAGGGAAAGACCAAAGTACCCGTGTCCCTCATCGCGGCTCTCCGAAAATCTCACCCTGTCCCCCTCGCTGCTGCCAGAGAAGCTCTCGAGCGCTGCAACCTCGACCTCGAAGCTGCCCTCGATTATCTTCGCACTACTACCTCGGCCAGTGCCGAGAAGAAGGCAGCCAAAGTATCGGGCAGAGATACCAATGAGGGCGTAATCACCATATCTCTACTGGGAGGCAAGAGGGTAGGCATGGTCCACCTCGGTTGCGAAACAGATTTTGTGGCTAGGAACGATGTCTTTTTGAAGACTGCTCGAGGGGTTGCGGAGACGACTGCTTTCTTGGACGTCCCCGGAGAGCACGAAAAACCCAAACTTCTTTCCAACTCGGCCAGTATCCCCGACCCCATCCTCGAATTCCCTACCGAATCTCTCCTCTCAGCCCCCGTCATCTCCCTGCCCTCAGATACCAGTTCTGATAACATTACCCCCATTCCCACATCAGAACCAACAACAATAAAACAGAGCCTTCTGTCGTCTCTGTCTCAGACCGGCGAGAATTTGCGTCTATTGCGAGCAGTCTCTTTCGCTGCTCCCTTCCCCTCCACCCCCACAGTTAGGTTCGTTCCCGGTGGCTACGCCCACGGTGGATCTAGCGACAAGGAAGGAAAGGTCGGCGGCGTTGTCGTCCTGGCAGTCACTGGCGCCGAGGCCGACAAGCCGATTGCCTCTATCATTCATGGCCCAGGCGGCGACGAGCTCGAAAAGTCTCTCGAGTCTTTGGCCCGTACTGTCGCCCGACAGGTCGTTGGCTTCCCCACGAAAGCTATTGAGCGTGGGGATCGTGCCGTGGAAGACGAGGAGGTGTTGATGGAGCAGGCGTTCATGATGTTCCAGGGCGATTCGAGAAGCGTCAAGGAGGTGTTGGCCGAGTGGGGCAAGGAGAGGGGGGTTGTAGTGAAAGTTGTCGGCATGAGGCGATGGTCTGTCGGAGACGAGCTTGAGACGATTGAAGCGTAGGGTTACGAATAGTCATTTCAGAGCATGGAGGTAGCATATAGTACAACGCTGAACATATGAACGCGATCGCTAGGCTCAAACTATGTAAAATGAGATTCTTCGCTGCTCTTCTTGTTCTTAGTCTCGCTCTCGGAAGCAACCGCGGTGTCTTCGCTACCCAGCCTATTTGATCGAGCCTTCTTCTTTGCCTTTTTACTTTCCACCCATGCTTTGGACTCTGCCTTCTTGGCGGCATCGTCCTCCCTCTTCAGGCTGATCTTCTTGACGAGGAAAGCAGTGACCGGCACACATATACCGATACAGGGGGTACAGAACCAGAATACCTCCCTGATACCTTGTGCTATTACGAAATGAGTACTCTATCCAAGGTTGATGTCGTCAATGACTCACCATAGGCTGCCGTCACCGCTGCAATCTGCGACGCACTCAATCCCAAGCTCTGCGCCTGAGTGGGATCGTTCAAGATAGTTTGATACTGCGCGTCCTCCAACACTCCCTGCAGATTCTTCTTCACGCTATTGTTGACGATAGACGTACAAGCCGCTAACGCGATCGTTCCACCCAACATACGGAGGAAGTTTCTCAGTCCAGTCGCCGTCGCCATGTCCTTTCTGTCCACGCTCGCTTGGATAGCCACCAAACTCGTCTGGAACGTCTGCCCGGCACCGAAACCGACAATGACCTGGTAGCCGCATAGCTTGGCTACACTGGTATCTGTGTTAATGCTAGATAGCAAACCAAGGCCAACTGTCCAGATGGAGAACCCGATGACGAGGTTCCACCAGTAGTCTCCTGTTCTGCTGACGAAGATACCAGAGGTGAATGATGATACTGTTTGTACGAGCATGAGGGGTAGGGTGAGGACACCGGAGCGGATGGCCGAGTCTCCTCGAACGACTTGGAAATATTGCGGAAGGTACTACACACCGAGTCAGCAGGAAAAAGTGAGGTTTATGAAGCACTCACGTAGAGGGTGGCGTAGAAGCTGATCCCATTCATGAAAGTGGTGAAATAGTTTGCTGCTGTTGACCGATTGTTGAAGATGTGCATGGGCACAAGTGGCAAGCTGACAAGCTTGGCTTCCACAAAGATTAAGACGCCCAACAAGGCGAGTCCGATCAGGAGAGGAGCCAACACGGGCGCAGAGTCCCAAGAGTACTGCGTCCCTGCCCAAGAGAGTGCGATGAGGAAGGGTACGGCCCATGCGAGGGTGAGGAGAGAGCCCCAGAAATCGAGTTTCTTGATCTTTCCCCACATGCTACCACGTACTCGGCGAAGAGGGAGAAGGAATATGATGATGAGTATGGCGAGCGATGTGATGGGCAGATTGATGTACTAGAAGAATGTCAGTTGAAGGGTGACACATACGATTGTGTAGACTGACAAAACACCATCGCCAAGTGACCTTTTCCGTAAAGACACCTCCTAATATCGGGCCGAGGGAGTTTGAACAAGCGACCACCATCCCGGTTATGCCCTGGTACTTTCCTCTCTCTTTCAACGACACCACGTCGGAGACTGCTCCAGCGTCAGGCGTCATTCATGATTGAAGGGATGCACTTACTGATGATCATGGACAGAGTCAGAATACCACCGCCTCCAAGACCCTGTATGGCCCTGAAGACGATAAGTTGTATCATAGTCTGAAAGGCGTCAGCCGTGGGTGGAGATAAGATGGTCCGTACATACCTGCGCTAGAGAACAAGCCAAAGAACCCATCAAGAATATGAAAAGACATGCCAGCAGGGTAAATTTTCTCCCAAAGATGTCCGATATTCTTCCATAGATGGGCTGCGCGGTCTATTTGGGAAGTCAGCTTATAATACAATATGAACGTGGTGCTAATCACTTACAGTCGAGGTCAAGAGATAAGCCGTGCCGACCCATGAGCTGATGTCTGCTCTGTTGAAGACTTGGCCGAGTGTAGGTAGAGCGGTGGTCACACTGGGACAGTACAAGTCAGCATTTCCCGAATCATACTCCACCTTGTCACTCACATGGTTTGATCCAATAAACTGCAGAAGAGGGCGCAAGTCAAACCACAAAAGACAAAAATCACCTGTTTGGTGGGTAAAAGATTGGTCTGATCTTGAAGTTCAACCTCCTTTTTCTTGCCCCATCTGGAGTTTTTGCCTTCTACATTCTTCTCTTCGTCGCTTCCCTCTGGATTTTCAGAGTTTCTCCCGACGTCCCGAGGGTCATCTTCTTGATCCTCGTCATGCGTATCCAGACCTTCAGGTCCTCTGTCTTCTCCCTCAGTATAATCCCCGGTCTCATGCGTGGCCATGCGCCTCAGTGCACTTTGAGCATGAGCACTGCCGCTGGTCAGAGTTCTACCAAGCGGCGCCCGAGACTCGTAACCGGGCGTTGGAACATCATCGGTAGATGGCACTCCGAGGGTAGTTGGCGGTGACGACTGGCTGGTCGATGTCATTGATGAATGAGAGGCGGAGGTGGAATGGTAGGTAACAATACTAGTGTGGCAATAAGACGAGGGGCGAGCTAGGGGGGTGCTGATAGGGAGAGGCGAGTCAAGTGACGAGCGGGAGTTGGTATCGATAAAGTGGTCACTCTTGGGTTGAGGTCGAGTGTCTGATTGAAAAGGGCAGCCCGCTTGTATGGCTTCTGGTCCGCAAGGATCCCTAGTGGTCAAGATGATGGATAAGATAGAAATGGGGAGATTTTGCCTGCCATCGATCTGCGTGGCCACCTCTCCCAGTTGCCGGCTGTCATTGATTCCAAAAATCATCTCGGTCAAATCCGAGAGTATGCTTAATTTAGATTCCGCTCCCGGGGAACGCCGACAAGCGAGGAGCCAGTTGGTCAGTCTCTGCCTGAATATGTATGTACTTGGAAGCTAATGCGGGCAAGGCATCTCCATCATATGCCGCGCATGCATGCAGGTTTATTCAAATGTACCATCGCTACCTGTATCATATCTTTGTCGGGCGGTGGCCTTTCTCATGTGAAAACACTCGCAACACGAGCCAGGGATGGACCACGGCTGGATAGCCTGTATCAGTAGTGTGCCCAGCCAGAGAGGTATCGAAAGAATCATCGATCTCCAAAGGCCATGCGGCCTCATATTCCCATGGTCTGCTACCGCCTGTACCGACGAGAGGCACCTGATTCTCATCCAACGAAACATGCTGGAAATGAAAGTCTACCGACTCGGAATCCCAGAGGCTTTCATCGAGGGCGGAAAACCGACTCTCTTGGATTGGCAGCGTAATCACAGCCATTCCATCATTTCCCTCGAGTAGGCGAGACAGTTTCCCGGAGAGCCGAGCCTTGGGGCGACTCGATGCTTCAATCGCGTACTCGTGCCTCACCCACTTTCCACTCTGGTGTGAGTCTTCATAAAGCAGTCCTGAGCCTTTTTGAACGGTATCCGGTACCGATGTCTCCCAGTCGTATGTCCTGGTCAACGCGTCTTCGTTTGAGGGATCGTCCTGTGACGCCCGGGCGAGGAAAGTAGTATGGTCGAGCTCTTTTCCGAGATAGCGAGCTGACTCCTTGCGGAACGAGTTGCCTGGTGGGGTAATGAAGTAGAAGGGATGATCTTCGGCGATCTCAACGTTCTTGGTTTGAAGAGCGCCAACTGGAGATAGGCTTCGTGGCATTGTGAATGTGTTAGGCGGGAGATAAAGGTTGGGGGAAGGTAGCTGCCATTATGCCTACTATATATGCTGCATGAGAAAGAAGGCCATGACCGAGAAGAACTCCAGAGCCCGACGAGGTGTGCGTAAATTAATACGAAGACTCTTGACCCTCCGCACAGTAACAAAACGGATCTCCGGAAGCATGGCTCCTTACTAGACGGATCGGGGGTTAGATATCCCGAAGGAGAAGGCATCTCCTTTGACATGCACTACTCGAGCACTGTAAGCTTTCCGATGCTCATGGGAGAGCCATACCGAGCGAAAGAAGACTTTGAACGAAGTTGAGGGAGAGGTGCCACAACGGGATTACGGTATTATCGACGCGTCCTTCCCAACGCGCACAAACACGGCAGGGACCCTGGGCAGCCGCGGTGGAAAGGCTCGTTCTTGCTCTCTTCTCTCTTTTTCCTGCGACTGCCAGTCCCAACAAATCCTCCCTGCCACTCTTTTTGCCCTCCTACCACCCAACCTCAACCCCATAATCATCCAAGAGTGCGTAACAGAAAATCTCTTCGCTAAAAAATCACGGGCCTGTGCACGAGCTGACGTGTATGTAACCACCTCCCCTTCAAACACGCTATCCTCCACCCTGCGCCGTGACTACGCTCGGACGCCCTGCCAACACTTGTGTTCCTCCAACCTCGTGATCGCAACGTCTCTACATCTCCTTTCTTCATCCTCTTTTCGTCTTTCCTTCTTACACATACATCATGGGCCGTTCAGTGCGAGAAATCGTCCACCTTCAGACCGGTCAATGTGGTAACCAGATTGGTGCCAAGTTCTGGTGAGCTGCGCCTCTTTGGTCACCAGCAACGCGTCGGCTGACATGTTATACAGGGAAGTCGTCTCTGAGGAGCACGGCATCCAGGCCGATGGTTCCTACAAGGGTACCACCGACAGCCAGCTCGAGCGGATCAACGTCTACTACAACGAGGCCGCTGCCGGCAAGTACGTGCCCCGTGCGGTCCTCATTGACCTCGAGCCCGGAACCATGGACTCTATTCGAGGTGGTCCCTTGGGAAGCCTCTTCAGGCCCGACAACTTGTACGTCGTATGGTGAATCTGAAGCAAAAGGCTGACATACTGCAGCGTCTTCGGTCAGTCCGGTGCCGGTAACAACTGGGCTAAGGGTCACTACACTGAAGGTGCCGAGCTTGTTGACTCTGTTCTCGACGTCGTCCGACGAGAGGCTGAAGGCTGTGACGCTCTCCAAGGTTTCCAGATCACCCACTCTCTTGGTGGTGGTACCGGTGCCGGTATGGGTACGCTCTTGATCTCCAAGATCCGAGAAGAGTTCCCCGACCGAATGATGTGCACTTTCTCCGTCATTCCTTCTCCCAAGGTCTCCGACACCGTTGTTGAGCCTTACAACGCCACCCTTTCCGTCCACCAGCTTGTCGAGAACTCTGATGAGACTTTCTGTATCGACAACGAAGCTCTTTACGACATTTGCTCTCGTACTCTTAAGTTGAACACCCCTACCTACGGTGACCTCAACCACCTCGTCTCCGTCGTCATGTCTGGTGTCACCACCTGTCTTCGATTCCCCGGTCAGCTCAACTCTGACTTGCGAAAGTTGGCCGTCAACATGGTGCCCTTCCCTCGTCTCCATTTCTTCATGGTCGGCTTTGCTCCTCTTACCGCTCGGGGTTCCGCCAGCTACCGAGCCGTCTCTGTTCCTGAGCTCACTCAGCAGATGTTTGACGCCAAGAACATGATGGCTGCCTCTGACCCCCGACACGGTGTAAGTCGTCAATGATTCATTTGCATTGATCAATGACTGACGTTTCATAGCGATACCTCACCGTTGCCTGCTACTACCGAGGCAAGGTCTCCATGAAGGAGGTTGAGGACCAGATCCAGTCCGTCCAGGCCAAGAACTCTGCCTACTTTGTCGAGTGGATCCCCGGAAACATCTCTGCCGCTCAATGGTATGCCGCTTGGACTCTTATTGTTTGTCACGCTAATAATTCCTCAGTGACATTCCTCCTCGTGGTCTCAAGATGTCCTCTACCTTCATCTGCAACTCCACCTCTATCCAATCGCTCTTCAAGCGAATCGGTGACCAGTTCTCTGCCATGTACAGGCGAAAGGCTTTCGTCCACTGGTACACTGGTGAGGGTATGGATGAGCTCGAATTCGTAAGTCGGTCCCTTCGGAGTATGTGCCTTCACTGACAGACTTGTAGTCCGAGGCCGAATCCAACTTGCAAGACTTGGTCTCCGAGTACATGCAATACCAGGAGGCTGGTGCCGATGACGAGATCTACGGTGACGAGGAGATCCCCATCGAGGAGGAGGAGATGTAAAATCCCCAACTTCAAGAAAATATCCCCCGCCTCCTTGCCCTCGTGCATCATCGTGATTCCCTCGCGACTTGTTTCGATGGTCGTCTTTGGTCTCGCATCTTCCCCCTATTCCCCTGCATCTATACCCCCTCATAATCAACCTTTTCTCTCGCCATACCCGGAGCTTGGGTCTCCGATGTCTCTTTGTGAGACGGTGTGCTGCGTATCACCCGACATCTTTTTCATAATGGGCGGTCTTCAGTGCTGTCATGCAACCCGTAGACCTAGTATCGTGGAAGCCTCAAGGTTGCGTAACAATGGAGAAGGGCGCGACGACATCAAATGATCGTACGAGTAGCGTGTACGGGGGCAGCTTCGCTGATTTCTTCGTCACTCTGCGGCTGAGTGAGTACCGCCGTACGTACCGTTGTTTCTCAATACAGTCTTTCGAGCACCCGTGTGCCCCTAGCAATCAATCACCGTCCAAGTTAATCACTCAGGGTCTTCATCAATTCCTTTGACATCAGATTTCCAAGAAAGGACACAGCGGAGGCTCTTCACGATACATGACTTGGTCACCCATGACTCCAGGGGCTGCTTGGACTATCTTGAAGTCCTATCGGGGATCGCTGATCTATCACCGCTGTTTCAGAATCACTTTCTCACTCCTTTCGATGTGATGTATTTCTCGAATCAGCCTCCGGAAGAAAGAACTCATTCGATCTCGTTCATCTCGTTACCTCAAAGCATGGAATCAAGGGACATCAAGGAGGAAAAGGAGGTCTCGCCCGCTCTGCTGATCACTTTTGTTCATCGATCCAAACATTAAACACAAAAAGGTTGGATCTGCTTTCTAGAATGATCAAAAGGGAGGGTAGCGAATGATATCGATTCATCCGGTCTCCCTGGGGCTAGAGAAAGGTGGGATCAGCTCAAGACGCCCATTCATTGATACCAGGAGTCGTCGGAAAGATAACACAGAAAGTCTATCAAAAGGACTGTGAAACCCTTGATCACTATCGATTCATCGGGGATAAATGCGTTCCTTTCAAGGTGAGTCTGATCACCGCCTTGCTTTCAGCTTTGTGTACCGGACATTAACAGAGGTCATGTTTAATATAAAGACAGACTGTCATGCCCGTTGAGCCCGGCTGCTCCGCTCCCACTATCTACAAACCTTCCACCATGAGCCCTGAGCCGCGATCATCCTCAGACACTTCCATGTCTGCCTCTCCCAAAAGAAAATCTCCTGTCATATTGGTTTTCCCGTCGTCTGAACCTGCTTCACCTCCTCTTCGAGCTGTGACCTCTCAAGACTCGATTACCAAGTTCTCTCCCCCGGCTTCCAATTCCACCCGCTCCAACCCACCTTCCACCCGCAAACGTCCCTCCAACATCAACCAAGGCTCTCGCTTTCCACCTCGCACCCCCACAAACGGCCGCCAATGCACCAACTGTGGTGAAACGGATACCCCACAGTGGAGGGGTACGTTGTGCAATGCGTGTGCGCTACGGAAAAGCAGTCGGGGCACGGATAGACCGTTGCCGCTTCGTTTTCCCGTGCGGAGAAGCCCTAGGCCCCCCGAGGAGACTCGAATGAATGGACAGGGAATGGAAAGCAATGCGAGGTATGGGGTGATGCCACCAAACTGGTGGGCTGAGGAACGGAAGATGCTGGTGAGATTCTTCATAAGCAAAAGAGATGCGTGCTCACGTCACGTCGCCAAATGTTCTACTAGCAGCCGCCTTCTGATTGTCTTGGATATGCTCTCTTTCCTCGTCAAACCGTGCAGCATACCCCCCACCATTTACAGTCAGGAGAATACACCCCTCCCATATCGCCAAAAAGCCATGGCTCTGATACGGGCACCCACGGGATCATATCGCCGCGGATTGCTGCAATCATGGCCCAAGCTCACGCCCAGACTCGACCGGATTATCACGCGAGCTTTTATGGGACTAGAGAGGGGACTGGTCAAGAGAAGAATGCGCCTGCTCGACATCCCGAGGCCCAAAAACCGACACATGAGTCTTCACCTTACAAACAACGATCACAGCGTCCAAGCCCTACGTCCCATCCCTACGCTACTTCCTCTCAACGCCAGTCTCATGCTTTTTGCCCTCGCCGTATCGGACAGCCCCCAATATCTCCTTCATCTCCCCCGACTCTGGTTAGCAGCAAAGAGGATTTCATGCGAGGTGCAGAATGGTTGTATGACATGATTACTCGAGCTGCTGGGATGCTGGAGAGAGCTGAAGATGAGTATCTGCGGGAAGAGATTCTGGGGATGCATCGGCCAGGATATGAGAGGGGGAGTCGATAGAAGGATGGTAAGGCGGGGGAGTATGGGGAGACGACAAGCGAGTTCAAAGCTCTGTGTAGCCCATCCTACATAGTGTGCACTATGTAGACGACGTTGATGACATTTTATATGTACTGAGATCATCGCTGTCCAAAGGTCACAGAGCTTCTAGCCTGTTCTAAGCTGTGATTTGGCGCTCATGGATCGTTCAACCTTCGAAGGAAAACTGGGCGGCTGGGCCGAAGATCTTTGGGCTGCAATGCGGATTTCAAACTGCTTTTCAGATACTCTCCCAATCCTCACTTCGATGACTTCATGACTTGGATCAATTCACGAGTCGTGATTCTGTCGACTAGCTATACTATTCATACAAACACATCAAGCTTCCGGAATGATATCCAGAGATAAACGCCCTACCGTGCAGCCACTCGCCACCTCTCGTCCACCACCTCCCCCATCAGCGATCCACCCCGCTTCCATATCCTCCTCCTTCTCTATACCATCAGTGCAGACGCGTATACACCACACCATCTCAAACTCCCCAATACCTGCTGGGGGCTCTGGAGCGCAAGGGTCGGTGGTGGTGGATCCGAGGTGGAGCGATGCGAGCAAGGTACATCCGGCGTGGGATGGGTGGGGGAAGGGGCCGGGGGGCAAGTCAAAGTTATGAACCTGTTAGTCTTTGACCACTCTCGATATGTTTACTGAAGCAACTACCACTTTTAGCGGGCCATATCCGGCTGGAACTCAGGGGCAATGCACACGTTGCAATGTACTCGCAATAGCACATCATAACTTGTTGTAACTACCTTGGTTCACTTCTGAAGGTTGGGAGCGTTATGATCGCATCCCGATGTACTATATCATATCATCATATCATACATGCGTCTGCTACTGTAAACGACTTTCTGATCTGCTTCCCTACAAATGGACAAGAAGACGATTATCCAGTTCGGAGAATGACATGGACACCGGAATCAGTCTTGACAATGTCACTGAGCTCTCCGATGGGGGTAGAGAAGGTGTTGTCCTGTCACTGTGTTAGACTTCAAGCTACTAGGACACTTGTCTACTCACCTCGAAAGGCTTCTGCATCTGTCCCCTGCCAAACCATCCCAGATCGCCTCCCTTCTTTGCACTAGAACAGTCGCTCTCGGTAGAAGCAATTTTGGCAAACTCTCGAGCGAGGTCCTCCTTAGGAAGAGACTTGAGGTATGCAACGTGCTTCTCGATGATGGACTGGGCTTCGGCGGAAGAGATCGTAATGTTGTCCTACAGAAACATGAGCGACGCCCCAACTGCAACTTGACAAACTGACACTCCTCCAAGAAGCCGGTCGCCTACTCCCGGAATGCTTGGCGAGGATGTGGCTAGCCCTAGCCTGGCCGTCCTTGCCTCCAGGCGGCTTTGTCTGGGGGTTGAGATACTGGCTCGCGCCCGGAAGCTGCTGGATCTGCTCTGGGGTGAGATCGGCGGGGGGCTCCCAGGTGGAGGTGGCTTGCTGGGCGTGGTAGAAGTAGGGGAGCTGGCGAGAGTTTGAGAAGCGGACTTCCCAGCCGGTGGATGACATGTTGGGTGTTGGAGATGAAGAATGAGATGTTGACCGTCCTCAGCGTCGGTCAGCGTCAGTGTCCGTGGTGGAGGCAGAAGCGGCGGTCGCCGTTCAGCGTCGTCCGGCCCACCACCTGCATCTCCCCAGTCTCCCGCCAACTGCAACCGCTGCAGGATGGAGGGCATCGTCGCCCAGTTTGTGTCCCACATCGCCACATGCTTTGCCTCGCAATCAGCACACAACCTCCTCCACTCCATCCCCCTCGACCAAGCCCACCCCTTCTTCGCTCCCCTCAAGCAAGCTCTCGCAAACGTGAGTATTCAAGTACCGAAATAATCAGAGACTCATCTTGTTAGACTTCTCCCTCTCATATATCACCTGCGAGCCTGGAGAGTTATGTCAGCGCAGCGCCAACCGATGTCAAGGACAATGTTGCGGCTCTCATCTCGGCCGTCTTGCGTTTCATCAAGGGCTCTACTGCGCCATCTGAAAGCGAGCGAGCATATGAAGACTTTGCGGCATTCCAGCAAGCTTACAGGTGCGTGCATACGAAGATATCCTTGTCAGTTACTGACGCTTGAATAGCGAAGCAAACAAAATCTACGGCACATCCTCACCAGACGGCCCATACCTCTACCCCTTTCTGAATCCCCTCATCCTCCAATTCGCCCGACTCGTGGTTCACAGATCCTCCACCGCCGCCTCCCTCTCTACATACCCACTGCGGCACTCCAAATCAGCTCGCTCTATCCGGGATGCTACGCGTCAAGTGATCGAGCGGTCTATACAGATCGCGAGCTCTTCGATGAGCGCGGAAGAGTGGGAGTCGGAGGCGGCGCAGGAGCATTCCGTAGGCGACATTATCTGGCCTCTCGCCAATATCCTCTTTCGGATATATGCTGAGCGTAAGCTTCACACCCAATCCACCGAGCTCCAGAAATCCCTGCACAACCTCTCCCCTGCAGAGGACAAACGCCTTGCCTCTCGTGGCTTTCTCATAACGGCGACCGACATTTGCCAGAGCTATTACTGGCGGGGGAAGCTCGGGGTTGTGCTTTTGGATATGAGGGGAGCAGTGTTCTGGCTGAATAAGGCTTGGAGGATGTGCCCGGAAGATGATATGAGCTGGAAGCAGAAGAGGTAGGGTCACCGCCTGAACATCAATGGCTATTGCTAACGCACTGATGCAGATCTATCCTGATACGGTTGATCCCTGTCAACCTCCTGCTTGGTCTTCTTCCCTCCACTGAGACACTTCAACAGTACGACCTGCCGCACTTTTACCCCTTGATACAAGCCTTCAAAACGGGCAATGTCCCAGTTTGGCGGCGGATCTTGGACGAGCAGAGAGAGTGGTTCAGACGGAGGAGTATATGGCTGATATTGTATGAGCGCGGAGAGATGCTGGTCTGGCGCAACTTGTATAGATCTGCGTAAGTACCCCGACAAGATAAATCCAATGAACGCGCCGTACTGACAGTCTCATCAGGTTGACAGCGTACTATGACCTCGACCCCCAAGCGAGACCGAATAGCCGATGTCCGACGTGGGTCTTTACTGTAGCGGCTGCGCAAGTATTTGAAGGTACCGGAGAAGTGGAGGACGGCACGATCACCATCGAAGATACAATTGTCATCCTTGCAAGTCTTATAGACCAAGTACGTTGTTTCCTTTTTTTCTTCTCGGCTGCTCCGCTGACCGATCATCACAGAGTTTGGTGCTGGGAAACTTGTCATATTCACACAAGCAATTAGCAATGAAAAGGTCAGAAGATGGGATGGGCGGATTCCCAAAGATATCACTAGTCGTCCCTCGGCGGGTGGACGCTATCGCATAATCATTCATGCATGTTCGTTGTAATGTCAAGTGGTATAATTTCAGCGGATTAGGCTCCGCTGGGGAACGCCTCAAGGAGGAGCTTTTTCTTGTTGACTTTGCCCATATTCTGATGGACAAGTAAGCATGTGGAGAAACATTATGAACACGACTCTCGTTTCTAGGAATCTCATTGTCGTAAAGTTTGAGAAGTTTGGGAAGTTTGTAAGGGGCAATAACGCTTCGCAATTCCTCTCGAAGATCTTTCACCGACACTTGAGGTCGAGAGGTAACCAAACAGACAGCCACCTGTATAGCATCAGCCACAGCCAGTCTCAAAATAATAAGACTTACGACTTGCCCCCACTCCTCATTCTCCACACCCACAACAGCACAGTCCTTCATGCCAGGCAGCTCGAGAATCGCCCTCTCGATCTCCACCGCACTAATCTTCTCTCCCCCGCTCTTGATGATATCAGTACTCTTCCTTCCCAACACTTTTAATTGCCCCTCCGCCCCCGGCTCTGATGACCAAACACCGACATCGCCAGTTTTGAACCACCCGTCGATGAATTCGTTGGCAGTGGCTTCGGGTAGGCGCCAGTATTCTTTGGTGATTGGGGGACCAGATACTTGCACTTCGCCTTGGGTATCAGGGGCGGTGATGGGAGTTTGAGATTCTTCGGACCAGAGTCGGATTTGGGTACCGGTCAAAGGATATCCAACGTGCCCCTGTGTCTATATCAGCGCCGAGCCTTATACGAAAGGGGCTGCTCACCTTGACACGCTTTTCAGTCTCCCAGCCGTTGCTGGCGATGATACCAGTCTCCGTCATCCCATACCTCTCGAGCAACACCTGCCCACCGCCAACACCACCCTCCTTCTCCCAAGTCTTCTTGACACTCTCCGGAAGGGGCGCAGAGCCAGAGACTTGCAGACGGAGCTTGGATGAGCCTGCCGTAGCTGCGTCTTGCAGCTCGGGAGAAAAGGTAGCATGGGTCTGGATGAGCCTGGAGTAGACTGTGGGCACGCCAAAGAACATTGTAATCGGTTCAAGACCTTGCTCGTTGATCCATCGTTTCCAGATCGCCGGTCCATCAAACTTTTCCCAAAGCTCTACCGTCGCGCCCGCCCACAGAGTGGGCAAGAGAGCTACGACGATACCGTGGAGGTGGTTGAGGGGCAGGACGTGCAGGAGGTTGTCGGAAGGCGACCAGTGCCAGGTGTCGGCGACAGCTGATACTTGGGCGGCAAGGGCAGAGTGCCGGGTGACTACGCCCTTGGGACGCCCGGTGGTGCCGCTGGTGAAAAGCATCATGGCCCTTCGCTCGCCGTCCAACTGGGGCAAGGTAGCAAGCGAGGAGACGGCGTCTTGCGCGGGGCTGCTTTTTCGGATAGTCTCCAAGCTGACTTCGAGTACCTCCGCAGAGACGTTCTCCTTGAGTATCTCTGATTTGAGCTCTTCAGCCCGGAGCCGGTTCTTTGCATCGCAGACGACCAATTGGGCGTCGCTGTTGCTCGCCATATATGCCTGCTCTGGGATGGGCAGCGAAGGCAAGACGGGGACACTCAAGCCACCAGCCGTCCATGTGGAGAGCATAGTGAGCGGCACCAGGTATCCCTTCTCGCAGAGTACAACTACGCGGGTCTCGGGCTCCCGGATAAGGGGAGAGAGGAGCGACGTCAGCGCGAGGATGTCGGCGCAGAGCTGGGCATAAGAGATGGACAGTGACTGGGGAACATCTACGATGGCCGTCGAGTCCGGGGCAGACTTGGCGTGGGCGAGGACGCGGGCGAGCAGGGGGAAAGACGCGGGGGCCATGGCGGACAGGGAGAAAAGAGATGCACGGGGGGGGAGTTAGATTGCCGATGCAGTTCTAATCTCGGTGACCCGGGAAACGTGGTCTGCACGTGGCCTTGCGGGGGTCGCCGCGCTGAAGCTTCTCGATATTTCCAGACGTCGTCACTGGCTCGCGCTCTTTGAGGCTATAAGAAAATCGAAAAGTCGGCATTCACACCCCGCCCCCGCGATGCCCCCTCGGATCCCCACCAGAGCTTTCACAGCGCTCCCCATCTCCCAGCCCGTCGCCAGCTCATCAGCCATCCCGCCCCAGCCCCGCTGCACCTCGCCCCGTTCATCGCCATCCCACCACTTCAGCACCCTTCATGCTGCTGCCAGGCCCCTTCCAGCCAACGCGACTGAGAAAAGGGTAGGTAGTGTAGTGGCAAGTACGGCTCGGTGCTAATGTAGTCCAGCGGTCATTCCACTCGACAGCGGTCCACAGCGCGTCAGCCAAGGACCCCTACGACGTCCTTGGTGTAAAAAAAGAAGCGTCTTCTTCTGACATCAAGAAGGCCTACTATTCCGTAAGTATGGCCCATTATTTCGGGGCGTGTGGCTGACTTTTGATAGCTTGCAAAGAAGTGGCATCCCGACTCGAGCAAGGAGCCCAATGCCAAAGACCGCTTCCACGAAATTCAGAGCGCCTACGACGTATGTCTGACACTTTCACCCGCCACGCAAGCTAACATCTCTCTAGGTCCTCTCTGATGACAAAAAGAGAAAGGCTTACGACACCTATGGCTCTGCCTCTCAACAAGAAGGCTTCGATCCCAACTTCCCTGGTGGCGCCGGCGGCTTTGGCGGTTTCCAAGGCTTCGGAGGAGGATTCGGCGGTGGCGGCAACGCCAGCGACCTTTTCGAGTCTCTCTTTGGTGGCCAATTCGGTGGAGGTCGAGGAGGGTTTGGTGGCGGCGCTCGACAACGACCTGTGCGTGGTGACGACCTCGAGGCTGGCGTCAACCTCGAATTCCTCGAAGCCTGCAAGGGCACCACCCGCAAAGTCACCATCACCCCCGTCGTCGACTGTAAACCCTGTACTGGATCTGGCCTCAAGCCTGGGGAGAAAAAGACGCAGTGTTCTACTTGCCGCGGTACGGGTCAGCAAACGTTCCAGGTGCAGGGCATGATTATGGCCTCGACCTGTCAGGCCTGTGGAGGAGCGGGGTCGAGTATCCCGCCGAAAGCCAAGTGTGGATCATGTGATGGCGTTGGAAAAGTCAAGGACAGAAAGGTGGTTGATGTCGAGATCCCGGCGGGAGTGGAGGATGGTATGATGATCAGGATACCGGGGGCTGGTGACATGCCTCTAGGGGCTTCTGGTCCTCCTGGAGACTTGCTTGTCAGGGTCTTGGTCCGACCTTCTACCAAGTTTAGGAGGCAAGGGACCAATGTCCACCACGATGCCAAGGTGCCGCTTCATACAGCTTTGCTGGGAGGTGTCATCCGAATTCCTACGCTTGAAGGCGAAGTCGACGTCAAGGTGAAGGGAGGTACACAGAATGGAGAGGAGGCGGTTTTGAAGGGACGAGGTGTGCAGAGCGTGTACTCGCGAGGGAAGAGTGAGCGAGGAGACCTCATCGTGCAGTGGAAGATCCAGATTCCTCGGTGAGTCGTTTTCTTGTCGTAAAAGAGGCAGAGCTGACATTGCCGCAGAACTCTGACACCGTTCCAACGCAAGATTCTGCAGGCCTATGCCGACGACCTCGAAGGCCGAACTCCCCAAATTCACTTTGGCCCCTCACCATCCGAATCAGCGTCAACGCCAAACGGTGAGACTTCTTCACGCAATACCTCCCGCCCTCCATCCTCCTGGTCCACCCACCCCGATGCCCCTCGTCGTACCGTCTACGAAAAGCCCCATTCCCCCTCCCATCCTTCTTCCCCTTCCTCTTCGTCCCAACAGGAAAGCTCGCGGCCTTACGAACCAGTCGACTCTGATGACTCTGGGTTGGCTGGAAAGGTTGCGAGTGCTGTTGGGGGAGTGATTGGGTGGGTTGAGAGGTTGTTGGGGAAGCGGTAGGTCTGGGTACTATCCGACCATCGGGCTGGGGTGAGTGTGAGGGCGGTGAGCATTTCATTCTCTCTGCAGGACCCATGTTGACGAGGTTTGTTCTTCTCTCCACAGGTACTATAAAGGAAACGGTCGTTGACGGGACGCCCGAGCAGGATGTGAAGGATGAAGGTGCGGCGGAAGATAAGAAGGAGACCAAAGGAGATCAATAGATGGGACTCTGTGACTTGGATTGAAGGGTTTATAGGGCTTCTGGGACAGCCGAGGTGATAGACAACATCGATTTCAGATGACGCACAACTCAGGCAATTTTCACGCGCTACATGCATTAGGTTTCAAGCATCTTTATCCGCCATCATGCTGACTTCTGAAGCATTTGGGGGAATCTTGGGTCGATTGCGACGATGGCTATGACAAAGTTGTAGCTATTGAAGCATCTATCGTCACTCACCCGATTGATCAACAAGCTAATTTTGATTACATGCGATTGTGACTACTAGGATCATTCCATACCCCTTTCGGTATTGAAAGATAGATATGGCGAGTGGCGACGACATCAGTGAACATCAAGGCCGGGAGGGGGGAGCAATGCTGGGTCCGGCCCGGATAGATACACGGCATCCCATCAGCATAACGTAAGTCTGCCTATTTCGTGATTGCACATGCTCGCAACGCTCACCTTCGCTTCCAGAAAGTTGGACTGCAAATGCCCGCAAGGGCTCGCATAGCGAATAATGCCCCGCAGCCACCGACGCGAGGTTCACAGACGACTTGTATGGCTCTTCATGTGCTCTGTCAGCATGATGCCCGACAAATCGAAATCTTTTATTCATCTCCTGATACGTCTAACAACTGAATTCTCTACTGGACGCCGCTCTACTGTGTACCATCGGGGAGATCGGGGTTGGGGAAATCGGTCGTGACATGTTCCTAAGTTTGAGGATTAGCATCGCCAGCCTGTACAGGAGAGAGAGTACGTACAGTGTAATGCCTGAAATGCACCTTGCTGCCGACCTCCTCAATCTCCTTGACCTCCTCGGCTGTCAAGTCGGGCAGGTCATCAATCGCGACAAGAGACTCAATCCTCTTATCAGTCTTGGAAGTAGTCACAGCGATGACACCCTTCTGGATAGTCCAGAGGATAAGCACCGCAGTGGAGTCGAGCTCTTTACCGGTGTCCTTGGAGAGGCGCTGGGCGATGCGTTCGAGGACAGGCTTGAGGGGACCACCGGTGGGGTGACGGAGGATAGGGGTGAGGGCGCCGTAGGACTCGGTGATGATGTTGTGCTCTTTGCCGATCTTGAGGATGGGCGCGAGATGAGTGAGGACGTAGGGGTGGTACTCAAGCTCTTTACACAATATTAGCGCATATCGTGAAGAGTAGAGTTGAAATGTACGGTTGACAGTAGGCTTGATTCTGGCAACCTTCAGAATAGCCTCAAGGTCTTGCGGTCTAAAGTTGCTGACACCCAGGCTGACTCCTTCAAGAGTCCCGTCCAGGACAAGCTCCTCGAGCTCGGTCCAGAACTTGCCGAGGTCACCATCTCTGGCGACGGATGGGAAGTGGATGATGAGAAGGTCAGGCTTGGACTGCAGCTTTTCGACGGAGGCAGCGACACTCTTGCGGATGGCTTCCCTATCGCTGGGGAGTTTTTCCGAAACTTTACTATTGTGAGCTAACATCCATGCCGTCATTGCTCGTATCCACTCACTTTTGGTGGTCAGGAAGAGACTCTTCCTGTCCAGACCAGACTTTTTGACAGCCTGGCCCACAGCCTCCTCGGTGTGGTAAACCTGGGCGGTATCGACGTGCTTGAAACCCTTCTCAAGGGCAACGACTCCAGCCTTGACAGCCAAATCGGCATTCCCAAAGATACCGCTGGTACCAGAGCCCCAGGCGAGGGCGGGGACGACCTTGCCGTCGTTGAGGGTAAAAGTGCGTTTGGACATGGTGCTGAGTGCGCGTCTAATTATGGGCATGAGTAGGAAGAGGGAGGGAAGGGGGCAGATAACATCATGATCACCCTGTTCTTGTACTTTAGGTCCTAATAGGATTGCGTGACACGATGACGGGGAGAGTGGAGGCTGGTGGAGGCGGGAGCCAAACAAACTGCCACTGCCGACCACTGCCGCTCTGCCGTGTCATTCGGTGATGCCGACACTTCATAGTTCTAGATTATTCTAGTAAGGGAGTCCTTGTAGTTGTATTAGTAAGCGGGGGAAGACAGTAGAAACTTCTAGTATATACTTGCAAGGGGCGTGCTTACTAAGCACAGGGACTGGATAGGTATTCTAGTACTTTCCATAGCCGGGGGGCGCAAGGTATATAAGGCGCCAGAAGTAGCGTAGAGGAGATGAACCAACCACACTCTACCCCAAATACAACATGCCGGTAGCCGCTAAGTCGCTTGCATCCGCCACGCGTCACTCTTTGTTCATCAAGGTCTGAGCAAGGTCACTCCGAAATCGAATAGTCCGAAAGTCCGAATCGTACAGAGCACTATGCGCACAGCCGGGAACCGAGTGGTGTCGTGGACGGAAGCAGATCTATGATTACGGAGTCCTGACCTACTTGCCTACTTGAAGATGCGGGCGTCCTTTGCCGACTGCAGCCGCATGGCCCCATATGACGCGTGGGCTATATAACCCGCCGAAGATATCTCTTTTCCATTTCTTTCCATCTCCGACTCATCAACATACATTCAACAACACACATAACGATGGTTCGAACTATCAAGCTCTCTGATGGCAAGACTGTTCGCGCCATTGGCTGGGGAAGTGGCTCGGGCGGCATCAAGGGCAAGGACAACAACAGGCTTGCCATTGACGCCGGTGTCCACGCTCTCAAGGCCAACATCCGCCACATCGACACTGCCCAGGCCTACGAGACCGAGGAGGCCACTGGCATTTCCCTCAAGGAGGCTGGTGTCAACAAGAACGAGGTCTTTGTCGCCACCAAGGGTACGCCGCCGGTCCACTTTTCTCTGATGCTTCGCTGACGGTAACTCTGCAGTCTCTGGCACTGTTGCCAACAACAGGGAGGCCATCAAGGAGAACGTCCTTGGCTCTATCGAGCGTTTGGGCTTCAAGCCTGACCTGTTGCTCATCCACAACCCCTTCGTGGTTGAGGACGGCAACATTGGCAAGTTCTGGACTCATCTCGAGGAGCTTGTCAAGGACGGTACTCTTGAAGGCGTGAGCTTGGGTGTCAGCAACTTCAGGCCCCAAGACCTCGAAGCTGTTCTCAAGGTCGCCACCATTAAGCCTGTCGTTAACCGTAAGTTGGCGTGATCAATATTGGCAAATTACTGACGGTGTGCAGAACTCGAGTTCCACCCTTACGTCCTTGTTCACCTTGAGCCCGTTCTCAAGATCGCCAAGGAACACGGTATCGTCATTGAGGCCTACGGTCCCCTCACCCCCGTCCTCCGACACCCCACCGGTGGTCCTCTCAAGCCCGTCCTTGAGCGCATCGCCCAGCGTCTCTCCAAGGACGCCGGTAAGGAGCTCGACTCTACCGCTGTCCTTCTCCTCTGGACCATGCAGTCTGGCGTCGTTGTTATCACCACTTCCAAGAACGAAAAGAGGATCAAGGATCTTGCCGCCTTCGACTCTGTGCCCGATTTGACCGCCGACGAGTTGAAGGAGATTACCGATGTTGGTAAGACTCACCACTTCAGGTACTACTCTGTAAGTTCTTCTTTTGGCGGCTCTGAATATTCGGAATATGGCTGATTGCATGACAGGAACACATGACTGAGGACTTCCCTGACCCCGACCTCCCCACCGTCGACGTCCCCAAGAGGGTCAGGAAGTAGAGAGGGGTTTTGATTTTTAGAGAGGGTTTTTGATCTTAGAGAAGCGAATATTTGAATTTGTATAGCAAAACCATGCATAGTCTAGAGGCATGCGAAGCCCCGTTCGAGACTCTACCATAGTCGCCCGGGCATCCCAGTAACATCACCAGTCCCTATGTGCGGCTGCTATCTTAACGGTCACTCTACGTATCATATACAGTGGTGGTTGCTACGTAGTACTTCACAGGAGTACATGTCCAAGCAGCTATTGCACAATCGACCCATTTCAATCCACTTCTGCAAGTGGTGACAATAGCTCGGTATTATCTTCGCCACACAAGACGCGTGAGGAGCTGACGGATGTTCTCTTTCCTTGAATTTGTTTACCATTCGCATTTCTAGCTCACCTTCAGCCATCCATCTATTTTACCCTTCTCCACGTTAGTTGAACAATGTCTGGCGCTCAGTGTAAGTGCTACTCGAGTAATATATATATGCTTGATCACTGATCCACGCTTGAAAAGATCGTCGAGGAGGCCGATTCGCGACCGCCAATGGAGGCGAGAACCAACAACGTCAACTGTCACTTCCGTACGCTCATTGCCAAGTAGACGGTGATCACTAACACACGCTATGAATAGGGTCAACAAGTGGAAGCGCGAATGGGTGGCCCCTGAAGGGTTACCAGCGGAGAGCTCGTACAAGGTGTTCAAATGGGTCAAGAGCGACGTCAAGGTATATTTGGAGCAACATCCATCCGCTCAGCGCTGACACTCTGGTCCAGGCTCAGTTTGGAAATGACGCTGTCTACGAAGTCCGGGACGATACGCCAGGACAAGATGATGATGAGGGCGATGAAGGGGAAGGACAGGAGAACGAGGATGATGAAGATGATGAGGATGGCGATAACGGCCAGAATGGGGAAGAGTCTCAGGATCCAGCAAAGGGCGAGGTCCAAGCAGCTCAAGGAGGGGCAGAAACAACGGGCGTTCAAGCGCCAGAAGCTCCCAAAGAGACTGAGTCTGAAGCTCTTCCTGAAACGCTGTCCACTGCTGCTGAAGTTGCGGCTGAGCCTCAAGCTGCCCTCGCCCCTGCCCTTGCCCCTGAACCCGCCCCCGTCCCTGCGGCAGACCCCCAAAGTATCACCGAACCCACCGCCGAGCCCACCCACGAAGCACCCATCCCCCCACACCACGAGATCCCTTCCAACGCTGTCGAAATAACAAACTCCATCCCTGGCGACTCTGCCGAGCTTGGACAAGGTGACCTGGGACTGCAGGGGGGTGTGGTAGCGGAGAGGAGCCACGAAGAGGATGGGGATGTCGAGATGGAGGGTGTGAAGGAAGCGGCAGTGAAGGAGGCCGTTCAGAAGAGTGGGGATCAGATGGAGGTGGATCAACCAGCGACTTTGATTGAGGAGAAGGGAGAAACACCGGTGGAGAAAGACGAAGGGCTGGTGATGGGGGAGATGGAGCCTCCTGTTCCCGAGATTGCTGTGGAAGGAGAGGACAAGCCTACTGAAGTCGAAAAGGAGGCTGAACTGCCATAGGCTGTTGTGCAGTCCGCCTTTGTTTCTTACCCATGATATGTTCATCCCATCTTTGTATCTCGCTGCCACCCGTTGAAGTGAAAGACTTCATTTTGCGCTCCACCCGATACATCAGACAAAATGACTATAAAGCAACCTATTCTCCTGCTGCAGCATTTAGACGTGGCCAGCCTGAAGACATGGTCAGCTTATGCCCATCGTTGTATAACATTTGCGCTTACGACAGCCTGAGGCACATACGCATCGTCGATAGACTTTTTCTCTTCCTCGGTCAACTCAATCTTGATACCCGCCAACAAATCCTTGAGCTTGTCCAGACTAGTTGTCCCGACGATAGGAGCAGTGACGAAAGGCCTGCTGATGGACCAGGCCATGGCGATCTGAGCCATGCTCACGCTCCTAGCCGAAGCGATAGCAGCAATCGCTTCGTTAACTCGCTTCTTGCCTTCCTCGGGCGCGCTGAAGCCTGCCGCCTTGAAGAGCCTGCAGTGTCATCAGCCAAAAGCTCCAACCGCGGCGTACAACTCACGCATCAGACCCTGCCCTAGTAGACTTTTTCTCCTCGGTGTTCTGCCATGGCCTTGTGAGGAAACCTCGGGCAAGCGGGGACCAGGGGATACAGCCGACGCCAAACATTTGGAGAGTGGGCATCATCTCGCGCTCTTCTTCCCTGTAGCAGGCGTTGTGGAAGTTTTGCATGGAGATGAAGGGGGTGAGGCGGTTGTTGATGGCATAGTCTGTATCATTGTGAGCTGCATTCTTGGTAGGTGTTGATTACACTCACTCTGCATGGCGTGAAACTGGTAGGCCCAGCAACTGCAAAAAGTCAATGAGAGTGCCACAAAGGACCGGTCGGACATACCTGGACATGCCGATGTATCGGACCCAGCCCTTCTGAACGACATCGTGCAAGGCTTGCATCTGCAGCAGTGAGCTTTCCAAACTGCGCGCATACTAATAATGAACGTACGGTCTCTTCGATAGGGGTGTTGTAGTCAAACCTGTGGCACTGGAGAACGTCGATGTAGCCAGTGTCGAGTCGCTCGAGGGAAGCTTGCACAGAGTCAAAGATGTGCTGCTCCATGTCAGCTTCTCAATTGCGCAGAATGAATTTGCTCTGACCTTTCGGCTCAGCCCGTACTGGTTGACATAGCCCTTCTTATCGAGGACATCAAAGTCCGGCGGCCTTTTGTGACTGCCCCGGGTGATGGGCATGTAGAGCTTGGTCAAGATGACGACTGCCTCTCGGGGGCAGCCAATCTCCTTGACAGCCTTACCGAGGATCTCTTCGGAAGCGCCACAAGAGTACATGTTGGCAGTGCTAGAGTCGAGTCAGCCTGGCGGCCGCGGCGATTGTCGATTGGGCTTACTCGAAAGTGTTGATACCTTGTTCGTAGGCATACTTGATCTGTTCGATACTTTCCTTCTCCCCAAGGACCCAGTCAGACCACCTAGACGTCTTGTTAGGTATTGATCGGGTGGCTAGAGGTGCGACTTACTCGGGATCCCCATACGCTGGATAGGAGCGGATCAGCCCGATGAATAGTCGATAAGAGCCGTGCGGCTGAAAAAAGACTTACACATGCAGCCCCTGAGTGAAAAGTAGCTATCAGCACATTGAAATTAGTATGATAGGATAAGGAAACCCACAAAATGATCTTGGAGACTTTAAGCCCGCTCTTGCCGAGCCTCACTGTACCCACGTCAGCATAGTTGTCGATGATGAGATGGGTAACGACACTTGCCATATTCCATTTCAGTATCAGAAGCCATTGCGAGTCAGTGTTAGGTGATATACAACAAAAGGGGTATAGACAAGCAGGAGTGAAGAAGTGACAGCACTTGCAAGATGGATTCCCCTGTGGCCATATATACTCGAGTACGAAGCTGCCTCCACCCTGCCTCCACCTCGGGAAAGGCCAGGCCGCTCCGGAATGGCCGGCTTGTAATTGTTTGTAAGAGCAGAGAATAAATGTGAAAGCATCTCGTTGTGACCTGCAAGGGATCCACAACGATGAATACAGCGGGGAAGACAACCCCTACCAAATGCACACTGTCCCTTGAGGATCACCGCCATCAGCTTGGCAGCAGGACACATCTCGGCGCTCGTGGGGCCGCTGCGAGGGGATTAGCCCAGGGTCGGGCGACTTCCCGAAGAGGCCACAACAACAATAGACGACCGTTCTATGCATCTCTGCTTTGCATCTATACTCGCATAATAATGACTCCGCCCTCCACCTCGCGCCCCTTTCAGTCATCCTCCGCCTCTTCCCCCAGACATGCCTCGAGACATGGCCGTTCCAAATCCGGTACCACACCGAACAAGCCCAAGTTGCTCCCGTTTCCAGACCTCCCGGAACTGAGGTCATCCAGAGACAGCAGCCGCGCTACTTCGCCCCTTCCCACACCCTCCCGCGAGATCACATTCGACCAAATGATCATGGCACGAGGCGGGAGCTCTGATGGGGGGCAGGGGCGGCAGCGCTCGTCTGGCTCGGGAGGGCGCAACACGCCGACCGCTACGACGGCCACTTCGCCCTCTGTCTCATCACCTCTTGCTGCCGCCAGTCTATCGCGCGCACGAGCATTAACAGCCCCCACCAGCGCAAACGGAAGCCCCGATGCCCGGTCTGCCCCCTCGCCTAGGAGAATGAGCGACTTCCAGACAGACGCAGGGCCCTCGAGGCCGTCGACGTCCGCATCGTCCGCGCCATCTGTCGCCATCGCACCTCCCATCGCTCCCCCTATTCTGCTAGCGCCCTCCAGCAGCGTCTCTGCTCCTGCCACACAGCCCCGGACGCCCGTCAAGATCTCGCACACCCATGAACGCGCCCACCATGTGCACACGCAGTCTGCCCCGCCGGCCGCCGCCACATCGTCCAATCCCACCACCGCTGTCATCCCGACACCATCCCTGCAGCCCATCAGCGAGCATCTGTACAAGGCGTTCCTGAATGGGGTGTGTGCAGATGTGAGGCTTATCGTACGCAAATGGGGCGTCGCCTATGATGTGCACAAGATGATAATGTCTCAGTCCAGTGAGTGGCCAGGTGTCTTGCATGGGAAACGGCTCATTCCAAGTAGGCTTTTTCACATCGCTCTTTCTGGGTGGATTCTCAGAGGCCACATTGACTCCCAAACCTGCATTAAAGGGAAAGGGGAAAGCCAGGATAGATGTGCCTGCAGACGATTGGCTTGGCGAGAGTGTCGAGCTTCAGTTTGACGACCCGAACATCACCCGAGCTGCTTTCGAGTAAGGCGTCTTCTGGAAGTGCCCGATACAGCTGACACGTCTATACAGGATATGCCTGGCAAGGCTATACTGCCCATACCCCACCCTTAACTTTCCTACCTCCATCCTCCCCACCTCGACACATCCCTTGACTCCTTCATTCCCCTCCAGCCACGAACCAGCCTATGCCTCTCTCAACTCTTCTCAGCCCCAGAATACCCACCTTGCCACTCCACGTCTCTTGCTCTCTCTTCTCGCAACTACAGTATACCTCGGGCACGGTGCCCTGCTCCGTGAAGTCCTCTGTATGATACTGAGGACTGTCAGCCCGGTGACCGTGAGGCAGTATCTGGCCTTTGCGACCGGTGATGGGATCGGAGAGGAAGAGTGGGAGGGGCAAAGCGAGGAAGGAGCGAAAGGATTCGAGAAGGTCGCCAAGCCGCTGTTTGCTTCACAGAGAGCGCATCCTTCAGGGATGTCGCCGACAGTGGAAGAAGATCCCATGGAGACGCCTTCCAAGAGTACTTCCCGTCCTAGACTCTCTTCTGATTCAGACACAAAGGTCGGGCACACAGACCCTTCCATCTACCTGAACGGGACATCCTACTATTCGTCCTCTTTCCAGGGTGACGAGACAATACGCAGCCAAGATCAGGCGTCGTTCGCTTCAGCCGATGCCCATGCTCTGCCGCAGTACTATGGCGTGGTAGGCGACAAGATCGGAGAAGCCTGCAATGTATGGCTAGCCCGCTGGGGCGCCGATATTTTGCACGCCGAGATGGAGACGCCCAATGCTGCATATCGCATTTGGGGTCACGACGGCCTCCCAGCCCGCTTTGTCCGCGCCCTCTTGTCTTCTGATTTCTTTTTTGTCAAAGATGAGATGGAGCGATACCAGATGACGAGGAATGTGCTCGATCTGAGGAGAAAGGGGTGGGAAGAGATGATGGAAGGGGTTGGGGATGTGTCGTTTTCGGGCACGGACGTGGAGCACGAGTGGGAGGAGTGGGAGGATGAAGAGAGAGAGATACAGAGGGTGTTTGCGGAGGGGATCCGGTACTGTCACATGACATTTGAAGATCTGTCAACGATCGCATCAGACCTCGACCCGCATACCAGTCTACCGTACGCCCCGCTCGCAGTCTTGCAAGCAGCGCATTGGGCTGCTGCCGACCTTCGTGCAAGAGTGACGGCGCACGAGCGAATCGAAGAGGGTCAAGAGGCCGAGGAGAAGGATGAGCTTGGGCTTACGCATACGACAAGCGAGATTGTGGATACTCTTCGCAATCGCCGCCGACGTCCCACGCCTCGCAGTCGGGTACCAAGCCCAGTCACTACCTGGGGGGCGTCTTCCTCGACATCATCTGCATTTGTCGCCCCGCCTTCGTCTGCATCCTCCACAACTGACATGAACCACAGCAACCATCTCGCCCAGAGTGTGTGGTACCCCGTACCATCTGACGAGACGCACCGTATCGGTGCCAGTGGTCTGCTGAGCTCTGGTATCAGTGGCGTCTCGGGCGTCCCCGATTTTGGCCCCGACCTTGCCGATGTTTTCTCCCAAACAAGCCCCGTCAAATCCAAACCCGCACCGCATGGCGAAAAGTCTTCGTTTGGCCTTGTCGGCGGTAAAGCCACCGCGTCAGAAATTGAAGACAAGTGGGTCGACGAGGGGGGTGGTTTCGCATTGTTGAATCTGGGATTGGGCAAGGAAAAGCAGGATCAATGGACCAAGACGGAGCCGTTCAGGTTCTCGGTCGAGTTTTGGGATGTGGACAAGCTTGGGGAGAAGGAGAGGTATTATTCGGCTACGCATTTTTATGCTGGTTCTCTTTTCAACTGGCAAGTACAAATCTTTTGTCTGATGATCAAATGCTGACAATGGCGGTAGTTACATCCAGATGATCAAGAGAAAAGAGAAGGGTGTCCAGCTCGGTATCTACCTGCATCGTCAATCGCCTAATGAGCCTTTCCCGGCCCCTTCTGCTCCCCACCCTGCAGACGGCCTTTCCCTTACACGGACGACCACCACCCGCTCAACTACCGGCGGGCCTATGACTCCTGCAGCGCCCCAGGCGTCGCTGATGCCGTCGCCCGTGATCCCGGGTAGCCCCCCTGCCACCAACAATTTGTTGAGTCTGAGGATGGGGCAGCAGGGCAAGGGCAGTAGGATGGCGAGTAACGTGCCGTATCATGATACGAGAAAGACTACCAAGGTAAGCTCGCGCATGATCAACGCAGGATACACGCTGACATCGCATAGGCCTACTTTTCCATCAGCTGTGCGTCTGCTCTGGGTACAGCCCTAATCCGATTCACCTCTGGTCCCGACTCTTTCGCCCATTCTCAATCTTGGGGATGGAAATCGTCAGCTCTCAAGTCTGAAGAGTATCTATCGGTACCGCCTGTTGTAGATGGCAAAGATGATCTTGGTGAAGGGGTGCTCGGGTGGAGTGGGGAAGTTGACACTTCGGGGGTTGAGAGTGGAAGGGGAAGGTGTACGCTGAGGGCTACGGTAGTGGTGGGCGTAGTGTAAAACACGGACATTTCTCTTTTATACACCTTGCACGGTCTTTTGGGCCTGTGGCGTCTCTACCAATACACATATAACTTGCTTGTTTGTACATACAATAGTCCTCGGTATAAATGATGTATGCCATACACGCGACGCGACTCAACTTTGGGACCGTGCGCAAAGTGATCTTGCTCACCCAAAGGCATCCCTCATCTTGCATCTGCATCGATACAATCTCTCTCAACTCTGAGCGGACACAATGCTCATCCATCTTCTCGAGGGGCTTATCTCATCCTCTTTCTCCTCCCCCATGCCTCTGCACGCCACACTCGGCCATCAATTCGCTGCCATCTACAGTCTCCTCTCTCGGCTACAGCTGCCCCACTCTCAGCTCGGATACCATCTCTCACGTCTCAAGTCCCATATCTCCCAGGGGCAGGACTTTCCACGCTGGCTGTCCTCAGCATGGCCCAACGTCGTTCTTCGCCGCTCACAGATTTCTGCAAGTCTGCTGGCCATCACGCTTAGCCTCTGCCCTTTACTACTCCTTTGGTACCATATGAGAGTGCCTACCACTCCTGGCTCCTTCGCCACCGGGCAGACCACCGTGTCTGCAGCTGACGACAAGCCTGGCAGCTCCGCCGACACAGCCTATACAAACTCTCCTATCACCTTTTCTTCAGCTCTCATTCACCTCCACTCACCTACAAAAGCCACATTCCCAATCATCTCCCGACCTACCCCACCTCAAGCATCACCCAACATCACCCTGATATCCTCTGTCAAAGTCACCGACTATACACCCATGACCCAAACTCTCGCGCAATTCATCTACCCCGTCGGCTCCGTCTGGCCCAGGGTATACTATGTGGCTTATGAGGAAGCGGTGAGAGAGCGAATGGAAGGAGGAAAAGGCGAAATGAAGCTGGAGAGAGGAACAGTGTTGAGCGACTTGAGCAACGGGAGGGTGGTTTCGAGATGGACATCTGTGAGTCCGATTGCTCTATGGCAAGCGGAGCTGATGGACATTCCCGTAGCTGTCAGCTGAGCAGACGGTCGGAATCGATTGGAAAGGGGTCCAATGGGTCGACACATGACCCGTCTTATACTATGCATGGGTTTCTTCTGGCACTCAACTAGCCCCTTCTGACAAGGTTTTGACAATATCTCCTTCTCTTTCAAACATCTGTTTATGTACGATCTCTCAGGGTACTTTCTCTCACACTCTCCTGTATTTCATATCAAGCCTCCTCGTCGACTCCTCTGAGGATTTCCTGACGGCCCACGTCATCTCGTACGTCTTGGCCGCATCCTCGTAGGATGACAAGATCTTGATCGCCGGATTACCTTTCTCGACCGTGTCGATGAAGGTATCAATCTCCGTTTGGTAGGGGTCATCACCAGGGGTGGGATGAATTTCAATGGCATCTGATCCAGGCTTGCGGATGTGGAGAGCTGGCGTGCCGTAGGGGTCAGAAAGGCTGTGATTGTTGTTAGTGGATGTTGACTGACAAAGTGTAAGCCTTACATCAGTTGGTACTACAAATGGGACGGTCAGTCACCATTCTCAAGGGATGGGGATTACGGTACTTACCCCATCCGCATATACTTCAATCTCGATAGCATAGTCTTTGCCGTGCAGTGCAGTGGCATGTAACAATGTGCCGACGGCGCCAGATTCGTATTTCCTGACATTCTTCAGCTCTCACGCCCAGCTCCCTCAATTTGAGACTCACCAGCTCGCAGCAGTAGCTCGGGGGATACGATTCGCATCCAAAATAACCGTCTCGTCAAAGTTGCGCTTTGACAGGTATCCAGGCTTCTCATGAGCCTCCAGCGCGTGAGCAGCGATGGTCTCCATCTCGATCTCGCCGCCAAAGTAACGCGAGAGATCGCAGATGTGAGTGCCTTGCTCAATGATCGGGCCTTGCATTTGAGACTTGTCCCACCAGTCCTGAGTTGACAAGTCAGCGGGGAAGATAAAACAAGTGAAGTGGCTGACAGTCTTGATAGCAAGCTCGTAGGCGGTGACATATCGGGCATTTGTAGCCATCACGGTCAAATTGTTCTCTTCAATGATCCTCTTCATCTCTTGGACGGCCTTGAGATATCGAAGAACATAGCTAGGAACAATCAGCAGCCGTCGATGGCAGAAAAGAATACTTACCCAACAGAAACTGGGGCGTTGTGCTGTGTCTCGAGCATGGCGCCTACAGCTTTCGCTTCGCCAACACTCTGCTCGGCTGGGAGGCCAGTGGCTACCGGCTTTTCTAGAAAGATGGCAGAGTTGGGAAAGAGTTCATTGATCTTGACTTCTAGATTGTTGTTGGATCCAAGACCGCCTCGGAAAGTGGGCGGGGTAGCGACAAAGATGGCTCTACATCAGATGTGTAAGCTCACGCACACGCACGTTGTCGGCGAATATGAACGTACCGAGGCTCTTTCAAGATACCAGCCTCGACCCTCCTCTTGAACTCTTCAACATCCGGCAGTACTACAGTATCATTGTACGCCTCATGTACAAATGACTCTCGCTTCAAGGTCAGGGCCGTTTCCGCTCGAGGACCATTGATCTCAATAACGGCGTCGACTTTGAGCCGGGGTCCGAGGCGGTTTTCCAATTTACGGGAGATGTTCCAAGGGCCTATTGATTAACTGTTAGACATGTGTGCCACATGTTGCAAAATGACATACCTTCTGGAGTGCCGAACATGGCCTATGGGAAGTCAGCCTCTGCGCATCGCGGATTGCGTGGGTACTCACATAGCCGGCTCCGATCATCAAGACATGAAAGTCGTCGTTCTGAGGGGTTCCAAGGCTGATCTATGGGGTCAGCATTGCCCGAATGATACGCTTTAACTTGCCTGAAGAGACTGTTGGCGAGATGGGCGGACGCTGTGAACTGCCTGGCCGGCACCTTCGGGAGGCCGCCTACGCAGGTAGCGTGGGGGGGCGCGCGCAGTGGGGTACTGATTCTCAAGGTGGCTCGTAGGAAAGACATGTGGGGTGGACGTGGAAGGCTGAGAAGCCACCAATAGCTTCACAACTGCTTTATACACTTCCCGACGGCCGGAAGATGAAACATGCGGATCTCGGCCCCGACCGAATCGCGTAACAGTCCCCCACGCGCCTGCTATTGCTGGTCTCACATGGCGCAGGATAGAAACAGATGATGCATACAAAGAAGCTTCCCAAAAGACGCCCCCCCAAACCCAATCACAGACCCGATCACTTTCTCCTGCTCCCCTTCTTCTGCGACTTGCTGCCCTTGACCGCCTTACCAGCCTTCGATTCCTTTGCAAAAGACACCCTCTTGGCCTTCTTCTTGGGCGCAAGAGAGACTTCGGAGATACGTCTCTTGTTGGATTTGAGTGTCGACTTGGGAGGGGAGGGGAGTTCAGGCTCGTCGTCAGACTCTTCCTCGGCTTCCTCGTCATCATCATCGGAAGGCTCGACGTCGTTGTCGAATTCGACCTCTTCGCCGTCTTCAGAACCGACCAGCAAGGGTGCCTCATCCTCGTCGCCCTCCTCGATGGAAGCCTCATCAAATTCAAGATCGGCCTCGCTGTCCTCATCCTCATCCTCATCCTCGTCTTCGGATCCATCGTCGGACCCCGCGGCCATCTCTGTGTAGTCATCATCAAGAATGATCTGTGATATCATTAGCACATGCCTAGCAACATGACCATAAACAACTCACATCACGTGTGTCGACGTCTCCGCTCTTGAATCTCACAATGCCCTTGGCGCTCTCCTTCTTCATCTCCTTCTTTCCCTTGCACTTCTCAAGCACAGCAGTCATGTCAAACTTTTCCACTTCCTCGACCTCCATGTCCGCTGATGAAGCCGCAGGGGCGGTGGCGTAGTATGGGAAAGTGTTGTATGCCCAATCACGCAAGAGGACACGGCCGGCACCCTCAAGGTCGGGCGTTCCGTGCTTCTTGATCCGTTGGTGGGCTCGCGCAAGACCGGTAAGGAAGGCTTGAAGGTCACCTTTCTCAAAAAAGGGGATGTTGTAGGCGAGCATCAAATCTTGGTGGTTACAGCGTTGAACAATATAGTTGACTGCGTACAATGTCAGTATGGCCCAACGTAGTGTAAGGATGACATACCTAAGGGGAAGACGTCCTTGACCCTGTCGATACGGCCCATATTTCTCCTCAAAAGATCACCAGCCAACCTCGCCTCCAGCTTGTCCCACTTTTCAGGGTCCTCCTCCTCCTCAGTCTCCTCCTCTTCCTCGTCTTCGTCATCCTCAACAGGCTCCCATCCGGGAGTGTCGATGATCTTGATGGTCACACCATCCACATCGAGCTCGACCTCAACAGGAGCCTTAGTGGTAGGCTGGGGCTGCTTGGAAGACTGCGCAGGAGGGATGATGGGGGTGACAAGGTGTCTGGACTTGTTGGCGGTGGGGGGAAGAAGAGATTTGAGGATGGAAGTCTTGCCGACGGTGGGGAGACCCATAAGGGCAAGGACAAGGGGCTCGTCGCTCTTTGTCGACTTTTTCTTGTTTTGCGACCACTTCTTGGCAGCGGCAAGGAATTCTGTTCGACCGAGGACAGACTCGGGCTCCATGAAGAAATGGGGACCGGGGTTCTTGGAAGAGCCGGCAGTAGGAGGGAGAGGAGGGAGAGCAGACTTGAAGAGGAAGGTGGGAATGTCGAGATGAGAGAGCCACGATTGGAGAGCCTCTCGGGGAACAAGGTCAATCTTGTTGACAATGAGAACAACCCTGCCCTCCGCTTCCTTGACAAGCCCTTCGATGTAGGCACTCCTGCCACCGAGAACATCCCTGGCGTCCACAACCTCACAGATCACATCCGCCCTGTCCAACGCTTCTTGCAAAGTGGGGAGAGCAGTGTCGATGAGCTCGGGAATGTCAGAGTCCTCCTCCTCAACCTCGACAGGGAGAGCAGAAGTGGCAGTGAGGGGACCGTTGCGGCTCATGACAGAACGCAGGACGGAGGAGATACCGGGGGTGTCGACCTCCTCTTCCTCCTGCTTCTTTGTCTTGGCAGCTTCCTTCCGAGCAATCCTGTCTTCCTCAGCCTACGATAAGGTCAGCTATGTTGGTAGCGTATTGATGCGACGCACTCTTCGCTTCTCCTCGGCAATCTCAGCAAGGACTTGGTCCTTGAAGGGGTAGCTGTTGGGAACTCCAGGGTCGGCCTTCTTGTCTTTTAAATAGTCAGAACCAATCCATCAGCTTCATGGAGATACACATACTGGACTTCCATGTCTGGTCCTTCTTGCCGGCCTTCTTGTTCTTGCGCTTCTGCTCAGCGGCCTTCTTAGTGATCTTGGCCCTGTCACGGGTGTTTTGTCGGTTGGAGGTCTCTGCTCCTCGTCAGCACTACCCATGCACCCCTTCTCCCCACTCACTCTTCCTGATTCTGGGCATTTTGGCGATTCTATCAATTCTTTACTGCACACCCAAAACATTTGCATCCTCCAAAACATGCTCGGATTCTTCAAAATATTGCACTTACGTAAGCTGCCTCCACCTTTAAATCGACCCCCCCCCCCCGCATGCTTGCGGTGCTCGCCGCTGGTGTATTTGGCGCGACTTCTTTGTTGTCTTGCGATAAACAAACAACAACAGCAGCAATAGAGATGGCCGCGATTCCTGGATGGGCCACAGACGAACTCGGCGAGGAGTGGCCAGAGTCATCCCCCTCCCCGCCCCCCACCGCCAAGCACCACCCCATCCCCTCCCTCAAGGCCGACCCAGACTCAATCAGGGCAAAGCGCGGCTCACTACGCATGCTCGGCCAGGCTGCTGCCCGCCCCCTTCCGCCCTCCAGAAATGTCAGCAGCGCATCAGCGTCTGAGCCAAAGAGGATAGTCTCGGGCCATGTGGATGAGGGCCGGGGGCACGTATCAGGAACAGGCCTCGACGTTGGTGTCTTGTCTCCGCCCTCCTCGCGTGCTTCTTCGGATGGCAAGCCCGAACCTGTCGCCGGGACATTCGTGGTGAAGGAGGGAGTGGACGACGATCGGGGAGCGCATCTTGCGAGGAATGGTATGGGGCTGAAGGGAAAGGATATCTTTGGCGCACTGCCCCTTGAGCGGATGTTTGACCCGCCTTCTCCAACCGCAGCCGATGTCAAGGCCGAACCTGCGCAAACTGCTGAACCTTCAACATCGCCAGAGCCTGCACCCCCGACACCTGCTTCCAAGGCTTCCGAACCTCCTCGGAGGGTGTCTCATCAATATGCGCCTCTGAACCCATCCCGGCTTAGTAAATCAGTCACACCTTCGTCCAACGACTCCTTCACCACAACCGCCTCTAGCGCACCTTCGCGCTCAACCACCCCCATCCCAGCTCCTCCTCGAGAACATGAAGGCGAGGACTCTTCTCTCAGAGATCCCACCATCATCAGAAGTGACATTGATGATTCTGCTCTTGGCGGCGACTTCGTGACTGCGCCCCAGGGTGAAGAGTCGCGAAACAATATTCAGTACGCCGGATCCCAGGGTAACTCCATTCAATCGTATGCTTCATCTACTCGGGTACGAGAGGAGTCTCCCTTCTCCGCGCCCGGTGCTAGCTATCAATTCACTTTTGAATCTCCTCACCAACCGTCACAAAACGCTCAGTTCAGCCTCGAGGCAAGCCCCTTTGACCCAGAGCGTGATGCGGCGGCAGATGGCCCTTCCCACTCCACTTTGAACTTTCGTTCGAGGCCTCTACCTTCTGCTATTGCTGGTTTGGCGGCCGGTCCGAGCAGTGGGCAAACGCCCATCAACCCTGCTTTGCGGCTATTCAGAAGCACGTACGATACCTTTACCCGGGAACACCTCTCTGCAATGGTCGACAGCATTGCCATTGAACCTTCTCCCTCACCTCCCAGTATACCCAGTGTGAGAGGTCTACGGGAGTGGTCCCCCGCGGCCGATAACTCTGCTACACCTTCCCAGCCATCTTCGGCTTCTCGCGCTGGGTCTACTCCTTCTACAGTGTCATCAGACGCGCGATCTTCCAAGAGGCTGAGATTGTCTCCTGCTTCTCCCCCAGCAAGGAGGGCGCCATTGAGAGACTGGGCAGCTCAAGGAGCCGCTATGATAGGCAGGCTTCGTGGTGTAGATGCGAGTACGGACGGTGGGAGTGTTAGCGGGTTTAGTGGTACCGAGGCACAAGGTAAGTGATAACGTATGTCTCTAACAGCGATATGCTTATATTGTGATAGAAGGAAACACTGTGGATTATGTCTCGTCACCGTCTCCCCCTGTCCAAGCTCCACCTCCAGCCAAATCCAACTCTGATCGTGGTACCCAGAGTGATCGTCCCACTCATCGATCCAACCCTTCTTCTACCTCATCTGGCTACCTGCAAGCTGCCGCAGACATCATGGCACGTATCAAGCAGCGGAAAGTTTCTGAATCTGCCTCGGATAGCCCTCATATTCACGGCGCCTTGACAGAGTCGGATGACAATCGCGTTTGGGAGGAGGAAGCTGGGCGATATGCCATGGCCAAAGGAAAAGGCAAGGTGGGCCCAAGCCCCCGGAGGATTTTGCGGCACCTTAGTGCGTCGGAAGAAGTCAAGCGCGCCCGCGAAGAAGAGACCGACAGCGACGACGAAGGGGAACAGATACAATTCTCCCAGGTCTCCCGTGCATCGCACGCCTCCCATACGTCTTCCGTCAACCGCCAACCTCCTCGGTACCTCGAGGAACGCAGACCGACAAGCCAAGCGTCTTCCGTAGACGATGCGGGTGGGCCACACATACCCCAACCTCCACAGTTCAATGCTGACGATCTCAATCGTTACATGTCCTCCTCTACCCACGCGACTACTACTACCGCTATCTCCACATCTTTTGTCAAACATCGTGGTCCGCGTGCAGCTCCCCCTACACCTTCTGCCATGCGCATGATCCGTCCGGATGAAGTTCGGGACGTTGTGCCTGATAGAATTGGCAAGATGAGGTATGACCGGGTTGGGATGAGATGGGTACGAGAGCTGGGAGCTGTGGATGAAGCTGGAGAGAGTCGTCTCACCGGAAGCGAGGAAAGTGTTGATGTCTTTGCTGGGATGGAGAGCTTGGCTGCGGAGGAAAGGAGCAGGAGCGACGGACCTCAGCAAGCTGCTCCGGTTGACCTTCAGCCCCTTGACGAGTCCATCATTGAACATGACCGTGAATTGAGGGAGAATGCCGACGACGAGCAGAGTCTTGTTGGCCGCCCCGAGAGAAGCGCTGTGACTTCCAGCAGCAGCAGTAGCAGTGAGGACGACCAAGAGGTGCTTCAACACCATGCCGACATTACAAACGTCGTGCAAGATGGGGAGGAAGACGAGTCAGGCTCCGAGTCTGATGTGGACGAGCCGACAGTCCGTCCACAGGCTGTTCCATTGCAGACATCTCCTCAACGTCCTCTTCCTCACGTCCACTCTGCACCGGCGATGATGACCCCAACGCCATCAGCATTTGCCCCCCGGCCTATGCGCTCCGCTCTTCGCAACGCCAACGGAGGTAGCGCTACGCCCGCCCCTGGGCCAAAGAAGAGACAAGGATGGTCTGACGAAGCGACACCCATGCCTGCAGGGCGAGGAGCCACTCCTGCTAGTAGCCAGAGGCGAAGCGTCAGTTTCTCGGATGGCAAGAAGGCTGGCAAGATTGTGGATGTTGAGGTGGAAATCAAGATGGAGAGGTGGACGGCCAAGGCACAAGATGATGAAGACGATCTGTTCAGAGGCGATGGGACCAGCGGGGAGAAGAGCTTCTTGCCTAGTGCGAGGACAAAAAGGATTCAGGGGCTGCTCGAGAATATGGGCGACCTCAGTAGGTTTTTGTTCTAGATCTCTGATCCCCACACTGACTTTGTTATAGCTTTCGCAGACGAGACGCCTTCCAAGCCGCCTTCGCGATATGTCGAAAAGTCTGATCGTCCTTCGTCCCGCAACTCGCTCGCCAATTCATCTCGACAATCCCATTCCCTCGCTAACTCTTCCGACTCGGAATCCACCGTCCCCATTCGTTCATTCCGAAACCGTAGCTCTGCTGGGCCGCGTAACACTGCCGATGCGACCTTCCTCACGGAATGCTCGTTTGGTGTGGCGCATGATAAGCTTGTAGAGATGATTACGGATGCTGAGCCTTTCAACCCTCACTGGGAGAAGCTCAAGAGTATCAACCTGAAGGGAAAAGGAGCGGACAGTGTTGCTCGGTTGAAAGAGTTCTTGCCGAATCTTGACGAGGCGAATTTGTGAGCCGAAAGCGCTGGCCAGATTCAAAGCTGACCAAGAACAGGGATGACAATGCTATCGGCTACTTGAGTGGCATACCGTCGTCGGTTAGGACACTCCACGTGGCTAGCAACCGATTGACAAGTCTCACTTCCGTCAACCATCTGCGCAACCTGCAATACCTTGACATCTCTGGAAACAAACTGGACAGCGTAGCGCGTACGTCACCGGCTCCTCTTTGCTGATCGCACTGACCATCAAGATCAGAACTCTCTTGCCTCATCCACCTTCGTGAACTCAAGGCCGATAATAATGACATTTCGGACCTCAGTGGTATTCTGGATATGGACTGCCTTATCAAGGTCAGCTGTGCCAACAACAAGCTCAAGGAACTAGACCTTTCAAGCTCCAGATGGTCGAAACTTGAAAGTCTAAATGTCAGCAACAACAGCATTACCTTCATCAAGGATCTGCATCAATTGTCTTCAGCTGCGTCCATCAACCTCGGTAGGTTTTGCTTGATTCTCTCCCAATACAGTGGCTGACTTGATGTAGATGGGAATCAACTTGATGTGCTGGCTCCTTCCAAGCCGATGCCGAATGTTCGCGTCCTGCGATTCAGTGACAACGATGTGTCGCACTTTGACGTCTCCCTCTTCCCGAAGATCAGGACGCTCTACGCCGACAACAACTCTCTTACTCACATTGCTCGTACCGACCGACACGCCTCCAGTCGATTGGAAAATATCTCCCTCCGTAACCAGCGGGCGCCATCGCTCCGCCTAACGTTTGCCGACCTGGAGAACGTTCGCAGACTCTACGTCTCTGGCAACCCGCTGGGCGACGACTTCTTCCCCCCTCGTCCTCTGTACTCGCTAGTGTATCTTGAAGCTGCTGCTTGCAAAATCACTGCCTGGCCCAGCAATTTTGCCAGCAACATGCCGCATCTCAAGATGCTCAACATGAACTACAACTATTTGACAAATCTTGACGGCATCAAAGGGCTGAAAGAGCTTAGGAAGTTGACGATTGTTGGTGGAAGAATTGGAGGTGAAGAGGACAGCAAAGCGGATAAGGATACTATGTCGGGCTTGAGGGGCGTGGAGACTATCGAGGAGCTTGATTTGAGGTGCGTCGTCTTGCACAATCAATGCGTCAAATGCTAATAGCGTCTTCAGGATGAACCCCTCAACGTTGAGCTACTATTTCCCTCTTCTGCTATCTTCTTCATCCCCGTCTTCCATCCTCGACCCTTCGACTGCAAAGCCCCAGCTGGCAGACCAGAGTACTGTTGCAAAAACTGTGGCTGCCCCACCCGCTTTGTGGCACAGCTACGATAACCGCTTCAGGAAGAATCTTCCCGATGGGTGGTACTCTAAACGTCTACTGCATAGAGGGCTGGTCATGAAGGCTTGTCCTCAAATCAAGAAGCTAGACGGGATTATCGTTGAAGACGGGGAGAAGAAGAAGGCAGAGGAGCTTTTGCGGGCGGCGTTGGTCGCGAGGAGGCATTGATGGACTACTTATATGTTGTATAAGAACCATTTTCGAGTTCATGACTTTCGTTTTTACATTTCACATTTCACAAATAGTCGTACCATTTGTATACAAGTTTCTCTGCTTGGAATGCATGTTAGTGATATTTCAATTGAGACCAGGGATCCAGCCATACTTCCAGTCCGACTTCAGTCAGTATTGCACGTGCTCAGAAGGCTGACAGTTGTTAGCTGATGATTTGACTTCGTGACAGGGCGGAAATGACCACGTACCTTGGACGAGAAGCCAGCCCCCATCAATCACTACTTCAGCCCCAGTGACATATTGGTTCTGTTGGTTGCAGTAAGCTTACCTGTATTGCAGGGAACTACCGGCATACGCACATTGATGAGACCAAAAATACACTGAGCGTAATCCTGAGCGTTCCCAGACCTTCCGAGAGGAGTTCCATACTTTTGCTTAAACTCCTCACTTGGCTTAAGGTACTTTTCATCGACAGGAGACATGCCCTTTCAAGTACATCAGACAAGTGGAACCTCATTATATACGAGAATCTTACAGAGGGAAAGTAGCCGGGGCACACCACGTTGACTCGAATACCCAGACCACGACGGGCAAACTCGGTTGCAAGTTGGTGTGAGAGGGATATGGTGGCCGCTCTAGTTAGACTGTAAGCCTCTGTTATGATTGAAGAACTGGAATTCACTTGTTGGAATTGTAGCTGAACTGTCCTCTTTGTGAGGTCTTGGTAATCCCGCTGACCGACGCGATGTTCAAGACATTTCCTGGCTCTGAATACTTGCCCACTTTCTGGGCAGCATCCAAGAGAGGAAGGAAGGCAAAAGTGGTAAAGTAATAGGATGCTGTGTTGATACGGTGCCCGTCTGCCCTATGTCGACATCAGCTGATATTGCAATGGCGCCGCTGAGCGCACCAGCTCTCAAAAGTCTCGTCGTCGAACATCTTTTTGGCGATGCCCTGGGCTGTCTGTTCGGCCTCGTTGATCTTGGGCACATCCAATGACACTCCGTGATCTGTCATCACACATCATAAGCTCCGATCATGATGATCAGGAACAGGTCATGATTCCCACTCACTGTTGATGAGGACGTTGACCCATTTCTCTTCCTTCTCGATCACTTCCTTCAATCCTTGATTGGAGCAACCATCAGTTTGAGCCTATAGTGCATGGAGTGTGCTCACTGAGTATACCTTCTTTACTACTCATGTCAGCTTGGACGGGAATAATAGAGCCGGGAGAACCCTCTGGCGCAGCGGTCCTTGCTGCTTCCTGAAGAGGCTCGAGACGACGACCTGTGATATAGACCTTGCAGCCGTTGCTGGCAAGTGCTGAAGCAGTCACTAGTCCCAAGCCAGTTCCCCCTCCTGTGACTAGAGAGGCCGGACATTAGCCTGATTACTACTCTTTCACACGACTCCCCGCCGATGGGAAGTTAAGACACACCGATGGCGACCCATCCAGACACATCGAAGAGCTTGTCGAGCTTGAGAGCATCTGTGCCAAAGACAAGTTTGGCAAGCGTATGGCTGCTGCTCATGCTGGGGTGTACTTGACCTTTGGCAGTTGCAATAGATCGCTGTTCGAGGAGCCGGGGGCTTTTCGGCTGGGTGAGTCCTCTTGCAATGGGCAGGGAACGAGGAGGGAGGACGCGAGGGCCACGGCAGGGCAAGGGGTGGCACAGAGCTTTGATCATGATTCACTTGATTATCTGTCTTGTTGGCATATGTGGAACGAAATGCAACAAGAGAACAATAATTGGCCCGGGTTCGGCCCGTCATGTCGCGGGGTCGCGGGTGCGCGTTGGCGCCACTTCGGCGGACCGACTCCGCTGCTTGCGCCATCTGCTCTGTATTCACGCCTCAAATTTCCGACGATACATAAAGATTGTACATTTCTATCTCATATCTCTAGACACACTTGTGCGCCGGAAAATGCTCCTCGGAGTTCAACTAATACACGCGCCCTTAGAAAGCTGAAATGGAAGATCGTCAGTCGTAGCTCTTATACTTATCTGCTACAAACTCACGCATGGCAAGCAACCATCCGCCATCGATGACATATTCGGCGCCAGTAACGTACTCGTTCTTATAGATCCCGTCAGCCACTCTTCCACACCTCATACTTAGTGTTGTTGGTGGACTCACCTTGACCAGCGCAAAGATGCACTGTGCATAGTCAACAGCGTTACCGGGACGAGCAAAGGGCGTCCCCCAGTCTCTCCTGAACGCATCACTGGGCTTGAGCTCTTCATCGTTGATTTGAGTCATCCCCTGCAACGCCTTGATCAGCCTTCATTTCCGTAGTGTAAGCCGAATGATGGGCTCACGGATGGGAAGTATCCAGGGCAGATCACATTGACCCTGATTCCTAATCCACGTCGGGCAAATTCGGTAGCCAGCTGATGAGAGAGCGAGATGGTGGCAGCCCTGAGGGCGTATCAGTGACCATGCATGGATCAGGAGGAAGGGTGCTCACTTGTTGGCGTTATAGCTGAACTGACCCCTCTGCGATGTCTTTGTGATGCCGCTCATCGAAGCCAGGTTGACGATATTGCCAGGCTCAGAGAATCCACCCACGGTCTTGGCAGCCGCCAACAGGGGAAGGAAGGCGAAGGACGTAAAGTAGTAGGATGCGGTGTTGATACGGTACCCGTCGGTCCTATTTCAAGTGCCGATCAGCAAGAGTCGTGATACGGCACACATTTCACTCACCAGCTCTCGAACGATTCATCCTCGAACATCTTCTTGGCAAGACCTTCGGCCGTTTGTTCAGGTTCGTTGATGTTGGGCACAGGCAGCGAGACACCATGATCTGCGTGTATAGCGTCAGTCGCGGGTGGTTGAGTCGTGCTCAGGCGATAACATACTGTTGATGAGGACGTTGACAAACTTCTCCTTCGATTCGATGGCCTCCCGGAGCTCTGAGCTTCGATGTCAGCGGGACCTGCCTCCCATACCTGCTTCCACAACCCACTGTTGATACCCTCCTTTGAGCTCATGTCTGCTTGTATGGGAATGATCTTGCCAGCGCCTTCAGTAGGAGAGGCCGTCTTGACCGCTTCCTGAAGAGGCTCAGGTCGTCTCCCGGTGATGTACACGGTGGCTCCGTTCTTCGCGAGAGCGCCAGCGGTGACGAGTCCCAGCCCGGTACCACCTCCAGTGACTAAATATCGAGTATCAGCTGAGTAAGCATCAATGGAGAATGGCTTACCGATAGCAACCCAACCCTTGACGTCAAAAAGCTTTGTGATGTCGAGGGCGTCGGTGCCAAAGACGCCGCGACCAAGGGTGTCGTGGCTGCTCTTGATGTCTGTTTTGAGAATGCTCATTTTCTTTTGAGATGGGGAAAAGTGGGAGAGAGAAAAGTGCTTCAGGTGCGCTTTATAGCGATCGCAGCGCACCAGCCGATGCCGCCGGCCGGGTTCTCGTCGCTCGGCTTCGGCCCGGTGACATCATGTTGAGCCACCCTACCTATCTTCTTGTCAATTCGTGCATCCACATGCTGCTGTCTAGCCTGAAGCGCTCATTGTAGTACCAAACCTTGTGCAGTTCCCGTCTTCGGGACGAGCCCTCGGTCTCAGCCCTCGGCATGCATGCTGCAGTCGTCTGCGCCCTGCCCCACCTCGGTTTTCTTTCGGATCATATCGAAACTCTGTATCCTCTATATGGTGGTGGTCGCCCAGGTCGTCTCTCTTCCCCGTCGTTGGGCTTTAGGCGAGCGTTACGTCGTCATGGTTCGGCAAGGATCATGATCAAGGGCTGCTTGCCAATAATCCGAATCTCCAATGATAGCAGGCAAGGGCGCCACAGACTTCTGGGCCACGTCCGGGACGTTCTTTCTTGATGACCATCAGAATTTTGCGAAAAGGGCTGTCGATGGAATGGAGGGGGGCAACAACAGGCGAATGCGCTATCAGCCACTGCCAGCAAAGTCAGTGCTAAATCCTAGACGGGACCAGCGAAGGAGTCCAGTGTTGTCGTACATGGGAAAGATGATGCTCGTACACGCGGCGTAAGTCGATTGTTCAATTGTCCTTTTGCACATCAAAGACGATCGGATGCTATTCGATAGGTACGTAGAGCTCGTGGCTACCGGTAGAGGAACATGAGGCTGGGATTTATGCATATCTGTCCAAGGAGAACACCAGAACACAGATTATTTCCCACAGACAGGAGGGCCAGTGCCAACGCCTCGCCCGGCTCTTAACTACTTTCTTCCAGCTTCGAGGCGTACAAAGTTGATGGATGGGAGCAGTGATGACCGTAGGCAGAGCTTGGGGTGTTGTTGCTGAAAGTGGCGGTTGGATGCGTGGAAAGGAGTCACTGGGAGCAAAACTACATACAAATGCTTCGCGCCCGTCGTCAACCAAAGTCAGCTGGCCTTCAACAACGAACTTGGCTACTTGGCGCTGTTAAGGTCTGTGCATTGATGCATTATTTACATCATCTAGATCTCTTCCATCACGTTCAGCGTAGCACGTTGATTGATATGATCATCATTAATTGTGAGACCCAGCGAATAATTGATTCAGAGCCAGTGTGGACAGCTCAGGGTCGAACTGCTTCGAAATCGACGGAGATTTCTGTGCTCTCTGATGATCCACATAAGTACATTCTGCAGGCCCCAATGATGATAATATAATCTACGTGGCGTTTCCCAAGGGGTCATTGCTTCCTGAGGAGACGCCTTCCTAAACAGTTTACACTCAGAAGTTATCCGAGCAGATGCGCCGACAACAAGTGACACAAGTTCAAACTTTTGACCAACCTCCGATGCAGCCATGGTCGCCATAAAGTAGCAATCTGTGCGCTCTGCATACTTCATATCAATTCTGACATACTCATACGCTGCATGGCATGTGTAGCATTACTCAATATGTCTGCGTGGTCGGCGAAATGGTATTTCTTTCTGGCCAGCTGCCGGAAATGCGTGAGGATGATGATGGCTGTGATGGCCAAAACATGACTCTACAAGAGGTTTCAGCTCGAGACCGGGATGGGAGACACCGACCTTTCGAGCTGCACTCACAAGTAATATACAACAACATAGTATCGTCGCTTGGACCTCCTCTTGCCTAAGTGAAGAATGATATCGTCCTTCGCTTCGGCTACACCTGCTCAGCCATGCGCTTCTTGATGTCTAGTATTTTTGTATCCAGATTTTGGCCTTCTTTCAAGAGCTCTTTCCTCTCGGCTTCGAGTCTTTGCAAGTGTCCATGTTAGCCACTGATTCTTGACCGGACTTGGGGAAAACATACTGCACAATGCGAGCCCTCATAGCTCGCTCATGGGGCGCTGATCTAGTAGCGTTGGTCTGCTCCAGTTCATTAGACAGGTAATACTCCTTGATCGCAAGGCCGCCGTAGAAAGATACTGGTCGCAGTCAGCTTCGAGATGTCATTGGTAAAAAAACAGGGACGGAAAAGAGACTCACGCGGAACGACCACTATACACGACCCGAGCAGAATCTTGTTTACTTGCGACAGGCGCATGACTACCAGTAATATGGGATGCTGAGATTGACTATTGGGGGCCTTGAGCTTGATGCCAATGAGCGTGACAAGGAAGACTTGAAAAGGCAAACTGGTGCCGCCGCGCCACACCACCACCGACACCAGACGCGTTTGGCGTTTTTAGATGTTTTCGTTGTTTATTGTTTTGACATTGTACCCCCCGAAAAAAGTACTGATCTTTCCTTCAAAACTTTGCTCTAGGATCTGAATTCGGTATTCAGCGGAGCGCTCCCACCGCAAGGCAGCAAGGCAGCATAATGTCGCGTCAACCGCCCGGAGACAACACGCCCTCACGCGACGTGGTGCTTCCCCATCCGGCAGAAGACCTCTCGGCGGACGATGACCTTCTATCCTGGGTTCTGGTGGACCAGCTAGGATCTATGCCCAATACAAAGCTCGGTGTACATCCCCAGCAGGTCAAATTCGTTGGACCTGCCTTCAAGACCGACGAAGTCTTGAATATAGTTCGGGAGGTAAGTTTGGCGCGTACAGGAGAAAGATCCAATGCTGATTATCATTCTCTTGCCAGACTGTCACAAAGGGAAACATACAAGCAGCTATGCAGAGGCTACAAGAGTAGGTACAACGGATACGGAGCTTTGCTAATGTGCCCAGGTTTCATCTTTTTCGGCAACATCTTGATACCAAAATTACAGCCGGCCAAAAGGAACGCTTCATAAAGTCAGCATACTATGGGGCAGGAAGAACTTGATGCTTACCACAACCTTCGTAGACATCTCCGGCGATATTTGCTGGTACTTCAGCCCGCGTCGCGACTCGAAATACACCTCACATCCCGATACACCTTCATCACTGGGCACACCGAACTTGCCGTTTTTGCGACTAGACCCTTAATACCGGGCACTGTCATGCAAGAGCTACAAGGCAGTGTTGTACCGCTCCCTAATGAATGGAGAGAAGAGATGGACATTGGAGATGACTACGCGGTGGAGGCCGCGGGGGAAGAGTCTGATTCTGAAGATGAAAACGCAATGGAGGAAGAGGACGATGGAAGAGATACCGAATCTGCGGCAGAAGGCTCGTCACGACGGCGGAGAGCGAGAGAGGAGAGGAAGCAACAGGGTCAGAGGAGGAGTGATCGGACGAAGAGGAGAGATTTCAGCATTGTCTGGTCGGGGTTGAAGCGGTGCTATCAGCTGTTCTTGGGCCCGGCCAGATTTCTGAATGTGAGTGATATGCGGTCTGCATGTCGTCTGCAGCGCTGACCCTTATGTCACAGCATGACTGCAACCCCAATGTTGAGCTGCTCAGACAAGGAAACTACGTGACCTTTCGAGTGACAAAGCCCATCAAGATTGGTGATGAATTAACAACGTTCTAGTGAGTTCATGGTATAAAATATTGAGCAAAGTGTATCTAATGTGGCGTTTTCAGTGGAGAAAACTATTGTGAGCTCCTTGCTGATCTACCAAGCTTTTACTGACCTCTATCAAGTCGGCAAGAACAATAATGAATGGCAAGTCTTGTATTGTAACGATTACTGTATATTAACTAGCCTCTATCGATAGCCTTTGTCTCACATGCGAGCAGCAAGAGAAAGGTGGCTTCGCGCCGAAACCTCCTCCAACATCTCGAGCTTCGTCTCGGCGCGGCACCCGGGGTCTTTCGACAACGTCCGACAGTCAATACCGGTCTCGCCGCGGCTCGACTCGCGACTCGACGTTTGCTCGCGAACCCAGCTCTCTAAGAAATGAGGTCACTGTGAAAGCAGAGCCCATGTCTGATAATGAAGAAGAAGAAGAGATAGACTTTGGCCCTTCCATGACCCTGTTGGCGCAGTCCGGAAGCGGAACGGGAACGGAAGAAGGTTCTTTGTCTGCTGTGGCAGAGGTTTCTAATGCTGTCACTCCCTTCGAAGAAGGTGAGGATTGGGGAAACGCCAAAAGGGAATCAAGTGTGGCCACAGAAGACGAGGAGAACGAACCCCCTCGTCGAGAGCGCTACGCTCGAAAAGCCACTCAGGCATTGAAACCTTGGCTCCAGCCAAAGCATAAAGGAAAGTACGTCGAACAGGAGGTCCAATATGTCGGCAACGACGAGGATGTTCCCTGTGATTTCCCTCGATGTGCCACATGTGCCAAGCCCTTGACGGATCAAATCTGGTATAATGGCCGATATTTTGACCACTGTCAGAGGTACGTGCAATCTTGTGTTTCAACTCGACATGAGCTTACTCTATGCTTAGGTGCGTTCGACATGCACTTGTCTTTGATCTCCCGTGGCCGGCCCATCGTTCTCAGGATATTCAAGAATATCCCCCCGCCCATCTCGTCCCTCCTGGATACATTCCTCGCAAAATCTCCACAGTCCCACTTCCTTCTCTCAGTAAGGCCCCGCGCATCAAACCTGTCAAATTCATCGTCACGGAAGAACAAGATGGCTATCACGATGGCTTCTACGATCGTCGCGCCCGCCGTTTGCGCGACGAAATCGACGCCGAAACCTTTGTCATCGAGTCTCTGCGTGAAGCTGCCTGGTCTGCCCAGGAAGCTAGAGAAGCGGCTCAAGAGGCTAAGGAGGAGGAGAAAAAGCGAAGACTGGAGGAGAAGCGCAAGCTGGATGCTACGCGGGTCAAGGGATCTGGTGTATGGTCCCGATACGAGTACGTTGACGAGCAAGCGATACGGAAAAAGGAAGAGGAGAGGTGGAAGGTCCAGCCGGGTCTCACCAGACGAGGAACCGTCCGAAATGTCCCCCAACCGGACAAGGACGATGAAGGGGAGGATCAAAGGCAACCAATCACGGTCAAGCAGGAAGTGCAGTCGGAGGACGAAGATTCCGGAACCAAGACCGAGTCTGAAGAGGATCGCAATCGACGAGCCGCCAATAAGGCAGCAGGTTTGGCGAAGAGACGAGAAACCATGAGGCTCGCGAAAGAAAAGAAGCAGGCTCAAGATGAAGCGAGAAGGATCCGCGCAGCAGAGCAGAAGCAAAAGAGAGCCGAGAAACTGCGTGAAGAAAGGGAGGAGAAGGAGAAGCGAAAGACGGAGGGGGCGAGTAGCGGCGAGGAAGAAGAAGAGGATCGCCAAGTCTTCAAGCGAGTAACGCGGAGCGGCGGCAAGCATAATCCCATCGTTATTGATGGTGAGGATAATATCCAGCCTGCTGTACGACGATCCCCTCGCACTGTCGAGAAACGACCACGTGCTTGGGGTACACAAGGAGCGCCCATTGTAATTGACGATGACGACCTGGAGGACGAGATTCGGGTGGCCGCCGTTGCCGGCCATGGCCGTGCCCAAATGGCAAGGAAGTCCGGGCCCTCGTCTAAGCCAGCACGTAGTCAATCAGGAGCTGGTGCTGGACCGCAACAATCTCGCGCATCGACTTCCGCCCAAAGGTCAAGGTCTACGCCCAAGCAAACCCCCAGGTCAGGTTCTACTGGGGTCAGATCTAGTGGTAGAAAAACAAAGCCTACCCCGAAAATGCTGGAACAACCTGTTTCCGGAAGCCGGTCGAGGAGAACGACTGCAGATGTCGCTACGGACGCATTTTCTGGGAGTCCTCAGAGCCGGACGCCACGGCTTGTATTGAAGATTGCTGCTGCCAGATCTGTACAATTGAATGGGGCGGCAGTCAATGGCGCATCGTCACCCGGTCCTTCGTCGACAGCTGCCCGCCCCACAGCAACCCCCATCGCATCTTCCAGCAACACGTCTATCCAGAGCGAGTCGCTGAGAAAAAGGGGAAGACCTCCAGGGACTGGCAAGTGGCAGATCGCTGCTGCTGCTGCTCTCGCGCGTTCTGCGAAGGACAAGGCAGCCAACACTCCCGAACAAGGTGATGGTCCCGGTCCGTCAATCGTAAATGACATGGAGAGGCAAAAGGAGATCCTGCTGCAAGCAGCTGTCGCTAGTACTCCCGAGGAGTCAACGTTTGGGACGGGCAACTTCGACAGCAAGAGCCCGGAGAAGCTCAGGGCAAACGAGGCGATAAGAAGTCCGCTGAATGGCAAAGAGACCAATGGCGTGGGCGGCGGATCAACTCATACATACAAAGGCAAAGGAAAGGTAAAGTCATCGACTTGGTTTGCGAGGCCTATCAGCTGAAAACGACTACAGGCTGCACACCCCATTGAGTATCCTGACTACAGCGCTTCCGCCTCCAAGGTGCTCAAGAAGGTTGTGCCCCCTGCTTCGTTCTTTGCCACCGCCGCTCAGCATGCCCAATCTCCAAAGGTTCACCCACCTCCCTGGTCGTACACCGCCGCTCAGCATGCCCCATCTCCAAAGGTTCACCCACCTCCCTGGTCGTACCCTTCTCAGCCACCTGCCATTCCCAAGCTGGCCGATACTACGTTGAACGGGTCATCCAGCTATAAGAAAAACCTGAGCACCTCTGCCCATTGGAGAGGCGAAGTAGCTACAACAAGCGCTTCGTATAAACCTGGATCGTTCTCTACCAATGGAGACCACCGACAGTCGACAACAAAGAGGTTAATCCCCAGCGAGGATATGGTGGCCAGGAGCGCGCGAGAGGATGTCAAGGGCAAGAAACGAGCCCGACCAGATCCCGAGGTATGTCGCTACTGATACTGCAATAGCAAAGCTGATTTACATGGACCGGCAGTCTCCATTCCCATCACCCTCTCAACCTCTGTCGAAGAAGACGCGAACCGACGTTCTGCATTGATACGTCTGCAGCGTCTTGATCCAACATAGTGATATCTTAGTCGAATAGTCTTACATTTTACGGGTTGTATGTTCTTGGATATTGCATTAGTGTCGGTACTGTCTGTATCCACATGCATGTGTTTCTGCTACATATCAATTATTGTCGTTGTTATCTTCGCTTGCCGGCGGACCCCACCGCCGCTGGCCCCGCGTTCACCTCCACTCTCCGCCTCGCCTTGTCCAAGCAGGGGTGTGTTGTTGTCACCTTTACGCAGACTTGCTGGTACATTCTACTCAGGCCAGCAGCGACAAACATCATCCCTCGGTCATGTCGTCCAAGAAACAGACTTCGTTCGAGCCTCTGGACCCCACACCGCTTCGCCCCGACGGCCGGCGCGTGGCCTACTTCTATGATCATGATGTCGGGTAAGCTGCATCCTCTCCCCGATTAGCGTCCACAGGCTGACGCATATCTCCAGGAACTACCACTTCACCCTCGGCCACCCTATGAAGCCGCATCGCATCCGTATGGCCCACAATTTGGTTGTCAACTACGGCTTGGCCGATAGTGACGATGAGATGGAGGGGCTGGAAGAGGAGGGATCGCGGCAGCTCAATGGGGAGTTGGGGATGGTGGGTGAAGAGGGCAAGTGGAATACTGCTGGACTGAGAGGGGCGAGAGGTAGGGGGATGCAGATACTAGTAAGTCGAGCGAGTTGTTGACGCGATCCAGGGCTGATATCGGGAATGATAGCGGCCACGGCGCGCGACCGAGATGGATATGACCAAATTCCACACCGACGAGTATATTCAGCTATTGCAAGATGTCATGCCTGAGAATGCAGATGCCCTTACTGGTAACGGTACCAGATGTGAGTGTCCTCTATCTCGCGATGACCTGTTGGACTGACATGGATGATCAGGTTTGGTTGGAAGCGATTGTCCTGCGGTAGAGGGTATCTTTGAGTTTGCCTCGATTTCGGCTGGAGGATCTATTGGTGAGCCCATCTGAGCATGCCTCTTCATCATCTGACCCTTTTCAGCTGCTGCAGAAAGATTGAACAGCGGAGCAGCCGACATCGCCATCAACTGGGCCGGTGGTCTGCACCACGCTAAGAAGTCTGAGGCAAGCGGTTTCTGTTACGTGAACGACATTGTGCTGGGGATATTGGAGCTTCTAAGGTATCTCACAAGCTCTTCGTCGTTGTCAGTCTGGGCCTAGCTGATGGTCCCCTTTCAGATTCAACTCGAGGGTGTTATACATCGATATTGATGTGCATCATGGCGATGGCGTTGAAGAAGCTTTCTATACCACGGATAGAGTCATGACCTGCTCTTTTCATCTCTACGGAAATTTCTTTCCTGGTACTGGTCAAGTGAAGGTGAGCAATTCTTCTGTAGGCGATGGATACAGCTGACCTGAGGTTCAGGACGTCGGTTTGAACAAAGGCAAGAATTATGCTGTCAACGTACCCCTTCGAGAAGGCATTACGGATGAAGGATTCCAATCCATTTTCAAGCCGGTAAGTACGATCGTACTAGTTGAACGTCAAAGGCCTGACGCACCTAGGTCATTGGCCGGATCATGGAACACTATCGACCAGGCGCTGTGGTATTGCAAGGTGGAGCAGATAGTCTGTCGGGGGACAAGTTGGGAAAGCTCAACCTGACCTTGGCTGTAAGTGGAGGTCTACTCACAATAACTTCAAAGCTGACGTTGTCGTAGGGACACTCTGAATGCGCAAGATTTTTGAAGACCTTCGGTGTTCCGCTTATGATGCTTGGAGGTGGAGGATATACGACGTGAGTTTTCAAATTCTGCGAGTTGATACATGCGCTGATAACAATGGCTTCCAGTAAGAATGTTGCTAGGGCGTGGGCGAAAGAGACGGCGGTCGCTTTAGGAAAGGAGCTAGTTGAGGACCTGCCAAACAACCAGTAGTGAGTTCCCATTTGCCGGCGATATCAATGACATGCTGATAAGATACTTTAGTATGGAGTACTACGGACCGCGGTACAAGATGGAAGTGCTAGCCTCAAATGCCGACAACTACAACACCCCGGAATATCTTGATGAGATAAAGTGAGTTCGATCACTCAATCTATTGACCATTCTGACAGGAAGTCAAAGACAGCAGATATTCCAACATCTCAAGGATCTACCATTCGCCCCTAGTGCACAGATGAAATGTACACCAAGTATTCCCGTGGCTAGAGCAATTGGGTTGAGGAAAGAGTGGGACGTGGAAGAGCCCGAGGATCAACTCGACCAGAGACTGAAAAGTGAGTGCTTTGGTGGATTCAAAAGGTCGCCGGCTGATACCGTACAGAACTTCTCGCACAAAGAAACCTTGATGGCCTCTATTCTCGCGATTCGGGAGACGAATCAGACGCTCTCATCCCGAGAACATCCCGTAGCAAACGACAAGGAGTCAGCCGACCCTCCAGGTCATCTACTACCGTCAACGGCCGCAGAAAGCGCTATTACGAAGATGATGAGTTCGAGGACGTGACAGAGGACCCTTGTGGGGTCTCAAGGAGAAAGGCGAATGGTAGTCAGGACAGGAGAGCACTTGCTGGCAGGGACGTCGATTGGCCCACACCACCTGGAACGGCATCCAACTCGCGAGATGGGCGCAAAGGAAATTCTGCCGGTACAAGGCTTGCCAGTCAACGTCCTACGCCGGAAAGCGATGACGAGAATGATGATGAGGACCATGAGAGAGGCGCTCCCCCCAAGAAGGAGCGTGTCGGTAAGAGGAGCTTCTTTGCCGCAGCCAGGTTTGGCGTTGGAGCAAGCACAAGACAGAGTGTATCATCGGTTGTATCTGAGTGGCGGTAATGTCAGGAGTTGTATAGAGTTTTTACTGTGAGAGCTTGTATAGATCGCATGGTCTGCCATTGTATGCATGTAACGCTGTGGGTATGCAGTGCAGCCCTGTGCAAGAAGAAGGGCCGACCACGCTTGCACTCTGCTTGCACTGCCTCCACCGCGTCCACGTTTTTGACTCAGGGCCATTTGCGGCAGACGCCAAGACAGAGTTTCCGGTCTTCTCCTCTCGCTCAATGTCGCTGCCCCTCGCCCGCTCTTTCAGTCACCCTTTTACTCTGTTGTTCGGCCCCCGACTCCTCACGCCACCCTTGTAGTCGTACTGTAATTTTTACCACCACTCGGCACTCGAACCAAACAAACTCAGTCACCGCAAAACTCGGACCTCCAACAACGTCACCACTCGCGCGACACTCTAAATCTGTCTTGTTCGACGACACTCATTGGATTCTCAACGCCGGGTGCAAGGGGCATCTCGTATATTAGGGGTCAAGGTTCGTCTGGCCGCCATGAGACTCAGGCCTTCAATACCCACGGTCTTCACCCACAAACCCTTTATCAAATCCCTCTCAAAACAGAGGGGATCAGCCTCACGCCGATCCCTTTCGTCGTCTCCTCTTCCTACCCATAAAGATCAGTGTCGCGAAGATGGACATACATCATTCTTGAGGTCCACTTCTGTCTCGGATGGTGCTAGTGTATCAGTGGTGTCGCTTTTTAAGGAGGACTTTGCAAGCGCAAAGGTCTATATGAAAGAGCTGGATTTCAGACAAGCTAGAAGAGAGGCTTTGAAGCGGCACATGTACAGTGAGCTATTTTCCGCATATATGTGACTACATTCTGACGGACTGCAGAGTGGTATGCGATTGTCCTCATAATCGCCGTATTGACGGCTTTGATCACCATCAAACACGATTCCATCGTGGATTTCATGAGACCGCTTTGTGACCGTATCAAGAACTGGCCAGGGGGATTCTTGATACCCATAGCAGCACTCATCGTACTATCGTTCCCTCCTCTTGCTGGTCATGAGTACGTACACGTTTTCCACATGCCGTCAAAGACCTTCAGCTGACCACGAAACAGGCGTGTGTACCTTCATAATTGACCGCAATTGTCAGCTGACGTGTAGAAGTTGTGGGCGTGTTATGTGGGCTGGTATATGGCTTGTGGTATGTTCGGTGCTGCTCCGGTCTTCAATCAAACTGAGCAATCATCAGGGTTGGTTTTGCTATTCTTGCCGCCGGAACGTTTTTGGGAGAAATAGCTACCTGGATAGCGTTCAAATGGTGTTGCCAGGCGAGGGCGTCCAAGTAAGCTCCCCTGACGTCTATTCGGTTATTGGACTCACATTATTATTTAGGTTCGAGAAGAAGAATAAACTATACTCTTCATTGACGCAGCTGATCAGGGAGAAGGTACGTCGGCAGGAGCAGTTTGTCCGCGGTCGCTGATCTACTATGTAGAGTTTCATGTTCGTATTGATACTGAGATTCAGTGCTGTACCGGGTCATATCACGACTGCTGTGAGTCCTGCACCATCCGTGATTACCTCTGCTTACGACCTCACAGGTATCTGCTTCTGCTGGAGCCAACTTTTGGAGCTATCTTCTTGCAGCCTTCTTGACATTACCAAAGCAATGGACCATCGTCTATCTGGGGAAAGCTTTTGGCAACTCTACACATACAACAAAGATTGTCTCTGCGGTTACCACCGTCCTGACAATCCTGGCTACCGTGGTCGCCGCCGTCTATATCTACTACCAGATGCGGCTCGTCATGCGCCGACAAGAGCTCGCTGCCGCGCCCGACACCGCAACGGTCTCGGTCGTATTGTCAGACTTTACCGACGAGAAGCGCGACGGATTACAATCCCGCAGACCATGGTTGTCCCCCGAAGATGGTGCTCCCAAGGATAATGGCGGCTTTAGGACACCAACGAGGTCTTGGAGTATGCCTGGGCATATGAACGACGAAGAGTTGCGGGCGTGGCTCGCGGAGATCAAGAATGAAAAAGCTATGGCTGCCTCGACGGGCGTGCAGGGTGAAGGGATTGGCGTTGCTGAAGGGGCGCCGGCTATCAAAGTAGAAGGTGTCACCATTTTCGACGACTTGCCTCCGGCCTTTTCTGCTTCCCCATCGCCAAAGCTGCTGGACACAGCTGCCACCACACCCGGCAACAGCAGTCCTGCGTTCATCCCTCAAGAATTCGCCTCGCTATCTCCATCCCCTTCGCTCCTTGAGCTCAACAACAGCCATCCCCCTACCATTGCTTCTCGCCGACAGTATACAGATAGACGTTCTGTGTCGGACACGTCTTCCATCTACGAGCCGTCGCCTGGGAGCGGGAGCGGGACAAGCACCCCCCGTCGGTATGGCGGACGGGAGATGGCCGATGATGCCGATGCGTACGCCGTCGCCCATGGTGGTCACCGACCAGATTTCCGCCGTATGCGAGGAGACTCGCGCGCTGCTCTACTGGGGCGTCCGGTGGATGATGCTGCGCTCGACATGAGCGGCTCTAGTTGGAAGAGAGAATACAGCTACGGACGTTCCAGGGGTGATAGTGCTTCCACCACATGGAGCCGACCTATGATAGATGAGTTGGGGCGATCCAGGGGAGATTCTATGGGAACGGTACACTCTGGAAGACCCACACTAGAAGATATCGGGGTCGTTCGGGGTGAGAATGGATGGGTGAGGGCGGACAATCCGGCGAGGAATAGTTATGGGAGGCGTCGAGGAGAGAGTGCGGCGGGCTTGCTTGGTAGACCGGACGACGATGAGGTCAGGCTTCGGGCAAGTAGTGCCGGCCGAATACACTCGAGGCGAGAGTCGGATTGGGAGGTGCTCAAAGAGGATGAAGAGGTGATCAAGGGAGACGAGAATGTTTGATATGTGCAATATACATCGCTTGCCATAGAGTTCGATACAATGTTGTATAGTTAGTCGGTGCTTTTAGATATATATCATTATCGTGCATAAACAGTGCTACAGGGTTCTGATCAAGCTTTGTGAAAGAGGGGGCAGAAGCACACACATTCGCGTATCACACATAAACAATCAGAATGACAGACGCCACCAGTATCAACAGTGAGGAATGTCAATTAAGGATAGGCTCTCCCTCTCCCAGCGACTTTCTCAAAGACCTAAAGTAGCTACAACCGACAGTGTCTCGCAGTACCAATTCGTTCTTGTCAAGCCAAGTCACGTCCGGTTTGACACCTTGCCTCCACAGCGCGACGTCGTTGACTCGGTCCTCAGCCTCCTTGGGAGCGGCCGAGTCTCTGTCGGCTACAGGATACTGGTCTTTGGTAGCAGACGAGACTGATGACAGGGATAGAGCAGAGGAAGAGGGTAGAAGACATTGCAAGAAGTGGATCAAGTCTCGCAAAGGGGGTATAGCCATGGTCTCGGGTGTAATCAGGCAAGTGCTGGGGCTGACGATAGTCGCGAAGGCTATCCTTCTCTGGTTCTCGTAGCAAGCCGGCTGGACAGAGGTATAAGGGGCAACAGGGGCAAGAAAGGTCGTGAGGTCAAGGGGAAGCTGAAGAAGATGGATGGTGCCTGTTGCCTCTTCGGCTACCAAGGACTCGGTGGCAGTGAGTGGGGAGAGTGGGGCGGAGATAAGATTGAGGATCATTGACCCAGAGAAGGATGGCTGTATGACAGGTTTCAACATCTGGTCATCTCAAGCGTCAGGATAAGGGCCCACCATGAAGGATTGGATTATTACTCACAGCTTCGTCCATGATGTTAATCTCTCGGAATCCATATGGTACAAGCTGCTGTTGCAGTTGCTGGATGTAAGGAAGCAAGGAGGAGAGGGCCTCTTGGTAGAAGCTCTGTTCCCTGTGAAGATTGTAGATTTTGGAAGCGGTGGAGACTGGTGAGAGCTGGAAGACAGACAAAGACATCGCGTAGTGGTTGATGAGGGCGCCTGTATATCGAGGAGCTCTCGGTTTATGTACTCCAGTAGTCGCTTCACCGGGTCATTGCGACGACTTTGAATGATTCGTAAGCCACAGTCGCGTTCAAGGGACCACCCTCGATGATGTTCTATCGGTAGTTCCGGACGATCAAACGAGGGACAGAAGGATGTTTCAACGATTCTCTAAAGCATTACAACGTCCTTGCCGCTGATTCTTGTGCAGCACGGGGTCCCCTTTGTGTGTATTACACTACTTACGCGGCAACGACACACTTAAACCTCGATGTACGTGTCCAATGATGACAGTCTTCTTGATTGCTCACCCGATATCCCCACCTTGAGCCGCCTATCTTTTTATCAGCTCCATCTCGTTGAGCGCCCTTGAGAAGGTGTTGGCCCTGCAAACGCCAGTCCTTGCAATCGTAATTATAAATAGCCTGAAATCCTAGATAAGGCCAAAGAGGATGTCAGAAGCATTGCTCTGCAAGTCACTGTCTTCTATCCCGCATCATTTCTATACAGAGAGGTGCGGCAAATAATTGTCTTCAGTGTCTGCAGGCCGGCCGGTCTACGTCCGGATGCTGAAAATGAATGCTGTTTTCATGAATGAAGATGCAAAATATATACCCATACCTATATTTCAACAAATTGAAATGAAAACGTCTATGCTATCGTGCTACCGTTAGATGCCATAAATTGAACAAAACTCGAGACCGTAGTCTGCTCCTCCTTCTGTGCGGCCTCCATGAGGGGTCCCAGCTAAAAAAGACATTAGCGCAGTCGTGACGAAAACGATCAACACTCACCACACCAGGCTTCTCACCGGACCTTCTAGCAAGCTCCTTCGCGGCAAACAGCTTAGTATCGCCGATATTCGCTGTAGGGTCGTTGACACTCTTTTCACTGGCGCCCAGCTTGGAGAAACTGGATTGGAAGCCAGCCTCTTCGGGGTCGAGCTCGGTGATATCGCCTGAACCTTCGGGGTTGGTGTAGGTGATATCTTGAGGAAGTGTGAAGAGGTCCAAAAGAGCCAAAAGGACAGAGGGCCAGTATTGCTTGTGAGTAGAAATCAGGGCGTCGCTTTTAGACAAAGTCTTGATGAGACCGATTTCTACAAGCTTTCGGTGGCGAACTGTGACTTTTTGGGTGTTGGCGAGAATAACACCAGTGAGAAGGTTACCAAACAGCCTGAGGGATCATCAGCATTGACGTTGCGCCACTCCATCATTTGACTTACCCGGGCTGAATGCCGTCCAAGACCTGCACCAAGAAGTCGATACCGACGTTGTCCAAGTTGGCCAGGTACGCAAAGAAGTAGACAAAGCAGTGGTTGAACTGGCCAGATGGTTTACTTTGCAGCCTGTTGAGGAGAATGACGAAAACGCTGTTAGAAGCGGGCTGCATGATGTTGCTGAGATCAAGTCAGTTCACATGTCTTCGAGGTAATGGATCGAATACTCACAGAGGTACGTGTTCGTACAAGGCTTGGACAAGCTCGAAAGCATACACGTCGTTGACCTTGCTGGGCGCAAGTCGCTGGAAGATACCCAACAGTCCCTGGACTTGACCGTTCTGTGCGATGGCGGGAGCGCCACGCAAAAGAAGAGCCTTCCAGATCCTGACCAACGCAGGAATGTTTCCTCGTTGCTCCCAAAGCGCAGCGGTGAGGAGGGGCCCGGTAAGAGCATTGTAAGCGTCCGGGAATTCGGTGGTGGGGTGAAGCTCGAGGAGTTGAGCGAGGATCTGGAAGATATAGGGGATGAATTCTAAATAGAGTGAGCTCGGTACATCTTGGTTCGTGTGTGGAAGCATACCGGTGACATCGGTGGTCAAGATGACCTGAGCAGGACCGAACAACGCAGCCTCGAAAGTGGGCAATGCTGAAGGAGTACCCTCGCAGACGAAACGGATCAAGGCCGAAACACTCTCAAAGCAGTATTGGTTGAACTTTGGGTTACTGGGGTTCTGACTGATCTTGCCAAGGATAGAGACGAGGCGCTCGAGGATACCCTGGTAAGAGGGAGTGAGAGATTGGCGGGCCGTGATGATGACCCGCATCGCGCCTAGAGAAGACTATCAGAGCGGCCCCTGAGCAATGGAAGTATGCTTACACTTCATCAAGTAGTCGTTCTCGGCAACTTTCTCGGGTGTGGTGCCCTTCTCGATGTTCCCGAACAAAGCCATGAGGATGTTCTCGGCAAACGGCCTAACATCAGCCTGCGTAAACCTTCGCGACGTCAGCTCTCTTTCACTCTGATTACTTGAAGGACATACAAGGCCTGCCTCTCAACCTTGATGAACAAGATTCGCTCAATGGTGATAGCAGCATACGAAGAGATGACGTAGTTATCGGAACCGAGGTGCTGCACAAGGAGAGGGAGCACAGAGACGAGCTGCTCTTTGGTAAGCTGCAAATGTGTCAGCATTGTCATGATCATCGGTGGTTTACATACCTGGTTACGGAAGGTGTACAGGAACTTGATGGCATCGACGGTGAGAATCGGGTGGACCGACCCAGAAGCAGCCTGTAGATCTGAGAACACATTTTGGCCAAAGAACTCGACGACGTCAACAAGGACATTGGTAGAAGTGACACCTAGTTGTTGAGTAGAGCCTCGAGAAGCAATCGAGGTCAACAAGTAGATGGCAGTGTCCTTTGCCTTCCAGTTCTGAATAGGGTTTTGGGAATACTCTTGCAAGAACGCAGTGATGTAACCCTTGATGATGTCAGTCACATCCTTCTCGAACAACTCCATGAGGGCTCGGGTGAAGTTGGTAGCTGCTTGGCGCCTCGTGTCGCTGTCCGTCGAGGGTTCAAGGTCTCGTCGAATGTACTCCATGGGATCGTCCTCAAACATCTCCTCCTCATGCTCTCGGATAGCCATGTTGGGCAAGATGATCTTCTCGGCGAACGCCCTCAAGGTCTCGGGGGCCGCAAACATAGCTTGGTGGTTGCCCATCTTGACGACGACAGACAAGAATCGGAGAGCTCGAGAAACGAGCACATCTTCCCTAGTACCAGCACCCACACGAGCCAACATGTTCCAAACACCATCGACAAAACTTCCAAGCTGTGTAAAGACGTCCGAGTACTTCTGGGCGTACAGCTCGGCAATCTCGCAGATGGATGCGCGGATCTTTTGCAAGGGTCCTGGCGCCTCATCATCATCGTCACCCTTGAGTTCTTCAACCTCCCAATCAAGGTACTTTCTCAACCATCCAGGTTGGTCTCCGCCGCCCATGAACTCGGCCATGTGGTCCTCAAAGAAGGGAGGCAAGTCCTGGCTGGACAAGTCCTGGAATAGTTGGACGAGGAGAAGGAGGGCCTGTGAAAGGAGAGGGAGGGAGGCGTTGGGAGGGAGGGAGGCGGCAGGCGTTTGGAGAAGCCTGTCAACATGTTGGAAAAGCCCATAATAAGGCTCGCAGACACGGCTGAGAACAAAATTGATTTCGGAGTAAAGTTCGTTGGTACGGAACATTGATCTCCACCTGCAGGCATGTCAGCTCGAAACAGTAAGGAAAAGAGCGCTGCACACCTCTTGAAGATGGAGTGAGCTGTGGCCAGAACACCGTTGTTGATGACAAAGTTGTCGGGTGTCAACGAATTGACCAACTCATCGCACAAGCCTTCCCACTGAGTTGGGAAGTCGAGCGATGCGATGTGGCTCAGACCCTCTCCGATTTGGCTTTGAATCCTGGCAGTCTGGGGAGTTCCCAGAGCGATCATGATAGGGACAAGCTGAGATTTGACACTCTCCTTGTCACCAGGTGTAATTTGCGTTTCCTGGACAAATGTTAGTTGGATACACCGATTTGGCGCCGCGCATGGAGGACTCACTTCGTCACCGGACCATAATCTCTTGACAGTGTTCTTGAAGAATACACTACCTGCCTGCCTGACAACAGCATCGGCAGCGTCCGATTTGATCAAGTCGAGGACGAGCAACAAGAATCCAGGCTGTTTCTCTCCGTTCCGAAGCCATTCTTCAGCAGATCTGCGCGTCTGAGCGTCTGGGGAGACGGAAGAAGACAGAGCAGCAGCAAGGGTGTCTTGGGTAGCCGCCATTTTGGAGTTTGTCGAGTTTCAAACGGGATTGAGGATTTGTAGAGATGCTTGTGAAGTGGCGCTCGGCTTTCTGACGCGTTTGTTTTGCTTTTCCAAATGCTTCCGTTGTCAGCCGCCTCCCCCCCATTTAATTGCTGGTATGGGTGTATCTTCTCTTTCAACTTGCTTTCTTTCTTCTATCCATCTTGCACAGCTCTACCTGTACATTCAGCATCTTGCTGCCCCCTGCCCCATACAGCGATACCCCGTCCCACCTGATCAAGATAGGCAACAGGCAGGGCAAGCCAATGATCATGTCCGAGTCTCACGACAGTGATGCAACATCGGCACCGCGTTCAAACAGATGTCTGCACGGGGGAGAAGAGGAAGCGGAGGAGCGCTACTCGAACAAAGGTGTGCCCTTCACTCCCGTGCAATCGGGGGCTAGGCTGACTTTTGGAGTAGACAGGTCGAAATGTTCTGTCTGCGAACTCTCCGTCAACGAATGCTACAAGAGAGCTCAGGCGTTCAACTGCGATTGGATGGCCTTTCTGGTTCTCCACCCTTGTGCCAACCCCGAGTGTTCAGGATGTGAGCTCATTTTGAATGGCCATGTGCGTCCCTGACATGTTCAATCAGGCTACTGTGTTGGCTGTGCAATGGTCGCCACCCTTCACCAGTCTCGAGCCAAACGCGTGCCCATATGCCGCTTCTGTCACCGCCAGCTCTTTTTCCCCTCTCTCCCTCACCGCGCACAGGTCCACGACGAGAACTACATGCTGAAAGTCATCCACAATACCCCCGTCGAATCTCGCTCTTCAGATCCCTCCGCCAACGAAGTGTTGCTTCGCATGAACGTTGAGCGATTCAAACAGATTCACGATGGGTCGTTTAACTTTGAACTCTTCCAGATCTGGATGATGACCCTCTACTATCAATTCACCAAAACACCACTCGATTGGGGAAAGCTAGACCGAGTGGCTCTCACTCTTGTGTGGCAAGCGTCCTTCGGGTTGCAAGGCCCAGTTCTGCGCTCAGACCTTGCCGACCCACGACTGCAGTTTGACGCAGTATGCTCGGATCCAGCACTTCGCCACTCATCCGCCCTCGAGGGGCTCCTTGCGTTCGAAAAGCACCCTTATGGGCATAAGATCGTTGAGCAGCTCACTTCCATCCGTCATCGTATGAGGCAGGAAGCTGGCGGGAAGCAGAAGTTGTGGGAGGTCAATGAGCGCATCGCTCGCATAGCTGCTTCGCACATTGTGCGAGCCCGCCAGACCTATGTCTACTGTGTGACCCAAAGCTATGCTGCGATCCCATCCTTGCAAGTGGGCGGTGTACCCGAGCTGCCCCCAAACCAAAAGATCCAGGTGCTGTTGAAGGCCCTACAGAGGCTGCAGACTGAGATAAATGATCCGGCCTTCGAGTATCTGGAGCACCACTACCGGAAACCACGTCCTTACCCTGCATCCGACTTTAGGGTATCGCCGGGCTTGGACCAGCCTGTTCAACCCACGCCGTGTGTTCCCAATACATCCAAGACTGTACCGTTCCCACAGGCTCCGCCTTCTTCCGCTGCCAAGATACCGTCGGTCACCAACACCCAAATTCACACTGTTCCAGTGCCCACTCACCCTCAGCCCACACCTACCGCTGATGACACCCCTCGAAAAGTCTTCCCCGCCCACAATGGAATGCCATACGAGAGTGTGCAGAGCCCTTTGAAGGCTGGAACGCATAATAATGGTGAAGGAAAAGCGTACGGAGATGGACAGAGCGCAGCTATCGCCATCCCAACCGCGGGTTCAAAGACCTTGTATCCAATCAATAGTGGCTACAATCGAGCAGCCCAGTATCTCGGACACCAAGCCTTTCAAAAGTCAGCAATACAACCCAGCTCTTCAGAGATCCGCCCAACTCCCCAAACCCCGGATGCATCGCTCGCCACAAGCCATCAAACATTCTGTCCCGTCACCCCTCCAGCAAATCATCAACGTAACGACCCTTCGGTTCTAGATCCACGACTCTCGGGAAGCGGTAGAGCCATGTTGGCGAAAAGGGTTGCGGCTGTAGCCGACGAAGAATAGTGCGGACGGAGATGTGCTCGCTTGATTCGTGGCGAGTCTATGACATTCATGGAGCTTTGTGTTATTTGTAGACGTTTGTAGCCTGAAGAATTATCGCGTGTTGTTACTTGAAACTGACGTCCACTTCTGCTGCGTATGAATCAATTGTAGAATGTATATGTGCATGCCGGCTCTATTATCATGGTGTAATCAATGCACCTCCAAAACTACTCCGATTTACCCGCTTTACCCTTGCCGGTGTCCAAACCCAGCCCCTGCTCACCCTGATCCTCATCCTCATCGCCCTTTGCAGCTACCCCGGGGCGTTTGTGGAGTCTCAAGGCGCCCTCATCATCCACTTTCGGAAGGGGCACGTCGGATGTATCTGACCGAGGTGAGGTCGCAGAGCCCTCGCTTCTCGACCCACCGGTGTACCTTCTTCTTCTCTCAGACGGCGACTCAGCATCATCCCCCGTTGACCTCTTGGTATCAATGATAGCCAAAACGTCATCATAATCCACATCCGCTTCGTACTCCTCTCCATCCGAATCCGTCGGGCTAAGCGGCTCTGCCTCCATCTCGCTCCTAGTCTTCTCCATCCTGCCTGAAGACCAGACTGATTGACCAATAGAAGCGGATCGGTTCCATCCAAATATGCGTTCGTCGAGCCAGAGCATGGGATGAGAGAGGACAGAAGAGTCGGCGGACTGGGACTTGCGGGAGAGAAGACCTGGATTGCGGCCAGTCTGCGGTACGGAGGCGGAAGGAAGGATCCGGCCGCGTTGGAAGTTGTCGTAGAGTTCGGGACCGAATTCATCTGCAAACATGGTCAGACGCTGCGTACACATGACTGAAAAGGATACTCACCGATGACTTCGCTGATCTCTTCTGTGAGAGATTCCCTCATCTCCCTGAGCTTGTCGGCTTCTCTTTGGTTTCCCGGCCATACAGACAAGAACAATGGTCTCAGACTCTTTGCGACATCCATCCCGGCCTCTCCAAACTTCAAGCTCGCCATTGCCCATCCGGGCAGCCAGCAGAATATGACAACGGGCGTCCAGTGGCGGTATGCCGGGGCGAGGTCATACTTGTAAGCGAGATAAGTGGCGAGGATCGAGTAGAAGATGTAGAGAAGAGGGGTGACGGCGAGAGAAACGAGAATCTTCCAGGTGGCGAGAACATCTCGACCCTGAATTTTGACTGTGGAAGCAGCGAGTGCCTCTGCGAGCTTTGTCAAAGAGAAATCATACCGAGATGATGGAACTTACCTTTGGCCTTTTGTATACTGATGAGTTTGGCGAGGATGAAAACAGGGGCATGTAGAATGGTGCCAGGAAGAGCGAGGAGTGACCACCAGATAAGTAAGCCGGTACGGTAGACCAGAAGTAGAAGACTCTTGACGCTTTTGTTGGAAGCTCTTTCGACCTGATGATCGGCAATGCCCATATCCCGCAAAAGACGATTGTACGCGAGCACCTTCTGACGAAGATCAATGATCTTGGGCTCATCCTTGTACACGAGGTACCCTTCCATCATGCGCTTGCTCAGCTCGACGACCTGGCCAAGAGTGAGGTGTTGACCGGGGATCCGGTACAGCCTCCTCGCAGCCTGAATGACCTGCATCGTCTCCCAATCCGGGGCCCTGAGCGTCACCGCTCTTAAACCATCATGGACTTGTTCCAAGAGCTTCCCACATGCTTCCCTTTTCTTCGCTCCACCTTGTTTGTAGAGTTCCACCAACTCTGGATCGACGGAGATGGGCGGGCCAAATTCGACGACAGCGCGAGAACGGAATTTGTGGGGGTGGAAATAGGAGAGACCGACGGGAACGAGTTTGACGTCGAGATCCGGGTGAAGGGCTTTGGCACCAAGAGCCATGATGGAAAAGCCAGCTTTCAGGGGAAGGAAATCGGTACGGTCGTGCGAGCCGCCTTCGGGGAACACACCGATACAGCCGCCCTCGTTTAACCTCTGGAAACAAGCGCCGTACGTGTCTTCCTGCTCGACATGCGGCAAGACTTTGTATTCCAAGCCTTCCTTTTGCTCGCCCTCGGTCCTGACTCTGGTAGAGGCTTTGACATTCGCATTTCCGTCCTTGCTAGGCACCACAAACTCGGTTTTGAGGCGGATCTCGGTATCGGAAATAACCTCTCCCACTGTGGCAGCGGCATAGCCGGCAGATTTAGGCAGGACGAGTTGAGAGCGAGGTTTGACTTGAGTTGTAAAGTCGGTGTTGAGGCCTGTGACGATGAGAGGGTCGGATTCAGAGAGAACGATGCGGCCTTTGCCTGCCGTGGCATAGTCGGCCGCTCGTGCAACAGGAACTGTGGCATGTCAGCTTGTGGAGCCGAATGATGTGAGGATGAACGTACTCGAGTCAAATACACGAGCAACAGCTCCAACAAACTTGCGCTTCATACTCTTAGCAGCCGTCAAGATAGACACACGTCTCCCTGACTCTTTCCGGACTTCTGAGAACAACAACAAGGGATCCAAGAACTGGTTGGCATGGGGACCACATATGAACAGGACAGGACCCTCTTTCGGAATATTGAACGCGCCACGGGGACGGATTTCGCGGAAAAAGATATTGATGATGATCCTCCAGAAGAGGAGGAGGAAGTCGTCTAGATATATTTAGCAAGGGGCGGGCAACAATGTGGTCAACGTACAGGCGAATCCAGCGGGCATCTTGCGGGTGTTTGTGATGAGATGGGGCGATGAGATACAACTGCCTGCCCTTCTATAGTAAGATATGCGGATAGAGGAGGGATGCGGTTACACGAATGCCCTGTGGACAACCTGTGGAACGAAGTCTGAAGTAGGCGGCCGAGTTAAGGCCGGATATGGCGGTAGGTGGCGGTTGTGGCTGACGGGATACTTCTCGCTGGGTGAGGCGGGCACGAGGAGGTCCGAGCACAAAGGGGCGGCGGTGAGTTGACGTGTGGCCACTTGATCCCCAGCATTTCATCATGGCGGGCGGAACGAAAGCTCGCTCACGTGTTTGCTTACGTAATGCTATTTGGCTTCGATTGTTTTGGCTGGTGGATTTTGAAATTCAGTCCATCGTATGCACTTTTGTCTTGTCCATCGCCATACAAGTGCACAATGCTGCGCCGCCTACAACTCCCTCGGATTCTGGCAGCCCATGCTGGCCCCAGCACTCTTCGGACATTCAGTGCCTCCCCAGTCGTTGACAAGCTTCGTTCTTCGCCCAAGGAGGAACGCCTGCGACGATTGCAAAGAGGCCCCGTTCGGGCTCAAAGATATAGAACGGAATTCACTGGCGGCAACAACACAACAAATCCAGCAAACCAGGGTAGGGATGGGAATGCTTGGACGACTGCGACCCGTTTGAAAAGATGGATAGATAAACACAAGGGGCCGCTGTCGGTGGAAGACACGGAGGTCGTCTCAAAGATGATTACTGAGGCACCCAAACACATGGTGAATGCCCCTGTATGGAACCAACTGCTGGGATTCATGGGGAGGCAGAAGAAGCTGGATAGAGTCTGGTCGCTGTACAATCAAGTGAGTCGTCCTAACATTACGGGATGTCGTACTGACATCCGTTCAGATGAAAAAGCGCAACATTATCCCCACATCTCGAACGTACTCTGTGGTCCTCAATGCTTATTCCGGCATTTCTCATTCTGGTCAAGAGCCAGAATTCAGCTTTGCCACGCCTTCTGAGCGCACTCTGTCACGAGTCACTATCATCTACAAGCAGTCCCAGGTGCACATCAAACGTCTCGCCGCGCGCCTGAAAAAGGCTTCGGCTCCTTCAGAGGACGATTTGGGAATGTCCCTGCCCGGTGTGGCTCTCAAAGAAGCGAGCAAGCGGGAACCTCTTCCGAACCAAGCAGAGATTGAAGAAGAAGTCGACTTGGCGCCTACGAACGCCTATCTCAAATTTCTGAGCCGACATGGGATGTGGAATGAGATGCAGCGCGTCTTCCTCTCCCTCGACACCGAAGGCCCCCTTGCGGCTGACACTACCACTTATACCATCATGTTCACCACTCTATACCACGTCCACCGTGCTCTCGAGCGGGTACCAAACGATCAAGCCCAGGCGCTCAAGATCGGGCCGGCAGCGAGAGGAATGTGGGATCAGTGCATCAGGCAATTCGGAAAGGTGGGGAAAGACCCATCAAGGCAGATTGACAATGTGCTGTTTGCACAGTATCTGCGTTGTCTGATGAGAGGCCGACCAGAGGATCACCGACAAGCTGTCAGCGTAGCCGAGCAGATCTGGGACCTCCCTTCCCCGGGTCATGCTGCCCCCGCGTCCGCTTCGTCTACCACACTCTCCCAACCCAGTATCACCCCTACTGTCGCATCTCTCCCCAAACTGTCTGTCGACGTGAGGTCAGCCACTGCCCTGATCTCTGCCCTCCACACTGCTCGCCACCCGACTCTAGCATCGCATTACACCCACCTCATCCTCGAAAACAAGAAGCTGGAGCCAGACTTTGATCTTGAGTTTCTCAAAATTGCCATCCTTGCGCTTTCTACTACGGGGGATATTCAGGCGGTGCTAGGTGTGCTGGATATGTACCAGCCCCCCGGAGCCGGCAAGAACGGCTGGTCAAGAGACACCTGGCGAGCCGCCATCACCGCCGCTCGCTGGGCCGGTGATTACTCTGCCGCTCTCTCCATCTTTCAACGCGCTACCCATCTCTCGAATGGTTTTGGTCACGTCCGCATGGACCCTTCGGACAAGGTCCCCAAAGTGACCTCCTACATCTGGTCTACTCCCAATGGGAGAGGCAAAGATGCCAGAGGTATGACGTGGATCAAGCCTGAAAAGATGGATGCGGACGCGCAGTTCCTGGGGCTTTTGTTCAAAACGGCTCTACAGAAAAGCAACAAGGAGGTCGCTTCCGCTCTTGACATATTCTTCCATCTGGGCGGCGAGGGCGCCTTTTTAGTGTGGCCATTCACTGAAGGGAGCGATAAGCCTCTTCTCCTGCGTACGCTGAGTCTGCGTGGTGTCACTGCCTCTGCGCGCAAAGCACTTGTCGACAGAGTCGAGTTGGCAAAGGACGTGGTGCGGGCAGCGGAGAGGGTTGGAGGGGAAGCCAATGAGGGGCTGGTCAAAGATATGGGGGAGATTGTCTCGCGATGGGGACCCGTGCTCAAGGGTAGAGTGTTGCAGGATTCCTCTGCAGTCTCTACCGCGAGGACGAAGGGGAACCGAGAGCGCGAGGAAGCGGAATGGGAAGACGAAGACCTGGAAGAGGAGCCTGTATCGAGAAAGTCGTACGGTGACAAGAGCTCGAGAGGCTGGAAGACAAATGGAAATTCTGAAAGAAGGCGGCCAGAAGGGCGTGAAAGTTCCAGCCGGCCTTGGGAGGGCAGAGGTGGAGGACGAGGGAGAAGAGATGGCGCAAACAAGACGGATTACAGTAGTAATAACAACTTTAGCCGCGAGCGCCCCGGCCGCCCGAGATTTAGATCTGAGGAGAGAGGTTCCAATGCAACTAGAAGGGAGAGGGAGCCAGAGCGCTCATCGGGCTTTGGGTTGCGCAAGTAGACCTAGGACTGGAGAGACCATTTGGGGCAGGGCGTTTTCACCACTCGCATCAGCATTAGCATTAGCAGCATTATTATAGATTGCATATATCTATATTCCACGCATAACAAGAGCAGACGAGGTGGTCTATAGCTCCTCCCGTTGAGCCCATTTGGTGAGGGTAGGTGCTACGAGATCGGCAAATCTCTTCTGCGCCTTACTGAGCATACCGCCGAAACCTCCTAATGTTTGCACTCTGCGATTCAAGCGCATGGCCCAGACAGAGGTCAAGATGACAAATAGCAAGAGTGCCACAGCCACTGGGGAATGTTAGGACGTATCCACATACGATTTCGAACGGCTCAGCTCACATAAGACCTTCGTCCTCAATGCTTTCCCCCCGCCTGATGCAGTCTTTGAGCTTCTTGTACCCCTCTTGATATCCCCCACTACATCTCCTCCTATCCGGTCATTCTTGGAATGTCTTGCTGAGCGGTGGGCGGACTGAGTATGACGTCCGCCGATGGAGATGGGTGGGGAGAGGGCAATGGGCGATGATTGGTCAGGGGAGGGGTCTTGAGACATGGAGATTATTTACAGAGGATAAAGAGCGTGATATGACTATCACAAGCGGTTGATGATCATACGACTTATCAGCATTAGATGCTCGGTCAATGGATTTGTAGGAGGCGGAGGCGTCCACCTCGTGTTATGACCCGCGGCCGCCGGCTGAGTTCCGGCTTTCGTTCTTCTTGTCGTCTATTCGAAGCGCCCTCATTGTGAAGAGTCTGAATCTGGGCGTTGTAGTATTCCGTCCTTGTTTCCAAACTCGCTGAACAGACATGCTGCATTCACTTTGTAGGACTCTACAGCGTACGACCGCATGCGCTGATCCGTGTCTGCCTGGACACATGATTATTACTAGTTCGTCGGCGTCTCGAATACCCATATAATACAATCTAGTCAAAAGCCCAAAAGCAGAGGATACAGAGAGAAGGTAATAGGGATGGCAGGGGTCACAGGAAAGTGGCTGCCACGGCGCCTATAGCCACTACCCCAGCCAACAACCCACTGGGCATGCTCCCCGCTGAAGAAGCAGAGTCGAGGTACTCTTCAGAGCTGTGACCCAAGTCAGCCGCGTGGCCTCTGTATGGACGCATCACTCACGTAAAGTATGTCCCATTCACGCCGCTCAGGTAGCTCTCGGGAAGTTCTATGTTCACCGTCACACCTGCTCGAGCACAAAAGCCTTTGGCGTATTCCATGGCATAAGCGACATCTGGAGCTGATGTGCAGTATTGAGGGAGACACAGAGACATGGCTGACTGCCATTTCTTGATATGTTGTCAGCATGCAGGAATGGTCGAGAATTGGCGACAACTCACGTCGTATTTGCAGTTTTGCTTGATCCATTGGTAGGCATTGGTGTCGGTCCCCTCTAGGGCAAGTGAGCCAACAATAGCAGAGTGACAAGTCTGGAAGCATACTACAGCTTCTATTTAGCATATCTCTTGCTGTCGACTGTGCAAGCCCGGTACTCACATGATGCTTGCGTATTCACGTCGAGATTGAACTGAGCAGCGGCGCTGGCCTGGGTGAAGGGGAGGAGACAGAGAAGCGCGCCGATGAGGGCGACGATGGGTTTGAACATGCCGAACATTGATTTCAAGAGTGAGTGAAGAGAACGAATGCAGAGAAATGGCTTGCATACTTATAATTTCCGCTAGACGGACAGGTGCGGCAGAGAACAATAAGGATTCGAAGCAAGCTTAAGGGTGTCTCAGGTACGAATCTAGGGTTCCGCGAGAACAATAAGGATTTGTTTCGCATCTCAATTACCCCATTAGGAAAATGGAGGCGTTTCACGGGGAAGCTTTGGTTCCGGCGCGTGGCCAAATGATGGTTGAATGATGGTGCATGCGGCTCTGTTCGGCTACGGTCTTCGATGGGATGGGAACATCTGAGGACCACCGACACGAGGGGAATAGTGGCGGTAACTATGATGGACATGGTTCTCTACAAACGGTATGGATCAGCCCTCCCCTTGATGAGCATGTAGGCAAGTAAGGAGTTTACGCACCAGACTGTCTAAGGCCTGGTGAGGCGTCCCAAGCACGAGAAGAGCCGCGGACCAGGGGGGAAGACTGGAGAGAATATGACGAGGACGTCTTAAAGAGGTCAGAGGACATTCGTCCATTGCCCGGGCAGCCCGTGTGACCGTAGGAGCCACCGCCGTACGGCGTGGAGGGAGCCCGCCAGCCAGAAGGGGACTCGGAACTGGGGAGCTCGGGGGCATACTCCTTGGCCATGTTCCGGATGATGATGTCACCTGTGACGCCACCCCACTTCGCGGCCGACTGGAGAGCCACCCAGGGCCCCCCCGGCTTGGTAGCGACGCAGAAGATAGCGCCGAGCTGGTCCAGCGTAAGCACCCCCCGGTCCACAAGACCCTCCAGGAAGTTCTTGACCTCATTGAGAGCCAGCTCCTTCTCCTGCTTCTTCTCCTTGCGAGCGGCGTTTGCGGCCTGCACCTTGGCTGCAGCTCGGGCTTCGCGCTCCTGCTTGAGGGCCTCGCGCTCCTGCTTGAGGTTTTCGGCCATGTCAACCTGAGCTTGGAAGCCGTGGGCTTTGGAGGAAGCTTTGGACTTGCTCTTCTGCCGAGAGGACGTGGCAGTGGGAGGCTTGGCGTTGGCCTTCTTGTCAACCATGCCACCCGTGGATCCCCGGGAAGCAGAGCCTTCTTTGGCTGTGGCAGCCACGGCAGAGGTGGAAGAAGCCGACGTGGAGGTGGACGAAGCCAATGCGCTTCGAAGAGGAGTGGCCTATACCGAGGTATATGTCAGCATTGCACTCTCACATCAACAGTAACGAAATCTTTCACAAAGAAGCTTGCTCACTCGTTCGGCTCTCACCTCTCGTTCGCTCTGCTCTGCACCCACAGCCTGCTCAACACCCTTGCCTCTCTCACTCGCGCTCCACGACAACACCGGCTCCGTGTCCGACAAAGGATCAAACACCTGTTCACCCGTGGGTTCGGCCCCTCCCTCTTCTAGCTGCAGCATGAGGTCGTAGAAAGGCCAGCGCAAGACTTGGAACTTGCGGTATTTGGCGCTGACCTGAGGAGAGGGATCGATGAGCGTTAGCTTCTGTCCTCGCGTCAAAGATATCATTCCGTCTCTATGATTAGGAGAACAACGCGAAACACCAACGTACTCTGTACCAAACATCGTCCTCGTGGTAGACACACTTGAGCTCACCGTTCCAACCAAAGCCGGAGAAGTCGTTGAGCAGGGTGGCAATGAGCTTGTAGTCCTTCCTAAGTGTGTTGATCTTCCCCCTGAGGGATTTGTCCGTCCTGAGGACGGTACCGGCGACCTGCTGGTGTATCTTGGCCGCGACAGCGTCCAGAGTCTTCTTCTGCCAGGTCTTGATGTACGATCCTTGCGCCCTACAGATGTTGTCAGCGCGCAGTCACTTCTCGAGTAGATATCTTGGCAATAGCACGAAAACCCACAAACGCCGATCAACAAGCTCCCGCAACATGACGAGCGTCTCGTTGTTGGACCAATCCTGGGTACGCTTCTCCTCTTCCGCCGCGACAGCGGCGGACGCAGCAGCAGCGACTCCAGGGGTACCAGAGGTACCAGGGGCACCAGGAGTAGGCGAAGCGGTGGCCGGGGTGACAGACGCGACGTCTGGGCTCTTGGTCTCCTTGGTCTTCTTCTTCTTGGTGGCAGGTTGCTGCTTGGTAGCAGAAGGAGGAGGATGCTGGGGGGCAGACATGATGATGTGCAGGTGAAGCTGGCGAAAGTAGTCCAAATGAAAGAGGAGTATGCAGCAAAGAAGGAAAGAAGAGAAAGCGAGAAGTCGAGATCAACAGAGGAAAAATTTGCATCGTGCGAGGGGATGGAAAAAGGCAATGGATGGGATGGCCAAGCTGACGAGCCAACGCGTTGCCGAACGGGATGACGGGCTCAGCTCCGGTCATCCGCGGCGGCCGACCGTCATCCCACAGGCCCATTTTCACCCTGCAGCTTTCATCCCATCCAGAAATCGTAGGAAGGCATGATTTGCTGGTATTGCACGAAGTGGGGTACCACTGGGACCCGCGACCAGGCAGGATAATATTACCCGGGCAGAGGCAGCTGATATCTTCTCATCCTTTATCACCCCCGTCACCGATGCTATCCTTTCAGTCAATCCTTTCTCGCTACAGGAATCGATACGTTGGCGTCAGCCATCACCCACTATGCCTCTGGTGCTGTCATCTCTACGACCCAAGTCTGACGCCGGACGTCTTGTGTAATGTCTACCCAAAGACTCTGGATATCGGATGCTTCACCGCTATTCTTCTACTCACCTGCAGACGCATACTTTTCCGGTCAGAACTTGTCTCCTTGGACAGGGTCCGACAGCTCAAGCTCTACGACCAAGCGGCAGATTGGGGGTACAGTCGCGGGAGGGTCTACTTATCATAGTGCCACAGGGAGCGCTGGGGTCATATTACCATCGATCTACGGTGCGTTGCTCAATTCTGATGTAGGATGTCCAGCTGACACTTTGCAGCCACCAGCTTTGCCCCCATATTCAATGCCAATGACTACAATGTGACACTTCAGATCAACTCGGATGATTCGCAAAGTTGGGAAACTGCTCAAAACTGGACAGCCTCGGATGGAGAGTTCAATCAGCAAACCTTCACTTTACAGTCATCGTGCGGGGTGGATGGAGGATGTCAGGATGCGTTTGAGTTTCAAGGGGCTTGGGTGGAGACGCAGATGGCCCCTAGCGGGTTTGATACCCTTTTCACGTTCGATCTCATAGCCGCTGACCGACTATTCCAGGTCAGATACAGAGAGTGTCACTCTCGATGACGGCTCCGAGCTCGTCCAATACTCGGGCTTTTCTCCTATCGACTCGAACAATGAGATAGTACAAGTATCGTCAAACGACCACAACTCAACATTATCGATGACGAGTACCGCAGGTGCTACCGCTCAGGTTGTCTTTAATGGTATGTCTTTTGAATGTCAGGGATCTGTCTGACGAAGCGGACAGGAGCGTCGATCTCAATAATGGGAGTGGTCTGTCCATCTTGCTCCACATTCACAGTGACCCTCGACGGCACTGTTGCCGCCACACTCGATACCTCCAACAACGTCACTGTACACGACACCCTCTTATTCTTCACCACCAATCTTGGCCCAAGCAGCACGCATACGATGTCTCTAGAAGCGCAAGGAGGGCTGGTGATTGACAATTTTGTGGCCTACGGTCCGGAGGGAGGTGTCGGTTTCATGTCAGCAACCTTCTGAACATAACGTCTCCACGGCTGACTGGTACTCAGCGGTACTGTAGCAGGCTCTACGGCGACCTTATCGCCATCTGGCACCGGGGCCACGACTACAACAGGCGCTACTGCCACGTCTACAAGCGTAAAGGGTACATCAGGAGGAGCCCCAAATGTAGGAGTGATCATCGGTGCCGTATTGGGTTCTCTTGCGGGAGTGGTATATACATTGTAATCGGTTTCTCAAACGTTCAGCTGACAAGGTGATAGGTGCTACTGTGGTTTGCATGTCGCAAGGCTGTACAGGCGAAGACACAAGGCGACGATAAGAAGCTGGATCCGTGGGATGAAGCTAATATGTTGCAAAATCAGAAGAATGAAGGTGTACACGTTACTACCGCTGCAAACCAGCGATATGTATATCGTGAGTTCACCCCACCGCTCTGCCTGTCCATCGACGAGGTGTGCTGATTGACTATAGCCGGACTCATCGCTCATAGCGACCTCAAAAAGAAGTGACAATCTAATCTATCCCTATGCATTACATTACCATGCGCTACAACTGATCACCAGGTCTGTCCCATCCCTTGGAGGATACGCTCTATGAGGGCTCGTTTCATGTACTGTTCACGGGCAAGAGATCGTATAGACTTCAAGTACCGATCGAGGTCGATCCGTTCCGAGTCGAGAGCTCGTGTCAGGTGGTAGATTGTGTCCTCTATGGCATTATCTTCGGCCACAAGATCTATAAGCCTGCACTTTATCAGCACGCGACTGCAGGGCTGGAGTGAAGATGACAGGACTTACTGATTATGTACGATAGAAATCCCACAGACAAGCTCATCCACTCCAATTTCTCCTTTCGATTCCAGCTCCGCCACACGATCTTCGCCCTTCTGCACCACATCTTCCATCTTTCTTCCAACAGAGTCGCACACCTTCTTCACAGCCTCCAGCCTAGCCATTTCATCCCTGATTGCTGGCTCACCCGTGGTCAAGTCTTCAGTCCTAGCTTTGAGGTGCTCCACTGAAGACTGCAGGGAATGGACCAGGGAAGGGAGGGCTGCGTTCAAGTGCGGTAGCAGGATGGAGTGGAGATGGAGGAGTGAGGGAGGGGGTGGTTTGGTAGGTGGAGGAGGAGGGGGGCCTGTGGGTTCGGAAGGTAATGGCGCATTACTGGGTTCTGGGGAGGAAAGCAGGTCTTGGGTTGGTTGTCTTGTTGCTGGAAGGGTTTGGGCCCGTGATGAAGGTTTCACAGCCTGCTGAGAGGATTGTGCGGGGAGAGAAGAGGAAGTTGGGTTGACATTTGTATGTGATTGCAGAGGGACTGGAGATTGGCCGTGTGGAGAGGCAGTCATGGCCTGAGGTCCCCAGCCAGGCCTATACCCTGTACCCTGGGGATGAATACCTCCATTGCCGTTGAGCATCACGCCCGACAAGGGTCTTTGAGGTATCGAGGGCATACCATTTGGTGACTGTGGATGAGGCGCTCGTTGTATCGGACGAGCGGGTACTGGGGGGGAAGCTGATGCTTGCGGGAGCGTCGCGGGTATTTGAGGAGCGTAGTTTGAGTTGACAGAGCCTTGTCGTGAATGTGACTGTTGTGGCCAAGGATGGGGAGGAGGTGTGGGGGCGGCTCTGTATACTGGAAGTGACTGCTAACGTGTGGTCAGTATGACTTCTCCATATATGAAGGAGACTCACTTCAGGCTGAGGAGGGCCTACCACAGGCCGCGCAGGTGGAGGAGGAGGCTGGTTCTGGGATGTCCCAGCTACAGGTGCAGGCGACGGGGCGCCTCTCAGCGGGCTCTGCGCCTGAGGCGAGGAGACGCCAGCAGGCGGCTTTGCGTATACCGGCGGAGCTGCCGAGAACACGCTCGCCAGCTGCTTGAGAATCTGATCTAGTGATTTGGACTGCTCCATCATCAGCGAACAATTCACGTACAGCTGCAATGAGACATACCTCCCAAGACCTCCACCACCCATCAACAACAACCTCACTGACCCTCCCTGAGGGTTCCACCTCCCGGCTTTTCCTGACTCCCATTTCCTTTGTGGGCATTACTAACGCCATAGGAGGGGCACGGGGGTATTCGTGAGGTATCCAGAGGTGAATCGGGATGTGGTAGGTTGCACCTCGGAAGGTGATGGGCAGGGTGCCGTGGATCAAGAGGAGCAGGGCTGTATGGCCTGAATCAAATGCTATACGAGCTTGTCAGTCACCTTCTATTGATTTGATATGATTTTAATAGATACTGAAAGCTTCAGTCTTGACAGCGAGGGTGCGCCTTTCGCTGAGGATGTGCAGGACCTCCTGCTGTATGCGTTCTCTGGATGGGAAGGGCCTGAGGACATTCTGGAGCCAGTCGCGGGTGAGGTTGAGGTTGGACATGCTGCTGCTTCTGTCCCGATGAGGAGGTACTAGGATTTGCTGGGATGTGCTATACCAGACGAGATACCTGGCAATCATCGCGTTGATGATGACGGATCGACCGACGGCAGCCCGACGAGCGGCGGTCACCGGCAATCATCATCAACTACTGTAAAGCTCAGAATGGTATTTCCTGCATCTGTCTTGGCCATAGATTTGCATATACTGTACTTCAACTATTCAATTATTGACTTCTCTATCGAGAACCGGGGCATGAAAACATAGTGGAGAAAAATAGTACGATACCGGTGATAAAAGTTCGTTTGCCCCTATAAGCGTATATATATTGTACGAAAAGATATGGTCGAATGTAGGTCCTGGGCGTTCAAATACAAATATGACAGAAGAATGAGAGATAAAATGGTCATGACAAACATGGGAGAAAATGATGTGAAAGCCGAGGGTATAATGATGTGTGCTAACTCCCAAGGAAAATACGTGGAGATGGAACGATTCCAATAACCGATGCTATTTGGCATGCGATCTACGCATGATTTTTATGTTGTAAGGCTGATTGCCTGACAGGAAATGATGACGGTCGACATGGGGTATGATGGGTATGATACTATTGGTGGTCGGGAGTGGGGCCAGGGCTGTTGAGGTTCATGAGGAGCGTCGACAGGCATCGCTTGGTGACGAGGTCGCCCTTGAGCAGAGGGTTGAATGTGTTATCCTGCAACGCCTTGGGAAGACACGCGCGGAGAGCCTCTCGTGCTCTGTCATTATATCAACACACACCCTCTTATAAATCAAAGAAAGACATACCTAGGGTTGTCGCTCATCCTCAAGTAACATCTCACAACATGCTTTAGCAGCCTGACCGCCTGACTTTCCACAAGGGCATCCACCATGTTCGCCAACACTGTTCCCACAGCGTAGAATCTCTCATAGGTCTGGCAGATGTACTGCAGGCCGAGATCATCGGCAAGGATCTTTTGCACGATAAAGATGGCGACCGTTTTGGAGAGCTCGGAGCCGGTCTCCATGATCCGAAGACAGAGAGGAATGATTTCGGTGGAGAGGAGAAAGTTGATGACATCAGAGTTGTCATTTTGCTGCTAGATGTCAACTGCAGCAGCAACACGCAACAAGTCGACTCACCTTGACCAGCGCACCGATAACACCCAAAGACGTCAATCTGAGATATTCAAAGGGTCTGGTTTTACTTGTCGTGTTGAGGAAAGGATAAAGGAACAAGGGGATGTGGGCTGCACGATCATCAGCATGCTTCGGACGGGGCTCTAATGATAGACGCACCATTCAAGAAGAGAGCGCGGGTGTCGGGGTGACTGGCGACGCATTGGAGGAGCGCGAGGGCGTTACAGACTCGGTTGGAGGCGTGGGCCGTTAATGAGGGGGGCGAAAGGGCAGGGTAGACGGCGACAATCTCGAGCAGAAGCGAGCTCATGATCCCTGCAAGAGGTTAGCCTCGCCCTTACGGCATATGCAATTGACACACCAAAACCACCCCACAGTACCAATGCCAAATCCTCATACAACTCTCTCTTCTTACTCAGTTCGAGCAGTGCTCCTTCCCGAGTGTCTGGGTCCAGCAGCTCGGTGATAAGCACGTAGATCTTCTCCTCTTCGCTCCCCGCCGGGGGAAGCGCCCCATTCGGCATCAGCAACACTTTGCCGCCTGGCGTTGGCACATGGGGCGCCGACGCCGCTTGGGCCGCAACAGCAGCATTGATGTGCTGCGATGTCGTAGGAGGCGGGGGGTTGTTGAGGTGCTGGGCGAGGTTCTGGGGCAGTAAGGGGCCGGAAGCACCAGGGCCCGGGGTGGTCGACTGCGCGCTGGCTATCTGCGGGGTGTGGCTCGCACTTGGTCTGAACCCGTCGGCGCCGTTGGTCGAGTAGCCGCCAAAGGGCTGACGGCGATCGAGAATGTAGGGGGGAAGGTTGGTGGGCTGGAGCCCCTGGGCGAGGTGTGGGAAGTTGGGGTTGTTGGGCCAGTTGTGGGCGGAGTGCTCCGTGTCGGGGGTGGAGGGGGCGGTCGGGGGGCGGTGTAGGGGGTGGAGATGGGGCGGAGGATGCTGGAACATGGCGGCGGTGGAGGGAGAGGGAGAGTGCGAACAAGACCAAGATGCGACTTGTCCATCAGCGTTATCCAAGCTAGCGGCGTTTGCCGAGCGTGTGGCGGACGCGTCCATTCTATATCTTTCGTCCGTCATCGACCTTCATCGGCACAGGGTCATTATAAGAGCATAGCTCAAACATGCAAGCACCTCGACTGTATGTGTACATGTATTTGCAGTCAACTTTGTGAGACTGACTCTGCGGCTAGGCGCTTGAACGAGCGCGAGGCAAACCCGAATCCGTGAGTGCGGGTTCTGCCCTTCGAGCTATAACATGCGCTGAGAAGGTATGTCCAGTTATGTCATATTTATCAGGCCTTTGATGAGCAAGAAGGACCACACTGTATGTCGGATCTGCTCTTGAAAGACAATAAGTCGGAGTCTAACATTACGTCAAGGATGCCGAAGATATACTCAAAGCAGTCGGCAAGTTCATCGATCTGCCGTCTTGTAGCTTCGACTGACTTTGCATAGCTGCCCAAGTAGGCCCCCCCCCACATGCTCGTATTGCCCAGACTGCTGACGGGGTTCAGATGCGGACCATCATGAAAGAACGGTTCATGCAAGTAGGCACCCTGGAAGAAGCAGCGTTCAATCGGGTGGTGAGTCTTGGTCAACTTTATAAAGTGCATTGTACTAATCTTAAACAGTTCGCTGGAAGGAATTGGAACCATGGCCAAGTATGTAAACAATCCAATGACTCAAAAGGCATTGTGCTGACACTTCGCAGAGCATCGAGCTTGTATTGAGAGGACCTTCCGGTCGATTCCTACCCCTGCCATACATCATATCAGTAATGTGCCATGAGATGGCTCATATACAACAAATGAACCACGGGCCAAAGTTCCAGAAGGTGTGTCCCCGGACGAAAATGTGGTCATCACCAACTGATTCCGGGTAGCTCATGAACGACATCAAAGCTGACGCGGGCAGATTACAAGCTCGGGGATACTATGGCGATGGTAGGCCCTGCCCTTTGGTCCTGATAGAAGAAGAATAAATATGCTGACTGATGATGGCAGGATTCTGGTCGGACGGGAAACGTTTGAAGGATAGCGTGCGTATGGGCGGTGAAGGGCTCCGCGCGTCCGACTTTCCGGAATACGTCTGTGGTGTTAGTGCTTCGTACGTCCCCCCTCCTCTTCCTCTTTCTGAGACCAAGCTGATGAAAGAGTAGGGATGCCAAGAAAGCACGTCGAGCGCCCAGAAGACCAGCTTCGAGCGGCACCGGGCTCGTCAAAGGCGAAGCTTCACATTTGTCGGGCAGGCAGACAGAGTATAAGAGAAAGGCGGGGAGGAGGAATAATGCGGATATGGGGGAGACTGGAGCTAGGTTGGATGGTGTTCGTGGTGAGTCTCTTCTTGCTGAGTATGGTGATTCGTGCTGAAGAGGAGGTATAGCTATCACCAAGGCGGACAGAGAAGATCGAAAAGCGTTCATTGACGAGAAAGTGCAGACGCTCACTGATGGAGGGATGGCTGTGACTAGAGCAAAGAAGACGGCCGGGGAGATGTGGGAGGAGGAGAATCCGTGGTGGATAGAGAGTAATACAAGGAGCAAAGTGTCAGTATCTCATCTGAGTATCACATTCAGAGCTGACATATAGTCTATAGAGCGAAATCAAAGACAGCCGCCAACCTCCGGGCTGAAGCTGCCGAAGCCCGTCTCCGCGCACTTGCTCTCCCATCCAAAGACATCAAACCAAAATCCGAGGAACTTCAACGCATGGACGACAGCGATGAATCGGGCGCTGACGAGATTCAAGTCGTCGAAGATCCACACCTGAGTATCGAAGAACGGAAGAGGGAGATGGAGGAGGATATGGATGAGGAAGAGATGGATGATCTCAGGGGTGGATGGGAGGATTTCATTACTGGAGACGAGAGACCGAAAGTGCCGGAAGTCGACAAGAAACGACAACGCTCGATCTCGCCTGGTCCGTTAAAGCAACGCAAGATTACAACTGCCAAACATCAGCCTTTACCCCGGTTCAGTGCCGATCTCGTCCGGGAGGAGAAGCTGCGTGCTTTGGGATTGCCTTCTTCCTCGTCTGGGGCCGGCCGAAAGCGTACCCTGGGATCAACTCCGGCGTCGGAAATACCGACTCCTGCTCCAAGAAATGACGTCCAAGTCCGAGAGGATGGGACGGAGGGCTGGAGCTGCGCGGTGTGTACATTCATCAATCTGATGGACCATGGGAGATGTGGTGAGTGTTCACTCAGTCATGTGGTGATTGTGCTGACAATATACAGAGATGTGTCAAGCGAGACCAGACGGTACGATACCAGAAAAATAGTGACGTTGAGTGAGGTCCGAGCCCGTTGTATCATCGAAAATAGGCAAAAAGATGCCTGCAATGTACGAAATTGTACTGTACTGCTTTCCATGCACTGCATACTCTGAAAAAGTAACAGGGCTGTTCACAACATTAGAAGTGTGCCATCGTAAGTTAATCCTCAACCGGCACAACCCTCGGAAATGGACGGGACCAATTATTTGGCATGACGTGAATCGGAAATGGCCGACTGCGATCACGCAAGAAGAGACCTTACGTTCAGAGTCGTCGTCTGCCGTTCACACGCACTGCGGCATTGCCGACTTGCTTGGATAACATCGCTGGCTCCTATGGACCCAGTGGTGGTCTCTATGCGCTGTACTACCTACACTTCAGCTGAGACTGGTCCGTGTGCGAGTGCCACATGGTCCTTCAACCTCCTCCGCCTATGCCCCGTCGGAGATTTCCCCATTCTTATCTGAGTCCATCGTGCCTGGAAGGAGGTATGCAATCTTATCCGTCACCAGATGATGCCATCTCACGCAGGACACGGCAACTTGTCTCTGAGTAAGCTCGGTCAAATGCGAAGGCGTATATATAGGTCAAATTTATCAAGCATCTCTGTCTTCTTCACCAACATCTCCCTCTGTCCGCCATGCCTATCGCTGTCAACGAAAATACCAACAAAGACTCTCGAGGTGTCCCCTTTGCCCTCGCTCGAAGCACTCGAGGTGTGTGACCTGGCGTTCGTGTGGGAGACCCTGCTGACCTTGGTATAGAGCGACTCGAGTCTGCGGGCATTGACCTCTCTGGGGGTTACCCCGAGTACCCTCCCAAGCCCAAGAACATTGAGACTGCCAATGCCATTCGACGAGAAGTGAGTCAACTTTCATTACTTTTTGGTACTGAAGCTGATCCGTGATATAGGGCTGGGAGCACAACGACCCTGGATCGCGAGCGGACAAGGACAAGAAGGCCTTATTCGGTGCTGCCAAGGAGGTCATCCACTACTCTCCTTATCTCGGTACCGAGTGAGTAACTATTGATCGCCACCACGATTCACGCTGACAATGCACCAGGATTGTCGGTCTCCAGCTGAACCAGCTCAGTGACCAGCAAAAGGACGAGCTTGCTCTCTTGATTGCCGAGCGAACCATCGTCCTCTTCCGAGACCAGGACATCACTCCCCAGCAGCAGCTCGAGCTTGGTCACTACTATGGTGTCCCCGAAGTGCACCCGACTGCCGCTCGTGTCCCCAACCTTCCTGGTGTCTCCATCATCACTGATGAGATTGCCCGTACCAATGGCCGCATACCCGACTACAAGAGTCCCTTCCCTACACAAAAGTGGCACACTGAGTGAGTATAGAGTAACGGCTCTTTAGATTTGCACTGACTGGTTCAATAGCTTGACTCACGAGCCCCAACCTCCTGGAGTCACCCACCTCCACCTCGACCATCTCCCTGGTATTGGCGGTGACACCCTCTGGGCTTCTGGTTACGCTGCTTACGACAAGCTTTCGCCCGCCTTCCAGAAGGTCCTTGACGGTCTTGAGGGGTTGTAGGTCTCATAGTTCCAGATGAATAGGACTTGCCGCTGACGCTGTGTATAGGTATCGAAGTGCCCACTCGTACACCAATCCCGAGACCGGTATATCCGAGCCCATCGTCAACGCCCACCCTCTCGTCCGTGTCCACCCCGTCACCGGCTGGAAAGCCCTGTTTGTCAACAGCCGATACACTGTCGGTATCAAGGGCTTCGAGTACTCTGAAGCTCAAGCCATCTTGAAGAAGCTTTTCGAGGTGTATGAGCAGAACACGGATATCCAGACTAGGATTAGATGGTCGCCTCGCACAAGTGTTCTTTGGGACAACCGTATTTGTGAGTATTTCGCGCTGCTCGATAACGACCGTTACTGACCAGAGGTTCAGCTATTCACTCTGCTGTGTACGACTATCTCGATGAGGGATCGTCCGAGCCCCGTCACGGTACCCGAGTTAGCAGTCTTGCCGAAAAGCCCATTCCCGTCAGCGACGGTGTCGGTAAGAGTCGACGAGAAGCCCTGGGTCAAGACACTGGTAAAGTCCATGAGCTGGAGAGGAACACGCATCTTAGTTATTAAGTGTGTGCGAGGCTTCGGCATGGGGCGTTTGTATGGATTATAGCAGCAATGTATGAATTGGGTCTTGTTTCTTTTGCCATGCACTATGCTCGAGGTGTTTTCTGCCTTGTATCGCGCCTGACTGTGACACCCAACGAGATTTCACCCTCCTCCCTGGTCATATATCTTAGATTGGCAACGGTACTGCCGGCAAAGTCGCATCAAGACTAAGCTTGTCGTGTCCTCGTAAGAGAATGCAACGGCGAAATAGCATTGAGAATCCATCTTGTTCACCGGTATGCATTGTTGTTGTTGTCTTCTATACACTTCTTGTCTTGTTCTATATACATCTACTCAAGTACATTCGACCTGGCTCGAGCTGCGATACAAAGATCAGCTTCACACACTCCAACTGAACATATGCCACTTACGATCAGTCCCACCCGCCCAGCTACTGACGTTCCTCCACCCCGCATCAACCTTCAAGTGGAAAGCGTTCATCATCTCATTTTCAATCAAGAAGAGGATCGCAGCGCCGATTTCCGAAGCGTCGGTGACTCGTCGGGGGAACATTGAGTGGGCGTTCATCTCTTCTTCAAAGTATGCCAGTCGGCCGCCCTTGTTTAAGAGGGGGGAGAAGACCAAGGCGGGGGAGACAGAGTTGACGCGGATACCGGCTGGGGCGAGATAGTCTGCAGCGGCATTCGTGATACCCAAGACAGCGGCTAAACGTGATGTCAGCGCTGAACACACCCGTTGTTCGGCGAAAGAATTTACTCTTGGAGGGACCGTAAGTGAGACAACGAGCAGGGGGATCGAAAGCCACGATGGAGGCAATGTTGACGATAGACCCACGTTCCTCCTCCACACGGTCATGGAAGGGGTCGAGAGGAGGGTACTGAGAGTTGATGGCGTCGGCCACCACCGCATTCAATGCAAAAGTTCCATAAGTGTTGATTTTCAAGACATTCGCGAAATCCTGCGGTTGCAAGGTCAATTCACTGCAGAGATGTTATAGAGAGCCAGCCACGTACATCGATCTTGTCAGACATGGTGTTGGTCCAGGGTTTTCCCGGTGCTATACCGGCGCAATGAGCAGCTCCTGCCAGGGAGCCCTTGGGGATCTTTTGCAAGGCTTCCTTGATCGCTGTTTGGATACTCTCCTTGTTCGAAATGTCGGTTTGCTGGTAATAATACTTGTCGCCATTTGGCAGCTCCTTGATCTTGGCCTCGCCGACGGCGGGCTCCAGTATGTCAAAGATCTAGATACAGACGTCAGTCAAACGACAAATCGTTTTGGGGTGACTTACGACGGGATAGCCGCCCTTCTCAGCAATGATCTTTGCAGTGGCAGCACCAATAGTGCCGATACCACCAGTCACGACGAAAGCTATTGAGACAGTCAGATACGTGCCACCAAGTGCAAAGCGAGCTATTCACCCTTTCCTTCAATCTTCATTTTGAAAGCTGCTGGTGTCTCTGGTTTGTGGTGAGGAATGTGAGAGAGTGTCGAGAGGCCTTATGAGAAGGTATCAGTGCCCCTCTCAGCGACTATATAGTCTTTTTGGGCATCAATATCGGTCCCTCGGTCCTGTTCTGCCCTTCCGGAAGTCTGCTGAGAGGTAATGCTGCCATCCGTGCCGATCCGGAAGGCCGAGTGGGAGATGGCCCAGCGCGGGGCATGGAACGGGCCGACTGACCGATTTCATGTATAGCCGAGATGCAGGGCTGAAGTATGGAGCAGCGGGTGAAGCAGGGAAGTCCCGGCATCTCGCGCCCAGACGGCCGGCTTTCGCCCGCTTATCGGGCATATTCCGATATGTAAACAACCGTGCCTGGCCCGTTGCCCTTCCGAGCGGACTTTTTGACTCATCTTCCCTCCGTCGGAGAGTTTTCTTTGAGTACATATGATCTTATGCACACGTCGCGGAGTTGGACTTCAAGAACACATGTAACGATGGTAAACGACAGAGTCCACTGTTCAAATGAGGTAAGACAAGTACTCGCACGCGGCCTGCTTGCTCGTAACGAATATGACTGGATGATGCGCCACCAACTGTGTCAATCACCAACGTGGCGTGCAGGCAGCGGGGCACGCGAAGCCGCATTGATAGAAGCCTTTATCGTAGACTGCATGTATAGTGTAGTATGGATGCGTACGTTAACAGCTCCAGCTGCCATTGTCCTGATGCAAGCGAATGGAGATCACACAATTGCATGAACTTCTGATTCGAGCCCGCCAATGCTTACGTTCCCTTCTACCTTCTACACATCGCTATATCGTACAACTTATCCAAGCCCGTTCTCAAGAAAGACAGCTCTACTAGCTATTGTCCCCCACTTACTCTGTATACGGCTTGGTCGCGATACCCTCCAGCCTCGCCTTGATATTCAAAGCAACCTTCTTGGAGTGGTATCGCGCGGCCTGAAGCGTACCCACCACGATCCACAAGTTTGGAACGCCCGGGTCAGCTCTCCAAGCACCGTTCAGCTCGCCCTCCTCGTCCATGCCCCAGACGGGCTTGCAGCGGTTGGCAACTTGGTCGCCGAGGGTGCGGCGGATAGAGTCGATGGTGTTGGAGAAGCCGGTAGCGAGGATGACGAGATCGTACTCTTGCTCTCTGCCGCCGTTGAGAACTACCTTGTCCTCTGTGAAGCTGCGCAAGTGGTCAATTCAAGTCAAAGTAGGTTCGATTAAAACACTTACTAGTCGATACTACCTTGCTCAACCCTGATCTTGCCCTCGAGTATCTGCTGACAAGCTCCAGCGTCAAAATAGAATCCACCAGCTCTGGTATAACCAAGCGTCTGAGTAGACGTCCCCCTCTGCCCTCGCCAGGTCTTGAACCCCTTGTCTTCGAGGGCGTGCAGCAGATCGTGGTCGAGCTCCGTCAACTCTTCGCCCAATCTTCTCCCGAGCTCTTCACCAGGCCCGACAGGCATACTGTGCGCAAGCCTATCAGCTACATCGATATCCGGCCTCCTCCCTTCGTCATCCGGCTTGTAAGCCCCAAGGATACGGGGGATAGAGTGCGTGAGCGACATGATGTATGTCGGCGAGCGCTGGAGGAGGGTGACGTCGATACCACGTCGGGCAAAGTCGTAGGCAGTGTCAAAGCCAGAGGAGGAAGTGCCGACGACGAGGACTTTCTTGCCGACCCATTCGCGGGAACTGTCGTGCTCGGAAGAATGGCGGATGGTGCCCTTGAACTTGTCCATACCGGGGATGGTGGGGACAGAGGGAATGCCGATGAGGGATGTGGCCATGACCTGTCACACGGATGAGCTACGGTTCATGTCACAGAAGAACAGGGGAAACGTACAAGCTGCTTGGGGTGGAAAGTTCGCTTGCCCTCGTGACCTCCGCGGTTGACTTCGATAGTCCAGCTGCCGTCCGCGTCCTGTTTGGCCCCAGCAATGCTCGAGTCGGTCCAGACGTTAAGCTCCATAGCACTAGCGTACCACTCGAACCAGTCGCCGAGCTTGGAAGCTGGACAGAAGATGGGCCAATGCTGGGGGTAAGGCATGTAAGCAAAGTGGTCTAGTCAAGGTATCAGCTACTGCCAATGCGAGTATGAGTACATGGACGTACCGGCCCAGTGAGGAAGATGGAGGGACAAGGCTTCGTATCGGCCGCGCCAGTTGTCGCCGATACGCTTGTTCTTTTCGACCACGAGCGCATTGACCCCAAGTGCCTTGAGACGAGCAGCCGTCATGAGTCCACTGTGTGCTCATCAGCTCGGGTAGCAGGAATATAGGGGGATACACACTTTTGACCAGCGCCGACCACAATGACATCAGGCTCCACACCGTCCAGATTGGTGTCGATCTCCCTTTGGACATTCCAAGAGTGAGGCCCAGTCATATGACCGTCGCGCTCCGGCAGCTCTGGAAAGTTGTTGAGACTCTCAATAGCAGTGTTGAGAGTCCAAATCTTGTAGCCGTCCTTGGTCAAAATGATGTTGGCAAGGGCGGTAGCGCCGACCTTGTCGGTGTTGAGCTGGATGTGGGCTTGGATGAAAGAGAGGTCTTTGTAAGGACGCTCGACGGTGGGAGCTGGGTCGATGAGGGTGACCTTGGAGACCGGGTTCTGGGGAAGTAGGTCGGTGGCTGCTTTGAGGATAGAAGCATGCCAGTTGAAGGACCGATAGTCCCAGGTAAAAGCGACGCGATCGCGCCAGACGCCTGAGGATGGTTAGATCAACAGCCTCGCTATGAAGCCGATACTCACCAAACTCCCAGAACAAGTCTGTAAAGGCACGGGCGTCGCCCTTGGTCAGAGCATCCGAAAGCTGAGAGACCACTCCAAGAGCAGCGTCCTTGGGATCAGTTCCCTCGGGCACCTCGACGCCATCCTTGCCGTGAAGAGGAAGGTCATGGTTGTACTTGAACTGGTACATGTAGTCGTGAGGAACGGCATCGCGATTCTTGGGCAGCGGCTTGCGAGCGCTCGGGTTAGCGGTGTTGTTTGCCTTGAGGTCGGCGACTGGGTCGCGCTGGGCGATCTCGATGGGGTTGTCAATAGCGACTGGAGCCATGGTAGTGGTGATGTGTATGGTGTGGTAGAGTAAACTGACGTCTCCCCTGCCAAAAGACTGGCGGTATTATACACTTCTGAGCCTCCTGCCTGGCCACAAACCCGTACCGGAGGCCGGAGCGGGCGACGTTGGCGCAGTCGGCAAGTGAAGGTATATCGCGCAGAGACACTGAATGACAATCGCGCAGATAACACGTGATCGTGCCTCGTACCTGGTGAGTCACTACCGAGCCGGCGGTCGGGTATTTAGTTGCCTAGTTCCAGCATTTGCCGCATTTTTCCTGTTCATGCCGCCAACTGCCACCACGCAGAGGGCAATTGCAGTCAATGACGACCATCCCTGGGAGTCCCTCTACTTACCGCAACAACCCGGTTGCCTTTTGACTCCAAATGCCCCCCCGCGGCCTACCCCGCTATCTCACGGCCGTCATCACAGCATGTGCGCGCTCTTCATGTCGCACGGGAGTCTCTCGGTCACTGCAAGTGCAGATTCGGCAGCATCCCGCCCCTCGCTCATCCTTGTTCGTTTAGAACGATACTTGCGGCGACCCTGTGCCTTAGGAGTCCCATGACCTCCTGTCAATGACCGCCGCGTATGAAGGAGATCGCCATGATGAGTCACCCCAGGCCTGAGCCAGCTCGACATATATGTAATAGAGTCAGAGCCGTCCCCATACAATCTCACTTTGCTTCCAACATCTTCATACCCGAATACAACAGCGAAGCATCATCCATCATCCGCCGTTCATGTTGTTCACCAACAAGTCATCCGACAGACCGAAACCTTCTCGCTGTGCGCCCGACAGGGACAGCATACCAACACTCGAAAGCCTCGGAGTCGAGCTTCACCCCGACGCGGCAAAATATGTGGAAGACAGCGAGGCCTTGGCTAACGCTATCGGTGGAAAAAGTATGCCGTTGCGACTCTTCTTCTCTGGATTTCCAGAAGCTTACACGATCGCCAGCCCTCAAGGATGTCTTTGCGAACCCGTTGGTCGTCGCAGCTGCTTTCAGTACCTGCATGGGCGGCCTTCTCTTTGGATTCGATCAAGGTAGGGCCAGCCATTGATGATTAACGGACCCTCGAGCCATAATTTACATGATTGTAGGCATCTTGTCGATCGTCTTGACCATGCCCCAATTTCTGTCCCAGTTTCCCGATGTAGACACAGACGCCTCATCATCTGCCGCTTTCAACAAAGGGTGGGTTTTCATCATTGCTGTTTACGTTTCTGATGTTCTCCCAGTATCATGACTGCGCTCTTGGAGCTCGGCGCTCTCATCGGGGCTTTTCAAGCTGGATTTGTGGCAGACAGGTTCTCGCGCAAAAAAGCTATAGCTCTTGGATCTTTGTGGTTCATCATCGGCAGTATCATCCAGACCGCGTCCTTTTCCTTTGCCCAGCTCGTCGTCGGCCGCTTCATCGGCGGTCTTGGTGTCGGTCTCTTATCTGCCGTAGCGCCCATGTACATCTCCGAAGGTGAATCACTCACTCAACTCTTCTCCCGTACTGCCACAAGACTGACGTTGGTTGACAGTGGCTCCGCCAAACATTCGCGGAGCATGCCTCGCTCTAGAAGGTGCTACTATCGTCATCGGAATTGTTGTCATGTTCTACATCGTAAGCACCGTCCCCATTCAGCCATGCTACCTGCTCATATCCGTCAGACTTACGGCACCCGTCACATCCCAGGAGACTGGAGTTTCCGACTGCCCTTCCTCATCCAAATGGTCCCTTGTATCTTTTTAGGCATCGGTCTTTACAAATTACCATACTCCCCCCGATGGCTCGCCCAAGTTGGTCGAGATACTGAAAGCCTAGCTTCCCTCGTCCGTCTCCGGCGCCTGCCCGCCACAGACCCTCGAGTACAGGCAGAATGGATCGCCATCCGGGCCGAGGCGATACACAATAGGGAAGTCATTGTCAAAGCACACCCCAACATTCAAGGGGACGATCTCGTGTCGGAGATCAAGCTAGAGATTGCGGGGTGGGTGGACATGTTCAAGCCAAACCTGATTCGGAGGACATCGATTGGGATGTTTTTGATGCTTTTCCAACAGTGCATGGGTGTCAATGCTGTATGTTTCAGTGACTTACAGTCTCATACATCGTACTGACCCCAACCGCAGCTGATCTACTACTCGCCTACCCTATTCGAGCAACTCGGACTGGATTACGAAATGCAACTCGACATGAGCGGTGTGCTCAATATCTCACAAATGGTCGCCACCATCATCGCCTTCTTGATTCTCGACAGAGTGGGCCGACGACCGCCTATCCTCTTCGGCTCGATTGCTTGCGTCATCTGCCACACCATCGTAGCCGTCTTGATGGGACTCTACAGCAAAGACTGGACCAGTCACTCTTCAGCATCTTGGGCATGTGTGGCGTTCATCATCATCTTTATGTTTGTATACGGTGTTGGGTGGTCTCCCATCCCATGGGCAATGCGCAAGTCTCCCTTCTCAGCCTGCTGAAACCATGTGCTGACGCTGACCCAGCTGCCGAGGTCCACACGTCAAGCCGTCGTGCAAAGGGCGTAGCGATCACAACCTGTACCTGCTGGCTCTTCAACTTTATCATCGGTCTCATCACGCCGCCCATGCTGCAGAATATCGGGTACGGCACCTTCATCTTCTTTGGCACTTTTGCGCTCTTGTCGGGTATCTGGGCTTGGTTCTTTTGCCCTGAAACCAAGTGCGTAGCTTTTCTTATGACCAAGGTGTTGAGATGCTGACAGGAGTACTAGTGGAAAGACGTTGGAGCAGATGGATGAAGTCTTCCACAGTAACACCGCCCACCAAGACCTTCTCGACAAATCCGAGATTCAAGCTGCTGTCATGGGCATGACAACCACACCCAAACGCAACTCGGGCATCTTCAACCAGCCAGGCGACAAGCTGGGTGAGAAAGATATCCAGCAAGAGTGGGTGGAAAATGTAAGCGTATAGGCTGTTGGTAGACACGTCCAATTCTAAAGCGGACCCGTTATGTAGTAAGACTGCTATTTGAATAGTCTTCTGTGACTCTGTGCTAGTTGTATCCGATAACATGAATTAAGTGAAGCAATAATTCTCATGGAGGTTGCAAATATTACAATGACATGTACTGCGAAATCTATATGGATCGTATAACCAGCGCATTAGCTCAAGCGAGACACTCTAGATAACCCCCGGCCTGGCGCTTACTGCTGCCCTCTCTGCTTCTCCAAGCTCCTCTGGTCCAACTCGCTCGCACCTCCGACGAGGTGCGATCCATTGGGGGCCCCGACTCCGGCAGTGCCAACACCAGCGCTCATAGACATGGCGGCAGCACCGACGTCGGATGCGTGGGTGGTCATACCGGGACGCTCGGGAATGGCGACGGTGGTCTCGGTGCGAGGTTTGAGGTGGGTTGGGGTAGCGGACGGGGAGTGTTTGCCGTGTCGGATGAGAGCACTGTGAGATGGTCAATCGCAGACTTGAAAACCCTTTAATAGACTTACAGCTCTTCCAACAAGGTAGCTTGACGGTACGCCAACCTGATGGTGGGAACGTTCGTCTTGTGGATGTCATTACCAGCCGCACCGGGCAGGTACCAATGCTGTCCAATCCAGTGCTTCTTCACCTGCATCTCCCAGCCAGACTGTAAGACGGAGTTACGGGCCAGCTCGCACATATCGGCGGGGGTAAGCTTGTAGATCTGAGCAGCACACGAGTACTCTTCGAGCAAGTGAGATGCGGTAAAGTGGAATTGAAGCGGGTCATCTGGAAGTTTATTAGTTGATGTAGAGGTAAGGGACAAGGGACGCACCGGTAGACAGCGAGACATTCAAACCAGTCCTGAAAAAGTCCTTGAAGGGGTTTCTCTCGTAAGTCAAGAACAGAGCATTGTTACTCAAAGGCGACATGGCAAGACCAATCTGCTTAAGATAGAAGAGGTACTGCAAAGCAGGGACCTTTCGCAGGAGGATACCGTGGGAGATGGAGTGGGCGGTGAGGAAAGCGGAGGAGAGATGATCGGGATCACCGGCTTCACCACAATGGGGACGGAGGACAAATGTGTCTGGGACACTTGTTAGCTCGCCCCAAAAGAACACACACAGGGATTACTCACTAAAGTTACGGGATCTACGCCAAGCGTTAAGACTGGCCATATTGGCATACATGTAATAGATCCTACACAGACAATAAGCACAAGTACTCTTGACCGAAAGCAAAACTTACCAGTAGCTGTAAGGCGGACTCTGCTTGGTGTCCCACATCTTGGCCGTCGGAAACTTGCGGTACAATCGCCTCTCGGGCTTGGACTCGTCGTCGACAGAGTCGAATCCGACAACTCGCTGGAGGAAAATGTGGAGCTCGGGGTGGGAAGAAGGGTCCTGAGTGACTTCGAAGAGCGGTCCAAAGATGTCTACAGCCTCCTTGTCAGCGTGCTGCATACCCGGGGCGCAACAGACGCACTCTTCACAACATCCTCAAAGTTGTTCACCAGCCCCTGCCCCTTGTACACCTCATACAACCTCGGGACTTGGATAAGCCATCGGACATTGTGCGAGATGAGCTTGTGGTTGACAACCCATTTGGCAAGCTTGTCCCATTCATTGACGTTTCGGCCATAGATGGAAAGACGCCATTCAGATTGCTGGTACTTGCTTTGCTCCAAATCGGTGATCAATTCTGTATTACTGTCAGCGCGGAGGTCGAAGGCGGGAGAAGATACGTACCCTGAGTCAGCTCTGCGAGGTATTTGCCCTTCAACAGGTTGTCAGTCTTCAAGAAGATCTCTCGGAGACGAGAAGATCCGGTAGGGTTGTATCGGTCGTTAAACCTGTCGAATCGGTGGAACTCCTACACCACACGTCAACGTCTGATAGCACAGCGTAATCAATCACGTACCTGATGCGCGTGCATGTCCAGCATGTCAATGGAGAGATCATAAGCAGTCAAGTCGAGCGACTGGAAGACTTCCTTGAGGGTAAGCTCCTTGCCATCTCTGTGGATGACGATTTCCTATGCAACACGTCAACCCAGTATGAATAAAAGACACATGGACACTCACATCGGGCGACTTTCTCAGCTTGGATTTGATGAATCGCAACAAATGCTTCTGGTTCATCGAAGCCGAGTGGTGAATATGGGTGTCGACCTTTCGGACATTGTAAAAGTCTCTGCGCTCGTCATAAGCACTATCATCTTTGACCAGATAAGCGACTTGCCTGTGCGGAACAGCCTTCATGTCCGCCAGCTCCTGATACTCGTTCAGCAGACAATACAAACTCCACTTGCTCTGGAGATACTTGAGTCGCCTGAACGCAAAACTCTTTGCAGGTCCATCAGAGCAGACACCAAGCAGGTAGTCGAGGTCCGTAAAGTACTCTTTGAGCGTGGGCACACGGCTCAGAGAAATCTTGCGCTGGGGAGCTTCACCTTCCTTCACCGGAGTCGCCTCGGCCGAAGCAGGCTCCGCAGCGAATACAGTAAAGACACCCTCATCATTAAGCTCATACGTCCACCCAGTCGGGTCTCTCCCAGGGATCTGACAGTCCGCCACGTCAAACACCTCACTATCCTTCGACGACACCCCTTTCGCCTTCTTGCCGTCATTCTCCTCCTCACCCTCGGTCGTCAGCGGCGCAGGCTCAGGCAGAGGGCCGTTATCAGCCTTCTTCCAGTGCCAATGCGGCGGGGGAGGAGGGGGATAGATGTTCCATGCTGGAAGGGCGTCTTTGGCATCGGGAGGGAGCTCGGAGGACGCGGGGTCGTACTCGGGTTTGAGGCCGGTGACGTCCGCGGCGGAGGGGGGGTTGAAGCCGTGGAATGTGCCGTCGTGGTCTCGCGGGTTGTCGCCGAGACGCTGGTTGGACAGCTCGAGGTACTTGTCTCGAAGCTCGAGGCAGCGGGAGAATGATGCGCTGAGGAGGTGTTAGTGTGGCGTTGAGAAAGTGGCGGCTCGACTTACTAGAGAGATTCAAGTTCGTTCCCAATACCGTGTTCTGTAAAGGCAAGGATTTGCATTTTGATCAGCATATGTTCGATTTCATCTTTGCTTTGCTCTATGCGAGGAGTGGGTGCAGGCAGACCCGGAGAAAGATTGCCAGAAGAGAGGCTGCTGGGGGACGCGGGACGAGTGAACGGTGTCTGGACACCGGGGATGAACAACTGTGGGTCGATCATGATGAGGTTGTCAAGAAGTGGCAAGAAAGACAAGAGATGGAGCTATTTTGACGACTTTTGGGGGCACAAGAAGACCAGTCGTGCGACCCATTATAAGCCCCGATGGCCTCACAGATGGCAAATCGTTGGGGGCAGAGCAACGTGCGTCTTTATCGCACCTGTCTTTTAGCAGATAATAGCAGATCCGAAAGACAGGCTGGTCAAGACAAAGGTTTTGATGCGTCCAACGATCTCCTCGCGTTTGTCCCCGAAGGTGTCGGGAGAGATGGAACCAACATGGCAAAGGACGACCACATGATTTGCAGAGCCGCGCGGAAATGACGAGACAAAGGATGTTGCGGGACCAGCATTTCTCGAGATAAGAGTAGAAACACTCACCAACTGGGAGATGCTCCTTGGGGGCCTCCTGTGGCGCCTTCTGCGAAAGTTGGCCGCCTTCGATTCCCGCCAACCCCTTCAACGCCAGCTCCTTCTCCTTTCTCTCTTCCTCCAAATCAAGAGCTTCTTGCTGGTCTCGCTCCTGTCTGTGAATGATGGAAGCAGCAGGGTCGAGGTCGCCATATTCCGGGCCCGAGGGTGAAAGGAGGGTGGACTGCGGCTCGGGCTGAATACTAGCTCGACGCTGGAAGGCCCCTGCGAAATCCTCCTCCTCATTGGGAGCTTCCTGAGTATCATCCAGAGCCATGCCGTCGCCGCCTCTGGCCACATTGCCGAACTCGGGCTGTGTGATGTTTTTGAACGAGGCTTTAGGGCTGAGTTGCCTGACGCGGGCGGATGGCGAGGTGAATTCGAGATAATCACCAGGGGCCATCTTGTTCTTGTAGCTCGTGCCAGTTTCCGTCCTCACAGATGATCCGGCCTCGGAGACGCTCGTGGGGGGAAGACGGGGGAGGTGGTGGGACATCCAAATTTCATCTTTGAGATGGAGCCGTCGCTCCTGGTGGTAGTCGAAGGCGGGGGAGGAGTGCTCGTGGTCTTCGAGGTCTTGGTGGCGGCGGTATGCGGTGGTGGGGATGGGGAGGGGGTCCGGGAGGGGGGAGGGGGGAGAGGAGTCGTCCATGGTGTCGATGCGATGACAAGAATTCGTTATTCACCGCCTAAAACGGGCTGGCATGCCTCCACCCCAGGCACGGCGGGGATGGCCGCCAGCGAGCGCGTCGCGGTGCACGGGTGTTTCGGTGTACTCGCTGTGAGTGTTCTCCTCCATCCCACGCCCTGTCGCTCCTTACCCCTCCACCCCATCCCCCGACTATCCACCATGGCTGACGGCATCGGAATCGCAAAGTAAGTCATCCGCCCGCCCCACACAAGCCCATCACTCACATCCCCTCTAGCTTGCCCAACCAAGTAAGACCCCCCCTCCTCCTCGACTGCATCACCCCATACTCACCCCCCCTGTAGCGGCACAAAATCACCAGCCAGCATGGCGCCCACTTTACCATCATGGTCGTTGGTACGTTCGCATACTCGTCGATATTGCATAAGGTTTCTTTGTTGGCATGTCCGTGCGCAGGCCGACATGTCAATGCCCCCCATGTGATTCTTTGCGACTATTCAAGCGCGATGCTGACGTCTCTATGTAGGCCAGTCTGGCCTGGGAAAGACTACCCTCATCAACACTCTTTTCGCTACAGAAATCTGTTCCCCCAGAAACTACCGTCAAAGGTCCGTTCTCAAAAGTCCGGCCTAACCACCTTACCATGACTGATCCTTTGCGGGTTATAGATTCGCCAAGCAGATGGACAAGACTACCGAAGTCGAGATTCTCAAAGCCGACTTGGAAGAGCGTGGATTCAACATCAAAGTTGGTCTTTCTTGAAAACATGCACATGCCTTTGGCGCTGACTTTTTTTTCTCTTCTTTGTAGCTGACAGTGATCGATACTCCGGGCTTTGGCGACTATGTCAACAACCGTGACTCTTGGTCCCCCATCGTCGACTTTATCGATGACCAGCACGAGTCTTACATGAGGCAGGAGCAGCAGCCTCACCGAAAGGACAAGCAGGATCTCCGAATCCACGCGTGTTTGTACTTTATCAAGCCTACTGGTACCACGTGAGTCGTCGCGTCTCTTTAACGTGGAGGGGGCTGACGAAGGGAGCAGTTTGAAGCCGCTGGATGTCGAGATTATGAAAAAGCTCGGTACGAGGGTCAACCTCATCCCCGTCATTGCCAAAGCCGACACAATGACCCCCGAAGACCTGCTCAATTTCAAGCAGATCGTCCGCGAGACGATTGCTGCTCAAAACATCTCCATCTACAGTCCTCCGTCTGACCCCGAGGATGAGGCTGCTGCCGAGCATGCGCGGGCGATGCAGGCTGTGATGCCGTTCTCCATTATTGGAAGTACGACTGATGTGACTACGCCTGATGGGCGAGTCGTCAAGGGACGAGAGTACCTCTGGGGTGTTGCTGAAGGTACGTCCTTCTTCTCATTGAGCGGTTTTTTGCTGACCATTCCCTTAGTCGAGAACGAGGAGCACTGTGATTTCAAGAAACTGCGATCCCTCCTCATCCGCACATACATGCTCGACCTCACCACCTCTACCGAAGAGAAGCACTACGAAGCCTACCGCCTCGCGCAAATGGAGACCCGCAAGTTTGGCGAGCCCAAGGTCAAGAAGCTCGACAACCCCAAGTACAGGGAGGAAGAGGAGCTGCTGCGCAAGAGGTTTACCGAGCAGGTCAAGTTGGAAGAGTCCAGGTTCAGGCAGTGGGAACAGCATGTGAGTGGTCCACTGGGAAAATTGTTGGGTGTGTGCTGATAAGGGGGTTAGCTCATTGCGGAGAGGGACCGTCTCAACAAGGATCTCGAGCAGGCACACAGCTCTATCAAGTCTCTCGAGGTGAGCCTGCGCCAGCAAATGCATAGTTGTTTGCTGACAGGGTACAGGCCGAGCTCGACCAGATTGCTGCCTACCACCGTCAAGGAGGTACCGTGGGACGCCGTTGATCTCCTGTCGGGTCATCTTCTACTGTCTCATAGATCTTTGTAGTGGAGCCCGGAGGGTGGAGCGAGAGAGGTTGTCTGTGTCTTGAAATTCTTTTTTCCCCTCCTCCTTATCATGTTCATGACCTTTTATGCCGTTTCTTCTGATTCCTCTCTTCTTCTAATGCAATACGTATACCCCCGCGCGACCATTATGCTGCGATAGGCATCTGTTTGAGAAAGAGAAGAGTGTCCCTCAGCAGCAGCAGACAGCTGCTGGTCATGGAGGTGCAGCTTCTCCCAGGTGGCTGGCAAGTCATCGAGAGGACCCAGTCGCATTCGTGCGGGTTGGGAGAAGCGTTGGTTTGCCAGATTGACAGCGGTCAGGTATGGAACCATGCAAGATTTGTCTCGATGGATGTGCCAGAGAGCCAAAGCCAATAGAATATCTGATGTTGGCACTATGCTCCACTGACCACTGGGGCCACTGGCAAGGATGCCGAAGTGTACGCAGCGATGCATCTTGAATTTGGTTGGAGAGGATGTCTCGGACGGTCATGCATTTTCCGCGATGGAGCCGAAGGAGGGATGGGATTGGTCGAGCAGTGTCCAGTGAGACGGGGGATGGGGCATGCACCTATCATGTCCTTGACCTTTGTCGCTGTTATGCATCGTCCCTGTGCCCTGTCGGAGATACTCCTGGCCAGAGAGATCCAGCGAATGGGGGAGGTGGACGAGGGGAAGCGGTATTTTCAACGGTTGCGCGGTGATTGGCGCGTTTCCCGGGCGGGTCTGAAAAAAAAGGGACGGAAAAACAGCGGGCGCATAAAACACAGCGACGGTTGCATTCAATTTCATCTTTCCATCTCCCTCTCAACCCTTTACCTCACTACTCCCCCTTATCCCCCAACTCCCCCTATATATACTCCCACCCGGGCACATCCACCACTCCACATCCACCCCTGCCCTCCAGCGCAATGTCTTCCGCCGCCCCCATTGCCTGCCCCTTCCACACCAACCCCACCGCCGCCAACCGTAGCCCCCTCCCAGACAGGGCCACCATCCTTGCCATGAAGGAGCAGACCAACACTTTTGTCCTCGGCACCAGAAAATCAAACCTCGCCCTCACCCAGACCGGCCACGTCGCCGATGACCTGCGCGCGCTCCACGCTGGCGCTGGCAGTCGATTCGGCGAGAGGCAGGCTGGCCAGACTGACGGTATCGACGGCGAGGCAGAGGTCCCCTTCGTGCACCCCTACTCTTTCCCCATCGAGTCCATGACGACCGTCGGCGACCGCAACCAGACCACCCCGCTCCACCTCCTCTCCCCTTACTCTTCCACCCAACCGGCCAAGTCGCTCTGGACCGACGAGCTCGAGGCCCGCCTCACCAACGGCCACTTTGACATGCTCGTGCACTCGCTCAAGGATGTGCCCACCGTCCTGAAAGACGGATGCGAGATTGGCTGCATGGTCAAGAGACACGACCCCCGCGACGCGCTCGTTGTCAAGGCTGGCTTGCCCTACACCAGGCTCGAGGACATGCCTGACGGCTCTGTCATCGGTACTGGCTCTGTCAGGCGAGTGGCCCAGCTCAAGAGGGCGTTCCCCAGGTTGGTGTTTGAGGATATGGTACGTTGTCTTTTTTTCTATAGGCTGGCTGCGTGGACCAATAGCTGACTTTTAATTTTTTAGCGAGGCAACCTCAACACCCGATTCAACAAGCTCGACAACCCTGAAAACCGATTCGCTGCCCTCATCCTCGCCATGTCTGGTCTCCAGCGTCTCGACATGGGCCACCGAGCCACCTCTCCCCTTTCCTCCCCCACCCTCATGCACGCTGTCGGCCAAGGCGCGCTCGCAATCGAGATCCGCTCCAACGACCCCCGCGTCCGAAACTGCCTGCGTGGCCTCGGCCACTGGCAAACAGAATGGTCATGCGGTGCCGAGCGGGGATGTTTGCGTGTTTTGGAGGGCGGATGCTCTGTGCCTGTTGGTGTCGAGTCGGAGCTCGAGGAGCTGGATGAGGATGAGGTTGCGGCCAACCCCGAGCTGTTGGAGGGCGTCGAGGACCCGTTCAGAGAACACCAAGATGCGCCCCTGCATAACCAGTCTCCCATGCTCTGGTTCTCGGGTCTCGTCGACACCGCTTCCACCCCTACACCTTCTACCCCTGCCTTTTCAGCCCACTCCCTCCCCCCTCTGCGGTCACGCCTCGCCAAGCTCACTCTCCACTCTTGCGTCACTTCGACCGATGGCACGAAACACGTCCTCTTCACACCCCCTCCCGTGCTCGTCAGGTCTTACCAACAAGCTGAAAAGTTTGGCGAAGACTGCGCGCGACGACTGCGGGCTATGGGTGCTGGCGAGATCTTGGATGAGATCAATATGCTCAGAAAAGAGCGTGAGCTTAGGGATTTGGAGAGTGCCATTGAGAGGAGCCGGGCGGCCGAGGAGGAGAGCGAAAAGATGGGTCTGACGCAGAACGGTACTGCCGAGGTTGTTGCCTAGACCAGTAGATGGTGGTTGTTTTTTGGGGGGGCTGTGTAACGATTATTCATTGTAATCTAGTAGATCTCATTCGGGCGCATAGTAACGCATAGCATATATATTTTGGGCGCTGTGACGGGCCATTCTCATTGTCTCTGGCATGTACATCACAAATGTTCACGCTACCACTCTGGATTGTTTGTTGCGGCGAGACGAGCAATGTAGTACTCTGCAGCGCAAGGTCACGATCCTCACTTGAGCGGGCCCCTCTCAGCGTCAGAAATGAGAATTGGTGGAAGATGTACAACATCGATCGTTCACGCGTTTGTAATATGCGTTCTGATGATGCATGAGTGGACGCGGACATCACCACGTCAACTGCTTGGTCAGCTCGAGCGTCTTCTCGTCAAGCGGCACTGTAGAGCCCTCACAATCTATCCGCGTGCTACTGACCGCATCAAACTATTCATGCTGAGATAAAGGAGAGATATACGTATGGCATTACAACACTATCTCCTGCCCGCCTTCTTCTTCTTCCCATCATCCGACTCGTTCCCTCTCTGGTTGTTCTCATCGGCTAGAGATGTTCGTCAGCGACCACTCGCGTAAGTCACGATCTGGACCCTTACCTCTCTTGGCTTTGCGCTCGAGCTCATCCCAATCTTCTCCCTCATCTGACAAGCTTTCCGCCGAGTCGTCCGAGTCATCCTCGTCCTCATCGACTGCACATACTTGTCAGCACAGAAACCCATGTATGTCATAGGGAATCGTTGGCACGTACAGTCAGACTCGCTATCTGAATCACTGGCAGAAGACGCATCAAAGCCTTCGCTAGCGTCAAACTCGGACCCTTCTTCAGATTCTTCCGAGCCCGCATCCTGTTTGGATAGTCAATGTTTGTCATGCAACATGATATATAAAGGCGACTTACGGATCCGTCACCGGTAAGGAAGCTCCATCCGCCCTCGGCATAGAAGGCATGGGGATCCTCATTGACTGTCTTCATGATAGCAGGCCACGAGAGGTTGACGGGACCTTCGGAGATGGGCACGTCACAGGAGCTTCAGATACGTCAGAGGGTGTCAATAGGTACCACATGAACGACTCACTCTAACCACTCCTTGACATTGTCGAGATTCACAACAGGGATGGAATTGATGTGGATAGGCGGCTTTTTCAAGTCCTGGAGAACGAATACGACATCAAAGTTCTTGAGCCCAAATTGCACTCGTTCGAGGTGCACGATCTCTACTTCTGAAAGGGTGATGACAGTGAAGGGTAGTTCAGAGATGTGTATGAGACAGTTGGTGGTCGGAAGCAGAGTCACAATCGACTTGTGAGGGACACCGTTGAAGCCAAGCTCTCGGAAAGGCACATCGACCTCGAGCTCATATTGTTGATTTTGAGCCGCTTGTTCAATGCGTCGGGCAAAGTCCTGGAACACCCTGTCCAACTCGGCACGGCGTTTTCGGTCCTCTTGTTCCTGCTCAATCTCATCTTCGTCACCGTATCGAGCCCTTCGCTTCTTGCCGCCAGTCTCATCGAAAGACATGTCCGCAACCTCACGATAGAATTGGACATCTGATGTCTTCTTCTTGCCGAGCATGATAGGAGCTTTGAGGTGAACATGGATGATGACAATAAGCTCCTTTTCGCTCGGCTGGAAGAAAAGGTGCTTGATGTTGCTGAAAAGAATATCGATTTTGGAAGCCGGTCCGTCGGGACGGAAACGGATACCATTCTGGTGGATCTCCACATTGCCGTCGACTTTTTTGCCTTCGGGGGCAGGACGAGGGAAGACATTCTTGAGAACGTAAGGGTGGCGACCCTTGATCTCGATGAGCTTCTCCTGCTCGATAACGTCGGCCAACTCTTTCCTCTCGGCCTCTCGCTTGACCGCAGCCTTCTTCAGCGCAGTGATGGAGTCAAAGACCTTGAGCATGTGTCGCGAATCTTGTGACCGCAAAGAGATGGATCGGATGAAATTTGCGTCGGGGTCCTCAAAGGGCTGCCGAAGAATGTCAGTTTGGCCCTCTAGAATGCGCGATACTCACCATGTCTTCCTTCTTACCAGCAATCTGACCAGGAGACTGGAAGTTGATGCGCAGAACAATGTGGTTTGCTTCTTCCGTCTTGGTAACATTTTTGATGGTCGAGATGTGATAAGGAACGGCGAAGCCGTTGATGGGCACGATCACAGATTGTCGAGACTCGTCGACATGCACCCGTCGGTCCTCAACAGACTTGGGCAACTGCTCTTCGCGCCTATAACTCTCGTACTTCTTGATCACCTTCTGCTGGGCGCCGTTCTTCCCCTCGTCGCCAGCCTCCCATTTCTTGATACCATCAGCGTTGAGCTTGCCATGCAATCGAGCCTGGTTGGCTTTGATCTTTTCGGCTGTCGTCTGGGTGATTTGCTCGCGGTTTGCACCTCGAGTCTTGGCACGTCCCCCAACAGTACTGGTACGAGGCTTGACAGGGGAGTCCTTGATTTTGGGCTTCTTGTCGACGATTTGAGGTTTGACGTCTTCTTCGTCCTCGTCATCCATGTCCATGACAACGTCACTGAGCTTGGTGGCCCCTTCGGTCAAGACTGCTGCTCCGTTCTGCCCAACCTTCACAGTGTCAGACAGCAAGAGCGCGTAGCTGAAACATGTTAGCTGCTGCTCAGTCATGATGAAATTTAGGCTCACGTGCTACCCTTCTTCTTGGGGTCCGAAAGTTCGCTAGCGCCAAGAGTGAGAACAAGAACCATGTTCTCTGTCAACTCGCGGTTGTTTTTAGAGCTCAAAAGGAAAGTGCTGTCGCGGTACTCCATACCGGTCTGCCATGGATATCAGCAAAGCTGCGTGACAAAACATACGGATAAAATACTCACAGCGAAACCAATGTGCTTGACAAAGTTTTCAACCATGGCAGAACTCTTAGATTCAAGGAAATTGAAAACGGCATGGTAGACATCGGAAACAACAGCTCCAGCCTTGAGCTGCTTCAAGGCTTCCTGTCGAACCTCGAGAAGGATAGAATAGTTGCTCTCCTGCTTCTTTGTAGGGCTGATCAAGAAAGTTCGGCCCATGCTACTACAGTAGTTTTTGTAGCGGATACCCATGCTCGAAAGAATGACGCCAGGTTTGAGGTTGTCGCCGTTGGAGGCAGCCGTGACCTTGAGGTCATATTTGCCGCCAGATTGGACAATAGGGGTATAGATGAACTCGGTAGAAGTGAAATCCACCTTGAAGACGATAAGCATTTCGCAGATTGAAGGTGATACAGTTCTACATACCTGCCCCAATGAGGGGTTTTTGGCCCAAAGCTTTTGATCCACTGGCTTCTCGTCAGTGCCGATTTTTTCCTCACACAGCCTATACGATGTAAGCAACAATTGGCCAGCTCAGTTTGTACGTACTGGGCAAGCGCTTCATGAGAGACTTTGGTGCCTCGGTCAATGATGGCTTCCATCTTGGATTTAAAGTAGTTGATCATGACGGTAGAGGTCAATTTGGCACTGGTGATGATGGATTTCTGGGGAATATCAGCATGGACTCTTGTCTCTGGAGCTTGACACTGACGATCTCCTCTCCGTCCTTCTCTGACAAGATAGACGAGACTGGAATCGCGACATCTTGAACATCCAAACCGCCATGAGCCTCGACCCTGTCCAAAATCGCATAAGTGACAGTTGTAGGTGGCTTCTTTGGAACTCACGCCGCATTCCACTCATCGACCAATTTCCCAGTAGGCTTGTCCTTTGGCAAGGTCCCGATCTTGCCATCTTCGACAGAGCCCACCACCTCTTCCATAGTTGCTGTAAGTCGATTAGCGAAACTCATTTCACATCACGATTCTCCAACCTTTGGCAGCGCTCGCGTCTTTCGCCCGGACTTTGATGTCAATGTCAATACCGTTACTTGGTTGCAGCTGGCGAATGAGTTTGGCTGATTCACATATGTATTAGCGGTACGACCTTGCCACCACCAGAAGGATCGCAGTCACCTTTGGAAGATCCGCAGACGAAGGTGACTTTGCGAGGGGATTGAGAGAATAGCATCAATGTCGAAGGAAATTCATAGCCGAGAAGCCAGAGCTGTTACAATGTCAGACTTGCTCGTACAGGATGAGAGACGTGACTTACCTGAAGCGCGGTGGTCTTGTTGTAAGAAGCCAATTCATCGCTAGGTTCGCCCAGTAGGATAGACAAAGCCTTCACATCTTCCAGAGACTTGGTATCTCCATTTGGGCTCTGCAGTCGAGGTGAGGACTGATTTTGACATGTACAGACGCGATAGACCTACCTCCCAGGCATTAAAGATCTTCTCGGCGCGTTTGAAGAAGAGGGCAGAGTCGAGCTGGATGTCTGACATTTTGGCTGAGGGGACGGGGACGATTTATTGGGCCAGCCAGTAGGATGCCGTGGTTGGGTGGCGGAAGATATGAATGCGGAAGAGAAGTGTAAGGATGCGAGAGTGAAGAGGCAGGGTAATATTGTGGACGCGTTCAGCACTCAAACGCGCATCGCGCATTTAATCTTGTCTCATTTTAGCGATTTTCTCCTATAGCATGGGACTTGCTCGAGGGCAGCGCTGGATAGCTTGAGGCAGTTTGGGACAGTATTGGGGTCATATGGGTTGATATACTCTTGTCCAAATTCATTCTATGCATGTCTTTATATCGTACATTGCGTCTATAGTAGGTACGCGGCAGAAGGACACCCAAAGACCAAAACACATTTTACTGTTGTACACTCCGTTTCACTTCTTGGACTGTCCATTGTTCAGATAACAACTGGATCAAACAACTCCGAGAAAATAGCGCTATCAATCGTCTCTCTGACTATGGGCCTTGTTATAGGCGGTCACCACTCTACAGTTTGGTCAGCATGGCTAGGACCCAACCGGGAATTGCAGTTGACCACCCACCTTCCGATCTGCTTGAAGTACCATTCTCGTGCTGCCTTTTCTGGTATAGGCAAGAATGGTCCTCCTCTCCCGTCTCGATTCACCAGATTAACTCCGTTTGCCTCCAAAGACAGAGACTGAAGATCTTCAAAGGGTACCTGCCAGATCACCCGAAGCTTGCGCAACTGCACTTGAAGAATGCGATTATTGGACAACAGGGAGATGGCGTCATCTCCAGGGAGATCGATGTGTGCGATATACGAGTCGTGGAAGAAGGCTCCAGCATCTGCCGGTGTGTTAGTCATTGTCACCACAGATCTCTGAACCGGCTTACCAAGATCCTTCAACCAAGATTGCCCTAATGCTTCTCGACCCGAGAAAGGCTAATCATTACGGTCAGCAAGCAGGACTTGTAGTATGGTAAAAGTCCACATACCCGCAAAACTCCATCTTGAGCGATGTATCGGGGTAGCCTGACCCTGTCGAGCTCGGCTTGGTCAAAGACCGTTGTCGTGTTTCGAATGCCTTCGGCGGAATTGGAGACAAAGTCCATTATTCCAACGGCGGGCTTCGTGAACAATCCAACGAATCCTTTGCCGACACCCTTTGCAAACCCGCCTGCTCCTCCCTTCTCTGCTCCCTCGAATGGCTTGGACTGCCCAATGTTAGTGAGCACTTCAAACGCGGCGGGAGTAACTCACAGCTACGCCTTCAAATGCGCTTGTCAGACTATCGGCAAAGGCGGTCGCGCCAGCGGCGACACCATATAGAGCATGCTTGGGCTTGTTACGTCGCCTAGTCATACGCCGCTTGTTCTGAAACTCGGCGTCTAGAGTCGCAGCAGACAAGCCTTTACCGATACTGCCTGTGAATTTTGTCATACTATCGGTGATACCGAATACCGTCTTCTTGGCGAAGCTGGTGGCACCCTGCGTAACCCTTTAGCCATCTCGCATACCGGTGATCAGAAAGACAACTCACCCTAGCGATACCCAGTCCAATATCCTTGTTTCCGTGCATGACCATACCGTGGTAGGGTTCATAGAAGAAATCGGAGAACCCAGAGCTGATGTTGTTGAACAAGCCCACAGGATTACCAAGGAAATCTGCTGAACCAAGCACTCGATAGATCTGAGAGATGAATTGCTCTTGATAATGCAGAATGACTCTTTCTTGCAGCGAAGGTATACTCAAGCGCACATTCTCGAGGAATAGAGCGCGGAAGGCCAACGGCGCAGCATTGACGTTACCCAAGGTCATGGTGAGAGCGTTCAGGGCGTAATAGAATGGGTTACGAGTGGATACCCTAATGATATGAGCACAGATTCTCTCCCACAAATGGCAACGGCTCACTTTTCGTCGACATTCACTCTGTCTGTACGCATGAAGGAAAGTTCCAGGGCGATCGGCTGTAATTGTAGAGCTTCGAAGAAGACGTCCGCTTTGGTAGATGTAATGTCCGGCTCGGGTATCTCTTTGGGATGCTCAATGAGAGCGCTATACGAGCCGTGGTCAATACTTGCGATACAGAGAGGAGACTGGTACACTCACTCCTGTGTATCTTCTTGCCACGATGCCCCCTTGAACTTCACAAAGTCTAATAAGGCGAACAAGAAGTCTTCGTCCATCTCGATCGTCATGGACTGAAGTAAGATAGTGGCGTACTTGACGAAAATAACGCCGTGAGCTGTCACAAGTGGTCAGCTCAAGATTCAGAGATTTCTGATCATTACGCACATTGATCTTTCAGTATCGTGACTGATGACTGTAGAGTCGGGTGAGAATCAAGCTCTTTGCCATCCTTCGGCACCACAGTGGGATACAAGATGATGGGGAAGATACCCCCAAACAGTTGGTTGTCGATCTGAATCCACTTGCAATCTATGAAGGCGTCGTAGTACTGTGGGTAATCGGAATAGCCCAGCTTGAGACCTCTGAGTGACAAGTACAAGAGCTCATCGGGCTTTCTGGTGATGACAGATATGCCAATACCTTCCAGCTCGACTACTACGTTCAAAGTAGCCTTCTCGCTGACGGCAATCGTCTCGAAAGCCACTGTAGAAGAGGAAAGCGAGGTCGAGCTCTCGCTTCGTCGGATGCCAGCTCCAGGCCTTGTCGGTTTGTAGATGCTGGTCTCCTCGTTGTAAGGCGATATCGTGAGCAATTGAGAGCCTCCGTCTGCGCGCACGTCCACCGACACTGTAGCCGAGCGTTTCTTGGGATCATTGGACTAAGGCAACATCAGCTCATGCCAGATTCGGCACCAGAGATCACTTACAGGGACTCTCATTGGTGGTTGTACACCAATGGCCATCAAGTCGATTGAACTCGGGAGCTCAATACCCTTATCCCCTTTACGAAGATCTCCAGGGTTCGCGAAAAGTTTGATCTGTTTCGTCGGTGCCGTCGGCCAGTCCCAAGAATAGTTTTGGACCGAGTGAGGGGGGAGAATGTGGACAGGGCGTTGACGTTCTTTGTCGGTCGTCACCGGATCCCGATCCTAAGTCGACATCAGTAATCGTCCATTGTGCTCATCACCTGATCTTACCGTTTGCTGGAATGCAAGCGGGATGTTGGTGTCATTCGCGACTCGTAAAGGCCACGCGTCCTCTTTTTCCCTTGAGATGTACAAGAAGATGCTTGAGCCTTCCAAATGAGTCTCGACACGCATCAAGTATGTCTTTGGTGAACCCCTTGATTGCCGCTGGACTGCAATATGTGTTCGCCCAATGTCAGAAATGTTGAAGGGAGCCGACCTGGGAAAGCTATGAGCATTTCAATGTAAAGAACAGGCGCTTGACTAACCAATCCGTGTCGGGCTCATCGAAAGACATGATCAACTGTGGAGGGGCATTGTTCGACAACTGATGGATGGGTATTCTCTCGTTGACCCCGACGGGGTACTCATTTCTGGTACCATACTGTCGGACCCTGATAGGTCGATTGTACGTGTTCTTGACCATGAACCTTGGAGCGATGGTGATGACTTTTGTCAGCTTGTACTACAAGCGAGAGAATGGTCAGCTCATCCTCAAAGAAGACGAAATATCGTACCTTGCCAGTCCCTTCCGCATATGAGAGGCCAACAAAGTTATCCTTCTCCCCTGAGGCATTGCCCAGAGAGATTTGCATGTCAGCTGACACAGGCTCGAAGGATATAGGCTATGGTATGTTAGATCTTTTCTCTTGCGACGACAAGAAGTTGCTCATACCTGGGACCATTTCGAATTGTTCACCCGGACATGCAGTCGATTGCGGCGGTCGTCATTGGGGAAGGAAAGCACTGTATCTTGATCAGTGGCGTCCTACGTCTTTACCCTTTTGACACTCACGGAATGGTGTGGGAGTCTCTCGTTGCCAATCGCCTGTAATCACGGTCAACACCCACCTTTCAAGTACGATGGCCACTTACTCTCAAATATGTCGCGTCCAGCGATGGGTCGCTGTCCCCCAGTCCAAGTCTTGGCTGCCAAGTCGAAAGGCAGACCGGTCTTGTTCATGAAGATGAAGGGACTGTATATCTGTACCTTGAAAGCACCACCAGAGTTGGGATAAGTGCTGACATACGTCAGCAGCTGTGGGCTGAGGTTGGCACTCACATGTAATGAAGCTTCAAGTGTGTCGTCAACCCTTGCTGGTCGGCGAGTTGGAAATGGTCTTCAACAGGAAGCTCAGGATCGTCGGTATTGATAATGGCGTATTCACTCTGTTTGAACCCTGAAGGTCAGAGTATCAGTGTCACTATTACCTCAAAGTATAAGACAACCAACCTGTATCCTCTGGGGCGACATTGAGGAGGAACATGTGTGAAAGTTCAACCGTATGAATCGGACTGGATCCGCCTTTGACCAGATAATTGCTAGAGCTTAGACCAGTGTTACGGTCATGGATTTTGAATTTCAGATTGTAAGGCAACAGGTTTTCCAATTCGACAGGCGCCCGGAGGACCAGGTTCATCCTAGGGTAGATCTTGGCAGCTGGATCCTTGACGTCGTAGTTGGCTTGTGCCTGGAAGTAGAAAGCGGGCTCCTTTGCAGTTTGATGTTTGCAGCTTATGGGGCGAATGGGTTTTGCAAGTAAACTCTTCCAATGTAGAGGAGCAGACCAACTGTAGTCAAAGCCGAATCCACCTAGGAGACGTGAGCGCAAGCTAGCAATAGGTCTGAGCGACTTACGGAGAGGACGCAGCCTGAATCGTTTCTCGAAAGCAGCCTCAAGTGGCAGAGGGCAAGATTCTCCCGGGTTGATCTTCAAAGCCTCCGAAGCAGCTTTGCCGTGGGAGTCGATGACGATCATTTCTACGGGAAGACTCGTCTGGTTTTCAACATTCAGGGTTGACCTGAAAGTGATGACCTTCACGTTATTGACAAGCTTGATCTCGCATGTGATCTGGTGGGAGACCTTGTCAAGCCTGGGTCGAAGAGCATACGTGTGGTCTCCTTCACGGTCTACAGATATACCCCGGAGAGATTCCCAAGGTGTGTCCTGGAGCTGAATGCCTAAGGCATTGTGACGGACTGAGGAGATATTCTTAACGATATGTTAGCATGTGTTAAGGCAGGAACACTGGATGACTTACTTCACGGGTCTGCTTTCGATCCTCGAACCGCCAGGGTACGTCGGCTCCATCGTCAAGCCGCTTGACTCCGGTCACGGGCTTATTAGGGTCAACGCCCTCAGGCCAGAGAAGGATGGTCAGTCCGGTCGCATTTCTGATCCTGAAAGGCGCATCGGACCCCTTTCCAGCTAATGCTCTCTCTCCCTCCTTGCTCCATACGGTCATGGAAGTGATAGCAAGCTCGATGAAGGCCGATGTAAGGTTGATCTCCAGGCGTTCGCGCGCAGAGAGTTTGACGTTGAGGGGGTTGTGACCTGCACCCGCTGAGATACGATTGACCTGTTTTTCGTCAGTCAAATCATCAGTGACCTGATTGAAAGCTGGAGTGAAAGAGACGCACCCTAAGATCAAACTTCCATGGGTCCATAAGTGGCTCAAAGTACGAGTTCGCAAGGTTGAAGTAGCGGATGGAAGTGGTTATAGAAGTGGCCAATTTCAGCTATGATATGTCAGCAATTTCCACATGGAGCTGCCAAGACGTACATCTCCCGACCAGTCATTGATAGAAAGATTGAACTCAGTCGTCGACAAGTGGACCATAGGCATCTCTTGAAGGTCGCCAACGACAACGAACTGGAACCCGTTGACACGCGCCTTCAACTGCTCTTTAGAGACGATGACTTGTGCTCTCTCCAACGACTGCCTCCTCCTGCTTATCGAGGTTCGGCGGCCAGCTGAGCTTCGCCTTCGGCTTTGCTTCGAAGCAACGGCTGCGACGGTAGAAGCATCAAGGGAGCTAGTCGCAGCCAGACTGTTTGACCTCTCTCTTTCGGAAGTATCCTTCGGGGCCTCTGCAGGGGACAAGGCTTTTGTGGCAACAGCACTGGCTTTGTTGACGATGTCGGTGATCAGCATCACATTGGTATAAGAGGCGCGGAAGATGACGGGATCAGGGATGTCGATATCAAAGTTGGTCATCTGCTGCGAACCCTTGCGTCGAGTATCCAAAGACAACGCAACGCTGAGGTCATCTAGGAATTTGACCCGATCGTTCGGGCGGTCCATGCGGCCAAAGGACATACCCAATTGGTCGACCTTGACTGCGAGTATGCTTTGTTGGGACACCAATAGCTCTCGGATATTGAGCTGAATAGCCTGAGTTTTTGGGTTTGTGTCGTCTGCAATGACAATCACAGTGGCGTTGACAATCTCTACTCTGAATGACAGAGCACCGCCTTGCTTGGGCCCCTCCTCAAGGTCATCGTCGTCGACGGCCTCGAGCTCAGCCTCTTCGCTCTGGGACTTGTTGAATGGGCTGACAGCGAACTCTAGAAGAGCAGCGAGGGGATCGACTGCTAGTATGAAATGAGGACTGTCGATGGTGACTATAGCCAAAGCCGATTGATCCGCGCCACCGGCCATGGTATACTGAAGCATACTGCGAGCGGGATCAGCGAGTGCTCACGAGTCAGTGACCAAGCCAAACCTACACTTGATTGCCATTGTGGCTCGCGGGCGGGATGATATCACGGAAAACGCTATTGCCTGATCGTGTGCTCGAGAAAGCGAGCGTCTTGAGAGACAGCTCTGCTTCCATGGCCCCATCCGACAACTTTTTGAAACCGACATGAGAGCCAACAAGAGCGAAACGAGCAATGCTATTCTGTTTCAGATCCTCTTCGGCAACAGCGTCCACATTGTAGATCTCGAGAGCAATAGAGTTCACGGAGAACACAAAGTCGAGGGATGTCCATTGTTTGACGTCACCAGTGTTGTCGTCTACTTTAGCCACTACGAGCTCCGGCTCGAGGCTGACATCGGTAATCTGTGGTGGTTCCTCACCAATCGGTGTAGGAGGCACCGAGGTGTTCGGAGTGATGGCTGTAGATTCATCGGGAGAGAAGTCACCGTCATCGTCGTCGAAGCTAAGAGCCCGAGGGAGCGATTGGAGGACACTCATGAGCAAGATATACTGCCTCTGAGTCAGGGAGAGCTTGACATCAGACATGTCTGTTGTGATCTATGCACGATGTCAGTGAGTACAATGCGGTATATGGGTGACTCACCTCGGTATCTGCGTGGTGGGGATCAACCCTGTGACTTGACCCTCCTGCTTGTTTGATTGCAGCGGTGATAGCAACATCATCCACCATCTGCAAGGTGACCGTCTTGTCATTCAGGGCAATCTCAGAGGCCACATTGATGCCCCGCAAACTAGCGTCAATCGTGCTAGTATCGTTGGGGTCATCGAGATACTGATTTTTGGCGACAATTTCACCAAGTCGAAGAACGAGCCGATCTTTCGAAGTGAGACCATCACGAGGAAGGACGATGATAGGCGTCTTGACCACAATGTCATAGTGCATCCTGGTGACCTCTGATGCTCTCTGGACTGCCGCTTGCTGGGCAGCATCGTAGACGGCCTTCATCCGAGCAAACTTGATGGCAAAGGCATACAAGTCGTGCACAGGTCTCTCCATGAAAGTAAACTTGAGAGAACCTGCTCGGAGGTTGACGGACGAGTTGTAACCCGGGAAAGTCTCTTCGTCCGTGGAATCGAACGTTTCGTAGCTAAAGTCGGCCAGTTCTCCACCTTCGATGGACAGCAACTTCTTGAAAGTCGGGTCCGCCACCGCGTCATCCGACAAGTCGTCCAAAGAAAGATCACCGAGCCTTGCGCCTACTCGAAGAGTGCCTCCTCGAAGCAAGATGGCAACATCCGCAGAAGGCAACGTCAACATGGCAAATTGTTTGGCATTGTTATCCAGAAGCACTTCGGCGCTTGTCAATTTGACTCGGATCCTCATCTTGTCCGTCGACTTCTCTTCTTCGATATTATTGTCCTGAGTGCTGGCTACAGCAGTCTCTTCGGCATTGTCGTGATCTTTTGGAACGAAAGTGGTCATGATAAAGTCGTAGAGAGACAGGATGGGTTCTGGCGCAATAGTGAAGCGGAAGGTAGACAGCTCAGTCTCGATGCTGGTGTCCACCCCTTCATGTTTGGTCATGAACTCGGGTGACTCTTTTTGAACCTTCTGGTACTTGACCTGGACCAGCTTGAGGTCCGAAGGAGACTCCTCCCCGTGGGTAGCAGACGAAAGCAGAGGCTTTCGTGCGCTTCCATGCTCAATCATAGCCAAAGTGACAGATCGGAGGAACAAATCCACCGACATGTCCCATTTGCGCAGAGCAAAAGTAAGACCGAAGCCTTCCAGGACGGCATCCGCCAAGGGTCTTTCTTCCGTGGGCGATATAGATTTGAAAAGTGACGCTTGAAGCTTGCCAACAGAGAAGGAGAATTCAAAGGTGACTTGTCGAAGGGCACTCTTCTGGCTCTGTACGGGCTGTCAGTCATCTGGAATAGTGGATAGAAGGATGACATACCTCTGTTTGATCATCATTCGCCTCATAGAAATGATCGCCCTTGTCACCGATGGAACTGCTGTCATCCCTGCTGTCATCCCTCTCTTCGATGGTCTTGGCTGACACGATAGACCGATCATCATCAAAGTTGAACTCTTCCACAGGCTGCCTTCTTCCAAAGTGCCTCCTGCCCTTGGCCGCAACAGATTGATCCTTCTGTTCCTCATCTTCATCACCAAACTTGGGAATTGACACATCGATAAACTTCATCAGTGTCTTGTATTTCCTATCGGAAAAGTTGACGTGTAGAGTCGGCAATTCACCGGCGATCTTGAAGCGGGTCAAATTGGGAGCATTCACGATGGCGTTTTGGACAGTAAAAGACATGCCAATGCGCTCGACGACGTGAAGCTCGTAGGCGGAGGAGTTGTCGGTGTCTTCAAGTGCTCGCATGCAAGCGTCGGCATCATCGCCCATAAGCAGCTATTACTTGTCAGCTTGTAGAGAGGCGTTTTGGGTGAAACTCACCTGGGTAGACTCCAATCTCAAATTGAGCTTGTCATACATCAAGTCTTCGAGCTGTTTGTAATCATCCTCGCTATATTGCTTCCCTCGCTTGCTTTGAACATCTTGCAGTTGCTGCTTGTCGGCAAGACTGCTGTTGACCGAGATATGACCAGCATCGAGAACAAGAGTTTCACTCTTCTTGACTGTCACGCTACAAGGATATCAGCTTAGAGCACTCGCGCATTCGAATGACTTACTCCATTGGGATGACGATGATGGGGGCATTCATATCAACTCGGAGGTCGATAGTCTACATATCATCAGCTAGAATCCCGCAATCGTAATCGCACCCACCTTGTGCTGCTCCAAAGCATACTCTAAACCTGCTCGCGTCTCCTTTCTGAGACCATCCAACGTCTGCCCAGCAGCATCCAAAAGAGCGCCTATCGACTCCAGCTGACTCTCTGGGGGCCTAAAGAACTGATGCACAGCCTCCACATAGCCTCGATGGTAGATGATCTCGAGATGTCTCATCTTGACAGTAACAGCATTGTCCGCTCGGCCGTCAAGAGGGTTCTGTTCGACTTCAACGACAAAGAAGGGATCCGAGCTGTCTTGCGATTTGTCGCCGATACTATCAAGTGCGCCTTCAACGCCTTCTTGCGCGAGGCTGATCTGGCTCGCCTTTTTCTCAATATCTTTGACTCGGACGATTTGCGGGTAGAGCGAGCCGGGGGTTGTACCGTCATAGACTCTAAAGCCGCCGAGAGCCATTTTGCCAGTCATGGAATCGGTGAGCTGCACTGCATCTGCAGAGAACGAGTCAAAGACAAGAGCAATGATATCATTGTTCTTGCCATGCGGGTCGGTTCGCAGAGCCAAAGATCCCTTGTTGAGTTTGGCAGACACTCGGGCCTTCATGAAATCGCGCGGTGTCGACTCGATGGCAGTCTCTTCAGCCGCCGCCGCATCGTAGTCGATAATGTCGTCCAACTCCTTCTTCTCCTCTTCAGAGATACCATTCTCCGAATTGGTCGACTGTGCTGAAGAGCCCCAGATCCATTGACCCCATGTTTGGACTTGGGGTTGATTCTTTTGGCGTTCGAGTTCCATTTTGCGTCGAGTGACGGCGTCTTTCTTTGCCCTGGCGCGGGCAACAGAGCGGAAGAATCGAATGTCTTCGTATGACGCTTTGGTTTCAATCTCGGCAATGGCAGCTTCTTCGTCTGCCGGCAATTGTTTGCCTTCTGGCAATGCCAGCTTTTGAACATACAGTTCAACGTACTTCTTTCGCGTATCTCGTCTCTCTGCAAGGTACGCCCAAGACCAGCGCTTGTTGCGATCATGGACTTCTGACCGGATAGCGTCGAATGCAAACTTCCAGCGTCGCTGGGCAGGCGTTTCCTTGGCCTCTTGCGCGGCTGGCAAGAACTTATGATACTGATGCGTTCGGCGGTAAAAGTGAAACACATCAACGACAGACAAGACGTCTCGATACTGGTCGCGGTCGATCACGACACCGATCTCGTCAAAGATGACTTGCGCGTCGAATTTGGGTGTTTCATTTGACATGTGTTTGTTGATGATGGCTCGGGCTTCGCCTGTGACGGGCTTCAAGATGTATTGGTGATTGGGAGACCCGGCGAGCATGCTTCTGAGAGCATTGATCGTGCCGGATCTATCTTCGGCGCCCTTATCGAGGCTTCCAGTGTCGGTGTCAAAGTAGATTGCCAGTGCTCCGAGCTGCACAAGTTTGTGTACACCATTGAGGCTGTCGTGGATGAAGGCCTCCACCCAGTTCGCGTCGGTGGAGACAGCCTTGAACTCGTTGAGGGTGATACCGGCCGCGAAGGGGTGCTACAAACGTCAGCTTGATATAGCTATGAGTAAGGGGGACGCTTACTTCGGGTGTGCTGGTGCCGTCTTCGTATCGCACGTGGATGTTCTTGATGTGAATCTGTACGTTGTCTACGACCTTGGAAACAATCGCTCCCACATAAGTCTGTTTGGCTGCAACGCTGTCAGCACGCGTTTACTATAGCACATCCGACTTACAATCATCGTGCGCTCCTTGCCCCACCTGGTTGGCTGCACTATCAACAGCCTCTGCGCTCTTCAATTTCTCTTGCTTGGTCGCTTGCTCTATTCGTTCGTCTTCTTCCGGATCTACCTTTCCGGGAGGTCTCGCTCTTGCCAAAACATAGACGTCGTCGATGACAATCTTGACGGGCTGCGTCTTGAGGGCTGTCCACGGGATGGATACTGACAGAGTACCAATATCTCCTGCGACAATTTCTACCGGCAGGCCGAATCGTTCGAGCAGAGACTTTTTGAGGTGTAAACCGTGAAATTGGAGGTTACCTGTCGCGTTTTCAGTTGCGCGCTCCTCGAGGCAATACTATGCTCACCGCTGAACAGGGACAGAGACAAGTCCTGGGCGTTCAAGTTCTCGACGTAGGGTGAGACATAGACGTTCAGCAGGCCGAGGGCGGCATTCTTGAGGGCCTGCATCGCCGCTGATGTTAGATTCAGGTCCAGTCGCGCGGGGGTGGTCGTTCGAGTGAGGGGGGTCGATGGATGGTCCGCGAAAGTGGTTGTTAGATATGCAGTGGCGGTATAGGTGGATGAGAGAGGGCTGTCCAGGGCGGCCTCTCGATTGCATGCACCTTTCAGTTCAGCCATTCTGCGTCATAGGAAATTTGGTCCCGTCGCCCTTCGGCGGCCGACGCCCAAGATTTTGGCAACAGACAATCCTGAACGCTCAGGTGTTTGTGATCACAACTAGAGTCATGGCGGGTCCTCCAGTGCGAGAGCGATACAACGCAAAGGCGCGTGGCGCTGGTCCCGGTGGGGACAGCCACAAGAAGAGAAAACAGAGGAGACCACAGGACAACCAACAGGCAGAGCCAGAGGATGCGGCCACCGCAGGCATGTCCTCCAAGAAGCGCAAGCGATTCGAGTCTTTCATGGTATGGTTACGCTTTTGTGATGGCCCATAGTGCTTACACCTGTGCAGGCAAAGAAACTCAAGACTGAACAAAGATACGAGACCCTCAAACTCCTTCAATCGCTAGCACCCTCGGCGTCCACCTCTGCTTCACTGGCCTCTGCCGCCAGTCTTGGTCAACACCCCCTTAACCCCATCAGCGCGAAAGAGAGACAAGAAAAGCGAGAAGACAAGCTCGTGCGTAACGGCATTGAGAGGCTCACCAGGCGATTCGGTGAAGAGGACGAAAGTGAGGAGAGTGAAGAAGAGGAGGAGAGGCGGATGAAGGGCAAGGGAAAAGCCAGGGAGACTGTGGAAGTAGTCAAAGATAATGGTGTGGAGGAAGAGGACAAGGTTGCTACGACTGTTGTGCCCAGCAAAAGTCAGCTCAAGGCTGCAGCGAAAGCTGCGTCCAAGGGGCAGGGCAAGGGCAAAATGCCCAAAAAGGTAAGTACATCAATACGTCTGGTAACTTTGCTGATCTTGCTGCAGGCCAACTGGAATCCCAGCCTTCCCTCGCAAAAAGCAGTCTCGTCCGATTTCGACTCTTCAGATTCTGCCAACGACTCTCCCGACGAAGCCGAGCCCCCTAAATTGAATTCGCCTGCCCCTCCACCACAGAATGTAGAGGTCAAGGCAACTACGACCCCGTTGCCACCTATCGTAACTGGCGGTGCGCTCAAAAAGTCGGCTGATGGGCAGATTGTTCCGCCGAGGGTGGTGGTCCGTCGAAAGAAGCCCTTTGTCTATGGCATGTTTGGCCGACGTGGGGTTGATCAGCGCCCGGAGAGCGGCGATGATGAAGACGACGACGACGATGACGATGACGAGGATGATAGTGATGAGGACGAAGACAGTGACGAGGATGAGGAAGATAGCGATGACGATGAAGAGATGGAAAGTGGAGAAGAAGGAGATTCCGCTGACAGCGACGGAGAGAGTGACTCTGAAGAAGATGAAGAAAGCGAATCTCCACCAAAGAAGAAACGTTCTCTTGGCTTCAAGTCCTGGGCTCTCAAACAAATGGGTCAAACCGAAGAGCCTTCGGCCCCCGACCTCTTGGACGCTCAACCAGCCTCTACAGCGTCGAAACCCAAACCCCTCCCTGCAGCCAAGGTCGGCGACTACATCGGACCCCTTGGACAAGAGCTTCACGTCCCCACGACATCCCTGCTCGAACAACAGACCAAGGGAAGCGCAGCTTCCAAGGCTCGCCCCACTATCACTCGCCGGGCATCCGTGACGGAAAGCAGAATGGACTTGCCTATTCTTTCTGAAGAACAATCCATCATCGAGTCCATCTTGATGCACCCTGTGGTGATCATCTGTGGTGAGACTGGTAGTGGTAAGACCACCCAGGTACCTCAGATGTTGTACGAAGCTGGATTCGGGTTCAAGGGATCTGGTTAGTCTAAATCCATCCTGTCGGTGTGCCCCACTAACGTCTGACAGACAATCCCGGTATGATTGCCGTCACCCAACCCCGTCGAGTCGCCGCCGTCTCCCTAGCCGAGCGAGTCCGCTCCGAACTGAACCTCTCCCCCAACAATTCCCTGGTTGCTCACCAAATCCGATACTCTTCTACTACCTCTGCCCAAACTGCGATCAAGTTCATGACCGACGGTGTCCTCCTGCGCGAGCTTGCGTCAGATTTCTTGCTGAGCCGGTACAGCGTCGTCGTCGTCGATGAAGCGCACGAGCGAGGAGTCAATACGGACGTACTTGTCGGTGTGCTCAGTCGTGTTTCCAAGCTGAGGGAAAAGATGTGGCGAGAAGGCAAGGAAGGTGTGAAGCCTCTCAGAATTGTGGTCATGTCTGCCACCCTTCGAGTCTCAGACTTTGCCGAAAACGCTACGCTCTTTGCGCAAAAACCTCCCGTCATCCATATCGCCGCTCGTCAACACCCTGTTACTATCCATTTCAGCAAAAAGACTGCTAGCGACTATGTCACGGAAGCGTACAAAAAGGTGTCCAAGATTCACGCGAGGCTGCCTCCCGGTGGTATCCTTGTATTTATGACGGGTCAGAGCGAGATTCAGGCGTTGTGTCGGAAATTGGAAAAGAAGTATACAAAAAAGAGTGACGGAAAGAAGGCCCCTGCTGTGGATAACACTCTACCTCCGGATGGTGAGTCAAGATCATTTCAAGGCGAACACAGCTGATCATTTGCAGAGCGAGAAGCGGAGGAGGTCGAGCTTGGGCGAGACCAGGATCTCGCGGCGGACGTTGATGACGGGGCGGCCGATAGCGACCCCGAAGGGCTGGACACCGACGATGAGATTGAAGGTATCCCCGGCCTCGAGTTTGACGAGCCGAGCGACAGTGAGCCCATGCCACCATTGAGAACTTCAGAGCTGACATTCACAGTGCCCATGCACGTCCTCCCCCTCTACTCTCTCCTCCCCAACGACCAGCAGATGCTGGTGTTCAAGCCCCCACCCGAGGATCACCGTCTCGTCATCATCTCTACCAACGTTGCCGAAACCTCACTTACCATTCCCGGTATTCGATACGTCGTCGACTCTGGCCGAGCCAAGGAGAGGCATTATGACCCTAGCAATGGTGTCCAGTCATTCCAGGTTTCGTGGGTGTCAAAAGCTTCAGCGTCGCAGAGAGCTGGTCGTGCGGGTCGTACCGGACCTGGTCATTGCTACCGACTCTACTCTTCCGCGCTCTTTGAAGACCATTTCGAGCAATTCTCGAAACCCGAGATATTGCGTATGCCTATTGAAGGTGTCGTCTTGCAGATGAAGAGTATGAACATTGACGCTGTCGTCAATTTCCCCTTCCCCACGCCACCAGACCGTCTCGCGCTGAGACGAGCCGAAAGCCTTCTCACCAACCTGGGCGCCCTCTCGCTTCCCGTCAAGACGAGGATGGTGAACGGTATTCAGCACGTTGGCGCTGCCGGTGGGCAAATCACCGAGCTCGGTAAAGCTATGGCCGGCTTCCCCGTCTCCCCTAGATTCGCCAAGATGCTCGCTATCGGCACGCAGCACAACTGCCTGCCGTATGTGATTGCCATAGTGGCTGGTATGTCTGTTGGCGACCCGTTCTTGCACGAACAGACCTTGGAGGCGGATGAAGATGAGGATGAGGCTCCTGAGAACAGACATATTAGGAGTGAAGAGATCAGGGCGAAGGAGCAGAGGAAGGAGACAAGAAGCAGATTCTTCAAGGCCCATCAGGTATGTCATACAAGACCGCTTTAAAATATCGCTAACGTGACATAGCAATTCATGGCACTCGGTCAAGGGACTAGCGACATGTTTAAACTTCTGGCAGTCATTGGAGCCTACGAGTACAGCCCCTCGGCCAACTTTTGCACCAACAACTTTGTCCGGCTCAAGGTACGTCGGTTTTCTTGATATTTGTACTGTGCTCACCATCTACAGGCGATGCAAGAAATCCATCAGCTTCGAGCTCAGATATCCTCCATCGCCCAAACCCCCCTCACAAAGATCACTCCTCCCAGTGACACCCAACTCAAGGTCCTCCGCCAGATCCTCGCTGCTGGGTTCATCGACCAGGTCGCTGTGCGCGAAGATATCATTATGAAGAAGGGAGTCACTTTTGACTCTACCCGGGGTGTTCCTTACCGAGCAGTCGGTCTTGGATCTGAGGCTGTGTTCATTCACCCTGGATCTTCCCTCTTCCACCACACTCCTCCAGAGTTTATCGTCTTTGCTGAGGTCGTCCGCACGAGTAAGCCGTGGATGAAGAACATCACCAAGATCAACCCCGCTTGGCTTCCCAGTCTGGGCAAGGGTCTTTGTACATTCTCAAGGCCCATGGAGATGCCGACGAAGGGCATGGGCAAGAGAGTTGGGGCGAATGATAATGAGAGAGAGGTGTTTGTGACTCCTCATTTCAAGGATTTGGGCGTTGATCTGCCGGTGCAGAAAAAGATACAGAGGAGAGAAGGGACCCGATGGGTCTTGGTTGATTGAGAGGGCAATCGGTGCCGTGTATAATAGTGTATCTGCGTACGTGTAAGAGGCGTTCGTGCATCGGGAATAGAAGCATGCAAATTTGCCAGGCAAAAAATACACCAAGACATACATGCGTCTCCGTCGTTCTGATGACCATTTATAAACAATCGATATACTCCTCGGCAGCCCTCTCAGATCTCTTGTAGATACGTAGCTGGCACCAAGCCTCTTTGCCCATTCCCGTCTTCGCATGTCCACCCTGCCCGATATCAGCTTCTGAGAGGTCGAGCGCAACGGGTATACCAGCACATACAATCAGAGGACGTTTTTGCGATAATGTTGACCACTTGATTGGCCTGCACAGTCAGATCGCCGCTATCCTGTTGGCATGGTTCAGCAAACGTCAATATCATCAGTGTGGACCTACAGCTCCCGCATAATCATAAAGCGCCTGCGCTTGTCCTTGCTGAACGCCAGATCCGTTCGCGAGATCACCCCCTGCAGGCGCTGACGTATCAGCTGACGGAGAGGGTGAAGCCGCGTGATGAGAGCCTGAGCCATCCCTGCGGGAAGGAGGCGGGAGATTGGAATGCGAATGTGAGAGGGCAGGGGGGAGGTGAATAGATTCTGCTGGTTTGGCTAGGAGCTGATGGTCAACAATATCATAGTCTGCTCCCGGGCTCACTCACTCTTTGGGTCTTTCCACATGCTCGTGAAGGCACC